CCAGTAACACCCAATAACTCCAAAATAACAACCAATAACTACAAAATGTTGACTTTGGAAACACAAAATAACAATTTAGTTGAATTTAAGAAACATCGCTGCTTTGTGTCCAAATCAGAGTTTCACGCTCACTCGCCTGAAGGGAGATAACTCGTATATGTGATTTTTGTTGACAAGAAATTAATAACTGCTCAATAACACCCAATAACTGTCCAATAACACCAAATTGTTGACTTTGGAAATACAAAATAACAATTTAGTTGTATACAGGTGGATTGATAATCATAGCCGGCGTTTTGTAATAAACAACAAGAACAACATAGCCGGCGTATTTGTAATAAACAACAACCTTAGCTGGCTTCAATCATAATTGACACGTTTTGCTCAATTACTTTATTTACATGAAGGGCCTATATATAACAGAAGGGGGTTAAAAGTGGATATTACCTCAGTGGAAGCAGACGCTAAAAAAAGCAGAAGCAGATGTTAAAGGACCTTTATTGACTAAAGATATCTTCAAAGTACTATGGCAGTTGCAGTTTTATTTGGTAGCAGTTTTATCGTCAGACTTAGGAGATATTGTAGTGGGGACATGGGTGTACCAGGAGTCAGCATATTTCGTGGCAAGGGAGGTTTAAGAACTGACAGAATGGACAGTCAGTTGCTAGACAGTGCAATAAGAACAAATGCGGACACGGGATTTGTTCATTTAGGTGGTAATGACATCACCGCAACATCATGACCCATGGATATATACAGGAGAATATGTGCAATTGTGACATCTTTCGAAGAATCGGGAATGACGGTGTACGTCGGTGAAATTTTGACAAGGGGGGATTTTTCAAAGGCGCCAGGGTTAGAACCTGAATAGTATAACAGACAAAGGAAGCGCATTAACAAATTATTGAAAAACAGATACGGGGATAAATTTGTGTGCTTTCCGGATATTAAATACCCAGACGATTTTTTACAGGACAGCGTGCACTTGCAGACAGAGAGTTCTTACACAAAGAACACCGGCATGAAAAAATATAGTTGCAGGTTAAGAAGAATTTTGTGTCGGCGACGAAACCGTTAAAATGAACATTTTTACACCTGCTGTATTCACTTATTTTAAACCCCATTATATTTAATGTTATATTTCCTTTTTCAATTCTTATGTAATCTGTATTGATACAATATTTCTTTTAAAGTCTATTATGGTATAATTTGGCTTGATATAAAAATAACTAGACGGGGATATCTGTAATAACTTTCTGTTATTGCCACCGCCTGACGATACCCATGGAGGGGTTGCAATAGTTATTTATAGCTTGATGGCTATCTTATATTATAATGCACTAGTTAAAGAGATTTTTGATTTAACGATATGTAATGATATATAAGGATTAAAACGTACACAAAATACTTTGTCGTGAGTATTAGTTATGTAGATAGAGGGATGAGATTTAACGTCCACTATGTCATTTCAATAATTCTCTTGTGTGTGTGTGTGTGTGTGTGTGTGTGGGGTCTTTACCAGTGTGATGACCCAGAGAGAACCCGCGATTCTGGAGAGACGACACTACTTCTTGTCAGGTACAACCGGGGAATCACATACACAAGTTATCTCCCTTCAGGCGAGTGAGCGTGAAACTCCGATTTGAATATCAAAACCAGCATAGTTGGATCTGCAAGACCTACATATGTAGTCTTCACTTAAACATTGAAAAAAATTCAACTGAGTAGTATCTACTTTCTCACAATCTGAATGGCACCAACGTTGACATACTTCACAATATAAGCTTTGAATATCGCGAGTTTCTTTCAAACATGATCCGCAAGGATACTCAACTCAGGGATTTTTCCTATCATGTATAATTAAAACGAATTGCAACGAAAGCATACATTAATTTCTTGTAAACAAAAATCACATACACGAGTTATCTCCCTTCAGGCGAGTGAGCGTAAAACTCTGATTTGGGCTCAATGTTGCGAGGCTTTTAAATTCAACTAAATTGTTATTTTGTATTTCCAAAGTCAACAATTTGCAGTTATTGGGTGTTATTGAGCAGTTATTAATTTCTTGTCAACAAAAATCACATATACGAGTTATCTAGCTCCCTTCAGGCGAGTGAGCGTGAAACTCCGATTCGACACAAAGCAGCGATGCTTCTTAAATTCAACTTAATTGTTATTTTGTGTTTCCAAAGTCAACATTTTGTAGTTATTGGTTGTTATTTTGGAGTTATTGGGTGTTACTGGGCTGTTATTGGGTGTTATTGGGCAGTTATTGGGTGTTATTGGGTAATTCGACGTGCCGTGTAACAGTGATATATTTAAACGTTTATTTAAAATTGAATACAAATTGTTACTTATAGCGGGAACACAAAATGCGATTTTTTGAACAATCAGGGGCCACAATCCAAGACGTTACAATCGAATATGTGCGATTATCGAAAGGAACCAAGATCTTTGTGATTTAAACATAAATTTAAAGTTTCATCCGATCAAAATTGTGGCCTCTAGAGAGAGGATCCATAACTTTGATATACCATATTTTTACACTATATGTGTACGAACAGCGACCATTTTGTCTGGCAGTTTTGGTCCGATTTACACGAAATTCAATCTCAAATGTCATTAGGGTGTAACGGTGATATATTCAAACGTTTTTTTAAATCGGATAAAAATTGTAACCTCTAGAGTCTTGAGGCACCACAGCTAAAAACGTGGTTTTCTCGTACAATCAGAGGCCATACTTCAGGAAGTTGCGATCTAATAAGTGCAAATATTGAAAAAGGAACCAAGATCATTGGGTTATAAACATGCATTTCAAGTTTCATCAAAATCGAATGAAAATTGTGACTTCTAAAGTGTCCACAAGCTAAAAATGTGATTTTTTTGTACAATCAAGGGCCATAATCCAAGTTATGGTCCGATACATGCTAAAATCGACAGGAACCTAGCAGGGGTTTGGGAGATAGACCTATATTTCAAGTTTCGTCAAAATCGAATAAGAATTATAACTAGAATGTCCCCAAACAAATTGTGGACGGATCGACAGACAGATGGACGTCCGGGGGCGACGACAATATATACGTCCACATAAAAACCTGGGCGTATAAAAATCACTATTTCTTTTCAAATTCTAATTGGGGATAAAATTAGTCAGTAATATATTGCAAATGAAAAATCAAATCACTTACGGTACCGTTACCAAAGTTGGTCCAGGATGATTTATGCTTTTTTTTAAAAAAAAAAACATAGGTTCGACTAAAGCTGTTTATATAAAAGCCACAAGGTCATAATTGCTCTTTCAATCTGCTCCATACGATAGCAAGTAGCTTTGTAAAAAACATACGTCAATGTATGTCACATCAAAAAGATTTTTTTTTAAATATCGAAAATACACGATTCCACTTTACATCTCGACTTCCTTTTCGATCCAGCTCGAAATGTCTGCTAACTGTCATTGGCTGTCAAGGTAAATAAAATGGTGCGAAATTGACAGCCAACTGATGAAGTCAAGCACGATACCAGATCTTCCCGTTTGACATGTAATTTATAAACCGAACCCTAACCCTAGAGAAAGATATTTCTCAGATCGTACAAAGATATAGTATTGTGCTGAAGTCATTGTCGTTTATAATATAAATCTGATTTACCTTCAATTTTAAAAAGTCTTTATTTGCAATAATATATTCTGAAATAATGATTGGGGTCTATTTCTCGTATATACCGTAATTCTCTAAAATGGCTATGCATTAAAAGAGCATTACCACCCAATCCCATTGGGTAAGTTTTAAAAAAAAAAATGCAATATTTTTTTAGATAAATCTGCTAAAAGCATTTCTAATTTGTAATTTGAAATTCAAAATTAAAAAAAATGTTATTCGGTTCTTCTTCACCCAATGACCAATCTCGCTAATTTAAAAAAAAATCTGTGTTCACAAGATTTCATACATTTGTATGCAAATGGGGTGTGGGAACGAACTCGTTTCCTGAATTTCGATGGAGTTCCTGTCCTAATGAACATCCTTGCCAAATATTAATTTAAATAATTCCATTCAGGACTTGAAAACTTCTATCATGGGCTTATGAAAAACTCTACTTCGAATAATTAAGAAGAATTCAAACTGATCCATAGTAAATTTTTATTAATAAAACTAAATGTTTATAGTTGTATTTTACGATATTTTCTGTGTGCTAAAATAGTTGTAATGTATAATAATCGTTACATCACGGTTACGCAATCTTCCACATTTATAGTCACATACCGAAAACAGCAGCAAATATTTAACCCTAGAATGGAAATACAGAATACCCTATTATGCAAAGATAGTTGCTAACAGAAATTCCAAAATGAAGATTTTGGAATAATATATTAATGTATAGCATAAGGGATGTAACTCCATTTTAAGAATTGAAAAGAAATGCTCCTCAAAACTATATTTCCAAAAGAAAACCCCAGTACCCATTTTAACCAATCTAGCACCAGTAAAATGAAAATCTACCATAAACCTTTTGTTTAGGGTATATGACAAGAAATGAAGTAGATATTTCTGCACATGCTTCTGATCAAGAAGGATCAGCTAATGTATTGTCAAGATTTCGCCAAGCATCATACCAAACTCATCAGCAGTAAATATTCTCTTGGCCATGGAGTTGGTTTTTCATTATTAACAATTTGTGAGTCTTCCCAGTTTCCTCACACTACTAGACCCCTACTTGCAAGCAAAATATTGAAATAAAATTGTACCTTGTTAGTGCCAAAATAACCTAGTTTGTGTCAAATGGATGTTGATCCCCTCCTCTCTTATTTATATGTATATATTATGGATAATGTAATACTGTCACTGCTGATCATAACACTATTTCCCAGATCTTATTTTTCATAATGTTTTCTCCACTAGTCCATAGTAGACCCTCCCACCTTCTCTTGCTCTGTTATCTACATTAAACCAAGTAGATTGTAAGATCTTCGACTATGAATAACAGACAGGTTTTTTTATCATAAATATTTATTTACCAAATATACATGAATATGCCAAATAACAGATTAGTGATTTACTTTAAAAAGTAAGAAATGGATTGAGACTGATATCCCCCTGCCCAACCCAACAAACAACTTGTTTGGGGTTATATAACCTTAAAATATGAAGGCGATCATTAACTCTTGAAACTTCACACATCAGGAGAAAATTGAGAGGGTTAGGCCAGTATCACATACAATCTTATGATCAATTATATGAAAATGATTGAAAATCAATATCACAGGGCTCTTGATACTCTTTTTCAAGGCAGGGACAAAGGCGGATCCAGAGACTATCCGGTTGGACTGCAGACGCGGCGGGCACAAAGCGCACAATAGCCTCCCCTGGCATATTTTGAAAACTAGAAGTCGGAAATGCCATATTCAGTGATCTGAGATAAGAATCAGATTCTAAAGTGCACCACCTGGATCCAGATGGGAGTATGCGCTGAATGTACCCCCACTAAATCCTCTCTTAAGAGACATCTAAATAAATAGTTACAAACTTAATTAAACAACTAAAATTCACTAAAAGTATAAATCATTCAACTAAACAATAAAAAATATATCAGAAAACAAGAATTATAACATTAACAGCATTGCACAATATTTCTCACTCTTTGATTGATTCAATTGGTGTAATTATCACTATACATTCAAATATACATGTATATAAAAGACATAAAACCCTGAGGTTCAATATAAAACAAAATACAGTATAATAACTGAATATCACTGCAGTAAAATCAAATCACTGAAATTTCTCAATCAGTGGCATTATCCAGGATTTCCCAAAAAGGGCATAGGGGTTTAGGCACAAAATATGAAACTTCTTAGCTGTAGATATGAAAAAAAACCAAGATTTCTATACTATCGTCCATAGCCATCAATTAATTTCGTAAAAGGGTGTTGTTAAAAAAAACCAAAAAAACATTTTTGACAACTTAAGTGGAAGTGGGGGGCATGGACCAACGTGTCCAATACTTTCACACCTAAATATGTTGAAAAAAATGTAAGACAAAAAGGTTTTTAGAATTATATCCCATTTGCACACAAAGGATGGTCTGTAAAATATGGCTGCCCATGATACTGACAAACAACACAGACCTTTCTAATACACAAAGTTATAATTACTTAATGTGATATCATCAGATTATAAATACTAATAAACTACAAGGAAATATATAAAATATGAAAATCTTGTAAAGAATCCACTGATTATAAAATTATTAATATAAGTAATAAAGGCCAAATACATCAATGCTCATTATGGGAGTAAATTGCCTGCCATCCAATTGTGCTAAAATTTAATTCATTTTTTGACAATTCCATTATTTGATTACAACAAAATTGGTGTTATGGTTTTGTCAAGCAGCTTTAATGGCAGACTTTAGTCCCTAACTGATGTTTGACAATGTTGTATTTTTGAGCAAATTACAGGATAAATTAACTACATAGCAAAATCACAGAATTCTTGGTATTAACTGGTTTACTTGTTATCATAATCAAAATTAAATGATTTAGTTTATTACAATTAACATAATCTTTACAACTGGAATCATAAATTTCATTAATAATATTGCATAGATCACATAGACACACTAATTGAAACACTAGTTACAAACAATCATAGCACCTCATTTCTCTTTCAATTATGACAGAGACATTTACAAATATTTTCACAGTTATAATGCCCTTAATACAATATTTTATATTCAGTGAATATAGATGGATATTTATGTGGGTTATTACAAAAGATCCATGAAACCAGGTTCAGGAGTGAACAGGTTAAAGGTTAGAAGTCGGGTTAATCCATGTTTTGATAAGTTGATGAGCAATAGCTTGTGCTGGGGGGAAAAAGAATTCTAATGGATGTGTTCTATTGGCCATAGACTGAACATCTTGTTTTGTAAACCATCTAACATCTTCTAACTCCTCTGGGTCAATCTAAAATAAAAAAATACATACAACATTGCTTACAAATTATACAGAAAATACATATATTTGAATTGTGTTACGAGATGTGCTTTACTGCTACAACCTTGACATACTTGTTTCATTTGTATACAGCAAGGGCGGGCCTGACATAGGCATTTTACCTGTTCCCCATTCTCCCATTCAATTATAGTGAATAAAATATCTCTAAAAAAGAATTCAGTTTAATCAATCCGGGGAAAAGGTGTCATTGACTACATCCGAATCTCATATCAGCAGTCTCTGCAGTATTTCAAGTCTGAAGATAATATTTGCTGGATAACTGTATCAAAGATAGCATATATATATATTTTATATTGTTATCTCACCTTAATATTATCTGTTTTAGCATGGGCTATACAACCTAACATTATAACAGCAGGAAACGGCCAGGGTTGACTAGAATGATATTCTATATGACCAACTTTAATACCACTCTCCTCTTCTACTTCACGTTGACATGCTGCTTCAATACTTTCACCTAAATAACATATATCCCGAAAGAGCAGATTTAAATGCACTTTAATTTATAAACATTACATGCACTGTAAAATAATACAATGAAAACAAGATGATTAGTCATCACCATCCCTTGCCCTCGCAAAAGGCACAACTACTGGAATGGGTTGATGTGTGTACAAAGATTCATGAAGATATCTTGAACGGTTTATGAGATGCCCCGGAAACAAAATTATACACCAAAAACTAAGTCAATTCCTAATTAGCAAAATGCACAGAGGTGTGTACAAAGTTTCAGAAAGATATCTTGAACGGTTTATGAGATATGCTCTGGAAATGAAATCGGGGCAGACGAACCATCAGACCCCATTTCAATATCCCTCCCTAACTTCATTCCTTTTCTGTAGACAGTTGTCTGGTGCATGAATATGAATTGAATACTCTCATGTAATTTCATTAAATTGAAGTATTACCCATAGTGGTGTGTAATGTGTAATTGTCTTCCATATGGAAGTATAATCTTGTCTTGTAAACCATGCTCGTCTCAGACCACCAGGACAAATACTTCATGACGCACAAATTGGGTTATTCTGTACATAGATTTCTTTCAAGACAAGATTAATAACAAACCTGGTTCCAGATAGCCAGCCAAACAGGAATACATCTTGGGGGGAAAACTTTTCTTACGACCTAGCAGACATCTTTTACCTTCAGGGGAAACAACCAACATTATCATTGATGGGTCAACACGAGGGTGATTGGTATTATGAATTCCTGTAATAAAATGTTCATTTTACTAAAAATATTCTAATATTTATCAAATAAATTAAAGATAGGTTCCCAGTAAAGTATTTATTGGGTGGTTATTTCCAATAAAAGTATGGCAATTTTGGTATATATGGAAAGTAGAGATATCCAATCTTACTAGAAAAATACTGGATTCCCTGAAAAACCTGGATTCCCTGAAAAACACTCATGGAGCGTATACAGGACAAAATGTAAAGGGTTCCCCTAATCGACAGCCCGACCATTAGGAATAACTGCACGCTTGACATCGAAGGTTGCACGCGAAGATTTAGCGCTTGATGTACATGTTGATAAACTTTATGAAGAGTTAGACGTACAACACTTTCTGAGATAAAAATCACGGAAAAGACGCTGGCAGTGAATAATGCGAGAATTTAATTAGACAACATCGTCTTGTGTATACAATGAATTCTCCTCCGACTTCGCACCCGTTGCTATACATGTAGGTACCGAGAGAGGTAAGTCACGTGACACAAACATGACCGCTTTTGACCGATTTTTATAACAGGGTATTCCTTGGCAATTACAATGTTTTGAGAAGGATTTGAAGCAAAATTATGATAAATAATTAGTTTAAATATGTTTTTAGTCCAAATATATCATCAAATCACCCAGTTTGTACACGGGAATGTATCTTTAATTTATTAATGTTAATCTTGTATGAAAAAATATTTGATGATTGAATTCATAAGTTACTAAAGAGACCTTTGCAGTGTTCTTAATCGGCTGTTTTTTGTCGGCTTTAACCGATTGATTGTTTAATCTAGCTGATTGGTAAAACAATGAACTGGCCACTATGGTATCATAAATCAATCTACTTTCGTCTAAATTACATCGTGTTAATTATTACATGTTAATTAAGAAGTCAACTTGTTTGTCGGCTACTACAACAGTCATACCTTAGTGAGAAACGGCCATGTGGTTCATAATCTGATTAGCCTAATTAGCACATTTAACGGTAATTTTGATAAAACAAGCTTGCTGATTACTTATAACAGGTGTACTGATTTGTTGTTATTTTTGTGTTAAGCACGACATTCTCCATAAAAAATTACCAAGAATTATTTTTGTTGAAGTCTTGTTATATTAAAGGGAATGGAAGCTCATAATAAACCCATTTCCTACTGGGACCTCATTTGACCCAATTCTGGCCGGTTTGTTTCAAAATGGATTAAGAACCTTGGACTGACTTAACCCACACATGTGAACCAAAACATAGTTTTTAGGGAAAAGACTATTTTTGAGCAAGAACATAATCCTTGTCAACTGTCATGGAGAAAAATGTTTCAGCCATCACTTGATATCCATATATCTGCCTACCTTTATGAGATCTACAATCTTTGTTCTCACACTCTCGTTTATATCCCGCTTCAGCTATGAGTGTTGAAGAACCACACGTTGGACAGAACTGATAACGATCATGCCAAGCTAAAATTGATCTTGCTTCGGCATAAATTCCTGCATCTGTTTTCATCATCTGCAGTGCCAATGGAAAGCCTTCGATAAATTGCCCATCTTCATGTACATTTTTAAATAAATTTTCTTCCTCTCCTGAAACATCCACAGCAAACCAAGCAACAGATTTAGGATCCCAAGTTTCTAGGCCTAAAAATACTACTAGAGGTTTTTTAGCTAAGATTTCCGCCAAATGTTTGTATTGAAATAAACCCAGATTAAATCCTGATCTCTTCTTCTCACTACCTGCGTTCTTCACAGGAGTCACAAAACCATTAAGTTCAGAAAAGATAATAAAATTTGTTGTTGATAATTTCTGAACCTTCTGAAGCCATGCCTTATCATTCCTTTTTTCTGAAGCACGATACAAGGGATTCTGGGAAAAGAAATTGTAAAGTTGCTGTTTTTCTTCCAGTCTTGACTTTCCTGTTAGCAGATCAACTATTTCTTGATTATTCCAGAATGTAGCAACATCTAGAGCCGTCTGACCAGATGAATTCATAATATTCACATCTGTACTGTAAATGTAATAGAAAAGTATTAAAATAATCTAATTTTAAAAACATTTTTACCAAACATTAATTCATATTTTTTGTTGTAGACAAAACCCCTAAAAGGGGATATCCTACTAGTAGACTGGAGGGGGTTGGGGGCAGGGGTGGGGTGTCCATCAAATGGGCACAAAACCAGACCCAACTTTTACGCTGACATTTATTGCTTTAAATCTTCCTAGTGCAAAAATGGAAAATTTGACCTTTTAACTGCCGAGGTCACAAAGCACAAAGGTGAATTTAGCAAGTTTACATTTTTATTGAAAGGGTGATTATTTTCTATCATTTTCTGCATGTTTTCATGATAAAAGAATGGCTGTGCATTCACTTTTAGTACAAATGACCTCATTTGACCTTTGACCCCAAATATCTTTTAAAAAAATGCCTCAACAGTCAGCATCGTATTCTATGCAAAATTTTAGTAAAGAAAAGTTGGGTTGGGTTTTGTGCCCATTTGATGCCCCCCCACCCCAATCACTGAGCCTTCCGACTATAGTTTTATTTTAGTGAATAAAACAAACTAATTCTATGTGAAAGACAATTGAAAACATTATCCTAATCCTGTGTCACTATGTGACAATTTTAGAAGAAAGATAAATGATTACTGCTAGTTGTATTATGATTGGCTACAAAACAGTACAATTTATTTCTGGCTAACAATCAAGCCTGGACATAAGGCATGTGACCCAGTCTTTGTCAAGTACAAATTATCACACAACATATCCTTTGAATTATGCAAACCTGTTATGTTATTTAAACAATAGTTCCAAGATAAATAGTCAATGTCTTTATTTTTTGACATTTGTGACTTGTATTAATACAATGTGCAATCTTGAACTTCTCCTTTAATAAGTTGTAAGTAGGGTGACATTTAGGCCCGGGACTCTACAGCGCAGTGTACGCTTATGGATCTTCCAACCCCTCCCCCCCCCCCCCCCCCGGATCCATTCACTTGATCTGATATATATATGTGATGTTGGTATATTGTGTCTTGTCCGTAGATTTGTCTTGTAATTGTATATTTGTTTGTGTGTGGTGCACTATAACTGCAATTACATGTACTATTAAGAGGCCTTATACATGTCAATATACTAAAAAAAAAATGGGAGGTGCAATATAAACCAATGTTTCTGGATCGTTGGAAGGTGTAATAAAATACTCACTGTACTGAAGGTCAGAAATTATGACCACAATATAACCTGGTGACTTTTTCACTGAGAATTATATGATGTCAGGCAATGAAGCGTATGCCAACAGCAGTTCACAAAGGTTGTTGCAAATTTATTCTTTTGTTAAAAGACACTAAAAACTGATCAAGAGTAATAGCCCATAAATCAATAATCAGAAATAATTATAATCTAACTGACTTCTTGTCCTTCATACCAGTAAACAGACACTAACTTGAGCTGTTCAAGTTATCTATAGGTAAGGAGCCCCGTGCAGCGAAAATTTTCTCTACTGAAAGAATGACCTCAACACGGATTATGAGCATGCTTCAGTGGCTTGTATCGAAGTGATTTCTGGCTAGTCCCGCGGTACGATAACAATCGGCGCTGGAGTCTATAAATAACTATCGCACGTGAAATTCTCTACACATCTATCAACTATTACAGCCGTAAAAATCTATTATTGACGATTCTGAATAGCAGTAATATTTAACTTTTTTGGTTATTACAGCAGCTTTAAAAATTATGTTTGTTTTATTTTTTAAATTGATCTTTGGGTTATAAACATGCATTTCAAGTTTCATCAAAATCAGATGAGAATTTTGACCTCTAAGGTGTACACAAGCTAAAACGTGATTTTTCGAACAATCAGTGGCCATGAAGTTATGGTCTGCTACATGGCATTATCGAAAGGAACCGAGATTTTGGGGAGATAGACCTATATTTCAAATTGTAGACGGACGTCCGGACAGACAGGGGCGACGGCATAATACGTCCACATGAAAACATGTGCATATAAAAAGTCAACTCATTTGCTTAACCTTCTGCTCTTTGGGGGACCGTTTTCATTTTTTTTCACAAGGCCAACAGCATGACAACGCTTAGCCCTGAGAACATTGCTTGCATCCCTGAACCTAGATCGGACAGGTGGGGGGCCCTAGGGCCCAGCTGACAGTCCAACCTAAATTTACCTACCATACCCAAGATTGTAGCATTTATGGCAAAGCCGGCCAAGTGGTGCACGCTCGCCATTTTTTCTTTTCTTACACCTGGAGCTTCTCCTTCGGATGAAATTCACCTTGGGTGCTTCCCTGCAAAAACATTGGGTCTTACCCAGATAAGCTGGATCAAGCCTATTTTGTGGCTTCCTCTGGCAAGTTTCTTAGGAAACACTTGTCGACAATATCACCCTTGGTGGAAGTGGACGTAAAACTTCAGGAACGAATGAACGACGCTTACCCTTCACCAAGCAGCATTTTTGCAACAGCAACATGATTATTTCTAGCAGCTAACATCAATGCTGTCCATCCTCTATCATTCTTCCAATTTACACTTTTATTAGCCCCTGTAAAGAAACAAAACAAAATAATTAACAGTAAATATCTATTAAATTCCTGTTTTAAATGGCTATTATTAACAGACATTTTATTTTTTTTATTGTCACTTTTACATTTATTCTGGGATACCGATCTCCATTACCAGATTAAGGCTGATGGGTTTAAGTTGTTTGAAAACATAACATGTAGATTGAGTTAGTTGCTCAGCTACATGTATAAGGGCTTTTAATACAAAATTAAGAAGTTTTATTCTCCAAAATATAATCAAGATTGGCCCTTTAAAGGAGATGGTCCACCCATTTCTACATGAATATTCCAACAATATTAATGACTGCTAATCAAATCAACTTATAAAATACCACATTAGATTAAAGATTACAGAACAAGAAGTTGCAAAATTGTAAATTGGAAGTGGCAGAAACATATTTTTTTAATTCATTTCATCCAATTTTTCATATGTATATTTACTGGTCCTGTTAATACTGAAAGAACAAGGTTTAACTGTTCCACAGACTGGAGGACAACCAAGGCAGATCAAGGCAGGAAAACATTTTCGCCCAATATAGATATAACAATGTTTACAAAAAAGTTAAGTTTCTTTAACTGAATATACAGTATATCAAAACCTGTATTTATTTAAGAAACTGTACCTTTTATCTTTAGTATCGATGTAACTTCCTCTGTATTACCAGCAGCAGCATATTTAAATAACCTCGTTTCTAATTGGTTTAAATTATCTAATGATGTGACATCAGATTTAATAAAGTCTGGGTCTAACTGATTCTCTGTGGAACTGTTGGTCATTTGTAATTTAATGTCTATCACAGCTGGTTGTGTGGGTATTTCAGAGTCAATAACAGAATCAGGCTCTGCTATATTGTCCTTGACCACCTCTTGAAATTTACCATCTTGATCTACTGAAGACATTCTTGTAAAACTAAAATTAAAAAGTAAACATAGAATAATTACAATGTCTTGCAACACAATAACATCAATTTTATAATGGGTTTGATCTGCTTCAAAAATAAACACAATATTACAATATTTGCTAGAGAATTTAAGGTTTGGAAAAACTGACAAAGAAACAGGACCTAATCTTTCTCTCAATTATTGCACCCCTCGTTACACGTAAATATCAATATCCAATAAGGTTGTGTTTAGATAAACATGTCTTAAAGGTCTGTGCAATTGTAAGGACAATTTGCCTTTAACTTTTGGCTTTTTGTTGTTTTTCAAGCGTATAACAGAATTTGAAGATTATTGCTGCATCCTATACAGAATTGAATGTCTAATTTATGAAGTCAATCACTCACTGAAGAACTTGGACTTGAGGGAATTAAGCACTCCATGCACAAGCTGGTTGTTGTGAAATTCTAGGTGTTTAAACTCTATTTACCTATTTCATTTCATTTTTAAATGTGTTTACACCTACGTTACATTGTACATAGTAACTCTTATAGCTGCTTTAATGAGGATCAATATTTTAAAATGACATTTTCATGAAAATGAAATGTGGTTTAACGTCCTACAAAAATGTACTTTTCTGCATCCACCAGGATATATGCCATGCAGAGTGCTAGGGGTGAGATTTGACCCGACAGCGGTGCCATGGTCTACTCTTATTTCGAATTCTGGTTCTTTTACCTGCACACCAATGTGTAGCCTGCTACCGACATCCATTTTCTTAGCTGCAGTTAAATGTATCATTAAATCGTGTTTAACACTACAATTAATACAGTCTAAGACTCCTTACGCATGTTCAAATAGATTCAAACGCACAATTGTCAACACATATCATTACAGTTTGTATTGAAATAAGTAATTCTATCACAAATAATGAATTGGGGACCACTAAAATAGTTACCGAACTGTTTTTCTTTGTGGTAATGCGTTTTACATTTTCAAAGCGATGTTTCTTATAATGTGAAAGCGCCATGACACCGGCCAGTTTTAATCTCCCCAAATATCACGACGTGTTAACCCTGCCCATCGCTTTCCATATAAGGCCCTGCTACTATACTCGACTACTATCAGAGAATATCGGAACTCACTGACACCGGCCAGTTTTAATCTCACCAAATATCACGACGTGTTAACCCTGCCCATCGCTTTCCATATAAGGCCCTGCTACTATACTCGACTACTATCAGAGAATATCGGAACTCACTGAGATGTCAATGACAGGAATCATGTGTCTTTGGTCTTTGAAATCGAAACTAAACTTAGACTTTGTCCAAAATGGATGAATGTTGTAACTGTAGGAAGTCTTTCACACGTAGCAAGCCAGCTACTAAAAGATCTTTATTTACAAAGGTTAAGGGTAAGGCTAAAATAGACAAGACCATTAAAGAGGTATTGCAAGAGGAATATTTAATTATAAAATTAATTATCAAAAATCCCATTTTATTCATTCATTTATTTTTGTTAACTTTTGACGAAAAATTCTTACTTCATCTAAAACTAATCGGATCATAATAAATGTTAAAGATTTGCCAAATCCAGTTGGCAAGACCGGGACAGCTCACTTTCCCCACATCTATTGTTTAGAGTCTGGGTCCACCAGGCCATGACTAATTAATCAACAAAGGGGGTTTAAAGTATAGTCTGTAACAAGTTTGTGACACTTCAACAAAATGATTTAAATAATATTAATGAAAAAGATTACATGTAAAAAAATACATATAATATGGATTCTTATATTATACCATTTCCAGAATTTTAATAATATACAAATTAATACATATATAATATAACAAGCCAACAGTGAGGCTGATGTCCCCCGCCGAAATCCCCAAATATATAGATGACACATATTAATTAATCGCACATCTATTTTTTTCCAAAGTATCAAGCAATCAAACTGATTATCAACTATACACTAAGTTTCATCACTCTCTATCAGATAGAATCAAAGTTATCTTGTCCCAAAGCAGGAAATTGCTTATCTCTGCTTAGATTTAGATCGATATGTTAATCATTGAACTCAGTCAAGACGAACATCTACATCAAGTTTAAACATTCTACCTCAATTAGAAGAAGAGTTGTTGAACTCAGTCAAGACGAACATCTACATCAAGTTTAAACAGAAAATTCTCATCATCGAACTTAGTCAAGGTATTGATGTAATGAAACTATACACCAAGTTTCATCACTCTCACTTAATTAGAACTAAAGTTATCGTGTCCCAAAGCATCAACCAATCAAATTGCTTATCTCTGCTTACCCTAAGAAGAAAATGCTGATCTTCGCACTCCATCAAGGCATTGACCTCATAAACCCCTACACCAAGTTTGAACATTCTAGCTCAATTAGAAGGAGGGTTATTGTGTTCCAAAGTCTTGGCCAATCAAATTGCTTATAGCTCTGCTTAACCTGAGCAGAAAATGTTCATCATCGAACTTAGTCAAGGTATTGATGTAATGAAACTATACACCAAGTTTCATCACTCTCACTTAATTGGAACTAAAGTTATCGTGTCCCAAAGCATCAACCAATCAAATTGCTTATCTTTGCTTACCCTAAGCAGAAAATGCTTATCTTCACACTCCATGAAGGCATTGACCTAATAAACACCTACACCAAGTTTGAACATTCTAGCTCAATTAGAAGGAGGGTTATTGTGGTCCAAAGTCTCGGCCAATCAAATTGCTTATCGCTCTGCTCACCCTGAGCAAAAAATGCTCATCATCGAACTTAGTCAAGGTATTGATGTAATGAAAATATACACCAAGTTTCATCACTCTCACTTAGTTGGAACTAAAGTTATCGTGTCCCAAAGCATCAACCAATCAAATTGCTTATCTTTGCTTATCCTAAGCAGAAAATGCTTATCTTCACACTCCATCAAGGCATTGACCTAATAAACACCTACACCAAGTTTGAACATTCTAGCTCAATTAGAAGGAGGGTTATTGTGTTCCAAAGTCTCGGCCAATCAAATTGCTTATCGCTCTGCTTACCCTGAGCAGAAAATGCTCATTATCGAACTTAGTCAAGGTATCGATGTAATGAAACTATACACCAAGTTTCATCTCTCTCACTTAATTAGAACTAAAGTTATCGTGTCCCAAAGCATCAACCAATCAAATTGCTTATCTCTGCTTACCCTAAGCCGAAAATGCTCATCTTCGAACTCCATCAAGGCATTGACCTAATAAACACCTACACCAAGTTTGAACATTCTAGGTCAATTAGAAGGAGAGTTATTGTGTCCCAAAAAGTGTGACGGACAGATGGACGGACGGACGGACGGACGGACGGACAGACGGACGAACCCATTTTAATAGTCCCCTGCTTTCTTCGAAAGGCGGGGGACAATAAATATATAATAAGTACAAATATATAATAAATATATATATATATCATAATAAGTAATACATAGTAAGTGCATATCTTAAAATGAGTAAATAAATAAATAAATAAATACATTTTTATAGTATAAATATTTATAAGCAGTTTGATAAACATGACAATTCACAGTCCAACAAAGTTCATAACAGTGTTGAGGTATTGAATGGGTGAGCTGGGTGTAAATTTATTAGTAAACTGATTTCACCAATTTGCCCAATCTACTGATAGTGGGAAGTGTTCACCAGTAACAATAATTAGAGTGAGGAGTTTACACCAGTGATACTAATTTATTAGAACAGACTATAGTTCTACACCCACAGTCTAGTAACCTCCTAATCCTTCATCAAAACAATCAAATGTGGGGAAAGTGAGGTTAAACCGGCAAGACACCCATTATATTATATCCGATTATTGAACAACATAGGGCCTATAGTCAATAATCAAAGGTACTTTTGTTCACGTCTGAGCTAAAAATTAATACCCATCCTCTGCAACACGTGGTCTAACTGGGTGGACGTAGGCGAGAAATTTTGCGTAGCAGTTGGGTTTCATCAAATCATATAATTATGCGGTAAGGCTTCAACTTTATTTCAATGGGATTAGGTAATTATATTATATGTTAAAGGGACAATAACACTATTGCTGGCTTGAAAGCTCCAGAAAAAAAATAATATCTCTATCTAAGTACTAGATGTTTAAATGTCCTACCTGTTGTGTAAATTATCCATTACATCCTATTTTACTTGTCCAGAGGGTTCGAAAATATTTTTAAATCAAAGTTTCATTTGAAAAGGTTTACGTTAAGACGTTTCAAACCATTATGTTGAATTTTTCAAAATTTTTAAATAAGGTGTGTTAAGATGAAATTTGTATCATCAATTAATTGAAATATTCTAAATAGTACAATTTGTTGACCAGAATAAAGATTGGGACATATTATTCAGTTACAACAAGAGTGGTATTGAGCCTTTAAGCTATGTGCAGTACAGTTTTGGGTCAGTTTATGTGTAAATTAAGGGCGCTATAGGCTAGTAACCCTTTCGTAGTCATTTAACTAAAAAACTTGCGCAAAGGAACACTGTAGGACGAGCCACTACTGTGGCTGGAGTAAGGCGGAAGACATCAGTAGTGGAACCATTTCTACCATTTTCTGTGCCATCCAAAGTATGCCTACTAGTACTACTCCTACTCATCTGAAGCTTATCTTTAGGCTAGCAGAGGCCTATATATAAGCTTATTTCTTTTCTAAATGATAAAGTGCCTCTGCTCTTTTTACCCATTACTGTCAAAATGGAATGAATACTGAATTAATCATGAATCATACACCTGTCAGATCATTCAGGTGGACATTGGACATTTCTTCTCTTGTCATATATCTTGCCATCATTCAAGCATACAAACCTACGGGTAACAGCTAAACTGCATCTAAACAAACTTCTCACAAGCATAAATATGCAGTTCTATGGGAATGTTAATTAAAGAGTCATTTCTTAACTCTGTCCTTATTCTTCAAGATTTTATCCAGGATTGAGTAACCAATTATTCCGATAATGAACTGACATCAAACATGACCCCGATTCGTTGCGCATGCCCACAGTGACCTGAAATTGTGTGATAGCGATCGAAGAGATGCTGCAGAAAGAATCTAAAATGGGTAAGACTGATATGAATCGATATATCTAAGGAAATAAACAATTAAATTAGTGTTGACAGCAGCTCTCTATGTTTCAGAAAGGAAATTTAGATAGCAGCCTTTAAAAAAAAGTCGTCAGTAAAGAAACAAATGCTTCGTTTTTAACAGTTTCATTTTAACAACGCCACGGAAACTTGCCTTTTTTATTACTACCGGTACCGGGTACTGTACTTTTTAGGGTTTTTGCTTCCAAATCGGAAAGAGCAATAACCACCAGATTTGTAAAAAAATAGATAATGCACGGTTGATTTAAACATGATCAGTATGAAAATAGAAAAACAATATTGAATGAAGTAAATTACATTGTCGGTGACGTGGACATGTTTCCTTGGCTTGCATGAAATTTTACAGGAGTTGTCTCCCTTTCCCAATGTGGACAGCTTGAGTAAAATTACATGAAAATAAGTCATAAACATTTTATAAACTGAAAGAAACTATACTAAAATACTGAAAAGATCACAAAATGTGTAAATATTTAAAGATACATTATGGGGGATTAGATAAAGAGCTGGTAGTTCTCACTATGTTAAAAACTAGATAATGTAAAGGGAATTTGTTGAAAATTTCAGTCAAATTGATCCACCCTGAACTGAGTATTTAGTGATTGAATTTTGGGTCAAGCCTCAATCATTATTACTAAAGTCGGTACGATAAAAAACATAGTCTCGATTATCCATTTTTTTTTATTGTCCCCCGCCTTTCGAAGAAAGCAGGGGACTATTAAAATGGGTTCGTCCGTCTGTCTGTCTGTCCGTCACACTTTTTGGGACACAATAACTCTCTTCCTAATTGAGCTAGAATGTTCAAACTTGGTGTATGTGTTTATTAGGTCAATGCCTTGATGGAGTTCGAAGATGAGCATTTTCCGCTTAGGGTAAGCAGAGATAAGCAATTTGATTGGTTGATGCTTTGGGACACGATAACTCTCTTCCTAATTGGGCTAGAATGTTCAAACTTGGTGTATGTGTTGATTAGGTCAATGCCTTGATGGAGTTCGAAGATGAGCATTTTCCGCTTAGGGTAAGCAGAGATAAGCAATTTGATTGGTTGATGCTTTGGGACACGATAACTTTTAATTGAGCTAGAATGTTCATTTTTTTTTATTAAATCACATTATTTGGTAAGGGTTCACCTTTATTTCAATGGGAATTGGTTTATTGTGTGTTAAGCTATGTGCAGTATATTTTGGGGTTAGTTTAATTTTAAATTGTTGACACACAGAATAAAGATATCGAGACAAAGCGTGGAATACGCCAAACCTGCAGTTATATCTCAACTGTACTTTATCTGAAAGGAAAACTGATAAAGATCTAGGATCCTTGAATAAATCTAATCTTTATGTTTCACCCTCTTATGACTCCATTCTATCCAACAAAATTTGAATAAAATTATTTAAAAAGCTATAGTCAACATGGCATTCACAAGGTCTTTGGGCGTATAAAAATAGATTTTTCGTATAATCATGGGCCATAATCCATACCAACGTCGAAAGGGGGATCTTTTGGATATAACTCTGAATTTCATGTTTTGTCAAATTCGGATAAAAATTGTGGAGACACTATACGACAGAAATATCGCGTATTCGTTGTTTCCCCCCCCCCCCCTTTCGAAGAAAGCAGGGGACTATTAAAATGGGTCTGTCTGTCTGTCTGTCGGTCCGTCCGTCACACTTTTTGGGACACAATAACTCTCCTTCTAATTGATCTAGAATGTTCAAACTTGGTGTAGGTGTTTATTAGGTCAAGTTTGATGGAGTTCGAAAATGAGCATTTTCTGCTTAGGGTAAGCAGAGATAAGCAATTTGATTGGTTGATACTTTGGGACACAATAACTTTAGTTCTAATTAAGTGAGAGTGATGAAACTTGGTGTATAGTTTCATTACATCAATACCTTGAGTAAGTTCGATAATGAGCATTTTCTGCTCAGGATAAACAGAGCGATAAGCAATTTGATTGGCCGAGAATTTGGAACACAATAACTCTCCTTCTAATTGAGCTAAAATGTTCAAACTTGGTGTAGGTGTTTATTAGGTGAATGCCTTGATGGAGTGTGAAGATGGGCATCTTCTGCCTTGGGTAAGTAGAGATAAGCAATTTGATTGGTAGATGCTTTGGGACACGATAACTTTAGTTCCAATTAAGTTAGAGTGATGAAACTCGGTGTATAGTTTCATTACATCAATACCTTGACTAAGTTCGATATTGAGCATTTTCTGCTCAGGTTAGGTAAGCAGAGCGATAAGCAATTTGATTGGCCGAGACCTTTGGAACACAATAACACACTTTTTAGGACACAAAACTCTCCTTCTAATTGACCTAGAATGTTCAAACTTGATGTAGGTGTTTATGAGGTCGATGCCTTGATAGAGTGCGAAGATGAGCATTTTCTGCTTATGATAAGTAGAGATAGGCAATTTGATTGGTTGATGCTTTGGGACACGATAACTTTAGTTCTAATTAGGTGAGTGTGATGAAACTTGGTGTATAGTTTCATTACATCAATACCTTGACTAAGTTCGATGATGAGAATTGTCTGCTTAGGCTAAGGAGCAATAAGCATTTTGATTGGTCAAGACTTTCGAACATAACAACTCTACTTCTAATTGAGGTAGAATGTTTAAACTTGATGTAGATGTTCGTCTTGCTTGAGTTCAATGATTAACATATCGAGCTAAAGCTAAACAATTTCCTTGGTCGATGCTTTGGGACAAGATAACTTTGATTCTATCTGATAGAAGAGAGTGATGAAACTTGTTGATAATCAGTTTGATTGCTCAATACTTTTGAAAAAAATAGATGTGCGATTAATTAATATGTGTCATCTATATATTTGGGGATTTCGGCGGGGGACATCAGCCTCACTGTTGGCTTGTTTAATCAGAAGCAGCAGACTGGGTTCTAGAATCTAATCCAGTAAATATCGCAGGCTAGCGATGCCATGATCTAGAGTTGATTGTGGTCTAGGTTAATTAATTTCTAATAAATAATTTAGATAATATTTCAGGCCTAAAGAAAGACATGCAATAGGCAGATATAGCTCTTGCATAATGTATGGTTAAATGTTCATACTGTGATTGGGGCGGGTGGAGGCGAATGGTTAACTGGTGCACATTGCATCATAATAAGGTCTGTCATTGAGTCAAGTGGCGTGGTTTTGTATGTGGCAAGGAGTAGGATCGCCTGTCCAACTTGTAGGTTTTTCCTGCATTCTTGGGTTTCCTCCCACTGCTAAAGACTCCTACGTACGTGCAAGCAAATTAATGAAATTAAATTGAACCATATGTTAGTCTCAAGATGACCTAGTTTGTGTCAGTGGACATTGAGCCCCATCTCTCTCTCTCTCTTTCATACTATGACTATGATTGATAAAATAAATGTTGAGATTTGTATTTATGCTGTGATGTACATGTATAAAGAGTGACCATATGACAATATATATATATTATACTTTTTAACCATAATCGTTAAGCCAGACTTTATATTATTTTTTGGTATACTTTCAGCTGTTTCAAGTAGTATGTCTTTAGCCCTGTCTGGTACTCTAACAGTTGTTCTTTTTGCTGGTATGCAGATGTTTCGACAACAGTTAGCATCAGTTGAATATTTAACAGTAGTTGGTGGATTATTAGGGTCATTTCTTTTTATTTTATTATTAACAGTATCCTTTTATTTAAAAAATATGAATACTTTGAAGTAAATTTTACCTGGACAGGTGCCTTTCTGCCTACACTTCATTGAATTTCATCTGTTATGGGTTCTTTTATGTACATACCAGCGTACATGACCTTAGTTTTTCATCCCATTTGAACGCCTAGATGCTGTTCCTTGCTAGAGCCTTGGTCAGCTCAGTGCTGCAACTCCGAAAAGGGGAAACCGGGTTGGTTACTGAGCCAGTGCCTTACTGAGCACCCACCTTAGCAACCTCTGCCAATGAAAAGTTTGTGTTTAATCGATGGAGATTTGAATAGCAACAACAATGATAACACTCAGAAATTTAGCCATAAAATTTATTACATAACGGTAAACTTATTGTACTACTAGTACACACAATTCGTGAACATGATTAAAAACCATGAAATAATCACCCCAACAATTTTATTTACCTTAACCCATAAAACAGGCAGTAGGAAATTTTGAAACATTAACATTTGGAAAAGGATTTCAAGCGCAGATTTTCCCAGAAGGTGAGTTTTAGAACAAATACTCCAACTCAAGTGGCTAACCAAATTGTATGTCTCAATTTGTTACGCATAACACAGAAGCATATTAAATTTGACTTATTATGTAAATAATCACATCCCTGTATAACAAAAACCTTTATGGAGAATGGTCTGACTTGTGTGCAAAAAAAAAAAAAATACAATTATTTTATTTGTCTAAGACAGTTAGTTAGTTTGAAGTAAATAGAAACTGATGTAAAGTTTAAATGACAACTTGAGTTAAAACTGATTGCTTTAGAGTAAAAATTGTTTCTAGAATGTAGCACTTCCAATAATCCTCTACTTCTATGACCCCCTTTTTTGGTTGGTTCAGCATCTGACATTGGTGTGTGTTCAGCAGTTCGTGCTACACTAATATAATTTGAGTTAAAATTAATATTTATTTCACTTATGTTTTGTATTTTTTAGTAATAATGTGTCTGTTAGTGGCAATGTTTGCATCTGGTTTAATACACAGAGTTTGTGTTACAACTTGGTAAGATATTATAATTTAAATCTTAAAATGTATTATATCATATATATAGATCCCATTATATAATAGTAACATATAGGTCCTATTATATTAATATAGATCCCATAATATTATCATGGATCATATTATATTGTATAGATCCCATATTATCATAGATCCTATTATATTAATATAGATCCCATAATATTATCATGGATCCTATAATATTAATACAGAATCTATTATATTAATATAGATCCTATTATATTAATAAAGATCCCATAATTCTGTTATATTATTATTAATATCACATAATATTATCATAGATACTAGCATGTTAATATAGATTCCATAATATTATTATAGATCCTACATAGTATAATGTTAATATAGAATCTATATTATAGATCCTTTAATATTATCATATACATGTAGATCCTATAAAATAGTATCAAAGATCCTAAAATATGTAGGACCCTATGATATGGATCCTATAATATTAATATAGATCCCATAATATTATCATTTAGATCCTATCCTATAAAAGAGTATCATAGATCCTATAAAAGAGTATCATAGATCCTATAAAAGAGTATCATAGATCCTATAAAATAGTATCATAGATCCTATAAAAGTATCATAGATCATATAATACAGATTTAGATCCTATATAAATAGTATCATAGATATCATATAATATAGATTTAGATCCTATGAAATAGTATCATAGTTCCTATAAAATAATTGAACCATATGTTAGCCCCGAAATCACCTAGTTTGTGTCGAGTGGACCTTAAACCCCATTTCTCTTTCTCTGTATCAAATTCCAACTGCCAAGGGATCTTTTATGTGCACGCCTATGTGTACACAAGACTTCGGATTTTTGGCCCATCCGAACATGTCTATTGCCAGGCCCCCTGTCCTGCACCAAATTATAAATACATGTTGTATCATAGATCCTATAATATAGACCTGCAGTTAGTAGATCCTATAAAATAGTATCAAATATCCTAAAAAATATGGATGTAGCTGCTGTAACATAGTATCATGGATCATATAATATAGTTAGTAGATAGATCCTATAAGACTAAGAGTATCATATATCCTTTAATAATATCATAAATAATAATAGATCCTGTAAGTGTATCATATATCCTATAATAATATCATAATTGATATTTATAATAGATCCTATAATAGAACCATAGACCCTAACATATTACCATAATCCTAATTCCGATAAAAAATAGATCATAGAACATAGATATATTCTATTATATAGATTGATGTATATCCTATAAATGGAAGCTATTTTCTCCCTGAAAATATCACCTTAAATGATTACCCATTGAAGATTATTTTTGTTGCTTTATTAAATGTTTTATTTTCTTGTCTTTTCAGTTTTATTTTCTCCCTGGTTGCTTTATATTACATAAATCGTATTTCACAGAATAGATATGGAGGTACCACCACACCAACTACACCAGTTGCACCCAGCAAGAAAAAGAGATAAATTTATTAATCATCATCATTATTATTATATTTGTATGTCTTGTAAGATCATGTTATTAAAACTATAGGGATAAAATAACTCACTGGTTCATTTGTTTTGTAATCTAAGTTTCTTGTCCAGGGCGTGTGTTAGTCTGTGATAACATAACCATACTAGATTGCTACAAATGTACTTACATGTACTTGAATGAGACTATATTATGTTTTGCTAGTCCTCTTCCTTCCATCAGTTATTAAAGATGCGTTATAATTAGCATCAAATGTTATATAAATGATTATTTAGACACATGACAAGCCTATAATCAACTCTCTAGATCATCAGATATCTGAAATTTAAACATCTATCCACATGACAAGCCTATTATCAACTCTGTAGACTATCAGATGTCCGAGATTTAAATGGATTTGAACACTCGCGAGATTTATAAATTCAATGATAAAATGCATAATCAAGACTTAGTTTCAGATGACAAGTACCGTTGCTATGATGATAAACTAGAATAAAGTAATTTGAATGAAATTTTTAATGTATTCATTCATTCAAATATACAATCTTAAAAGGTCTTCGTTTTCAAGTCTTTGCTTCATACATATTACCCCAAAAAAGCAAGACCCATTGCAGACATATTTAGGTACACTGATGATTAATAAGCAGTTGGGGACTGAGTTCGTTTTTTTATACATACTGGGTGATTAGTGATTATTAGGTTATTGTTTTAGTGAATAAAAATGTTTTGTCTCTGCCATTTCAACAAATTCATTGTTGGGATTGAAGAAGGGAGAGAACCATTGGCGGCGCCAGCCGTGGGTGATTGGAGGGGCAAAGCTGGGGCAAAGTCCAAGGTTCAGGGGGCAATGGCACGTGCCTCAACTAGGGGTAGGGGTAGTTACTTTAGTAACGAAAATATGAGAGCCCTACCTGCTCGGGTAGGGGGGCCTCCCCAGAAAATTTTGAAAAACAAGTTGCCGGAAATGCAGCCTGGCAGAGGGTATGGGGGACCTCCCAAGAAAATTTTGAAAAATAGACTGCTGGAAATGCTGTCTGTCAGTATTCAGTCAGGCACCGATCGTCGAGATAAATAGATCTTACCAGATACCGTCCGTTGCCTGATCACTAGTTTATCCGACCAGAGAACAAAATGTCAAACGAACGGACTTGCGAACCTCAACGAATTCCCCTTGTGAGCGCCAAACTAGCGAGTCCATTGGGCACCTCCCTAAGAAAATTTTTGAAAAATAGACTGTCGGAAATGCTCTACAACATGCAAGTTAATGACTGAGTGGGGATGTGGGATTTATTCACCGTAGAAGGTATTGATTACCGAGAACAGATAAGCTATTATTGGGCGGGAGGTAATAATGACCAACTGACATTATCTATATTTGAAGATAAAACTATGATATCGCCCCTTTGAAACAAAGAACATTAAACACCCACAACTGCAGGCTGATTTTTTTTTTCATTTATTAAACAACAAATTTTATACAAAGTCACTCGAATATATTATGATGTAAAATCAATTTGCAGATCACATAATGTATGAATTTAAAGGACATGCACATTACATCAGAGCTAAATGTAAAAGATTATTTCTGAAGAAATATTCTTTGATACTCCTAATTTGTATTAAATTATTGGCCATAAATGTCTACTTTAAAACACATGCATTATTCTGGAATGGTATGTTTGATGGACCTCATATTTTAACACAATCTGTGATGTAAAATGATGGGGTTTTACTGGTCACCTCCAGAACAAATAAAACATTTTAACTGTTACATGTATCTAGATTTACAGCTATATGTAAAAAAAAAATAAAACATAAAATAAAATGTTTTGCTAAAATCCTTCACTTTTGTTCCCACTTAAAAATTCAGATATAGCTGATATTTTTTTATCAATTCCAACTACTATTAAAATTATATAAAAAAATATTACAAATTAAAAAAACCCCTGTTTTTTAGAAATTCAGTTTTCCAAATTTGAGATTAAATATCTTTAAAAGATATGTTGAAAATAATAAATCTGAAATATCGAAGTTGCAGGCCCGGAATCGATTCTGCAAACAGAGAACTATCTACTTGAGAAATTTCTGCCCTGAATGGTTGCCATAATGAAAAAAAAGTTACTGATAAATTATGCAGTTCTAATCCGTGTCTTAAATATTTTCATAAAATCGTCAAAATGGGAATTAAAATGTCTGTCAACTGGCTTTGTGTCTGTTCTCAAGTATAGCTAAATGTAGATAGACCTGGTAAATTACGTATGCCTGGATTCTGAATATGCAAAGATAACTACAATTTTTAGATTTATAATTCTGGTAATATTTCAACCACATAATGGTAAAACCACTACCGCCGAAAAACCATTACCAAGAAAATATATACTGGTACACAACAATTTATAAGTTTACAATTATATATTTTTGTGAACATTGCTCTATTGCTCAATCATTGAAACTGATAACTTAACGAAATCAGCATTTATTACTTTTATAGGAAGGATTTTTGAAATTTGAAAAAAACCACCCCAAAACTGGTGCCAATGTAACAGCCAAACATTGGATGACTGTTCACAAGGAATGGGCATTTAAAGAACATCAAAATGCACACAACCTCTAATCTTATTCATTTATTTACTTGTGATATGATTTCTGAAAATAAACAAGTAACAAAATCCTATTTTTTTTAGGGCTTTTTTCTAAGCTGTAATTCTTGGACTGGTCATTATTATTTTTCTTATAAATCGTAAAAACTATATATATAGCTTACACAATCTTTGGGTTAATCAACTTCTTCATAGCTAACTTAACAACATAAAATTATAAACATACTTTAATCTGTACAAATGCACCAACAATTCCCAGGTAGTGTGACAACAAGAAATAAAATCACTAAAACTTAACAATATCACATGTCCAAAATAAAAACATCTATCATACACAATATACATAGTTTATAACAAACTAGAATATATATATATAAAAAGTGTAGCTTCCTTGATTGGATCAAAGTTCTCCCAGAAATATTATTCCAAATCCATAACTTGAAAAGGCATAATAATATTAATAAACATAGCAAAAACTTATAAAATATCAAATTTCTTTAAAAGGTAAAGAGCAACCATAATGGTTTATACTTCTTTTATGAACAGGTGAATATTTTGAAGGAGCTGATTAACCTCTCGGAATTAACTCATGATAATTGTTGAATTCAGTTGATCTGATAAGTTTGCTCTCTTGTTTTTGCTTTGCTTTTGTCATAATTGTTGAACACCTGATCAGTTTAATCTCAACATTGGTTCTATCTGTGGACTGAGAATATTAAATGTAGACAGATATCTAATTAGAAAAGCAATGCAACACATCAGATTTAATTATATCGATACTTTTCACCCAAATCGACGAGGTCATATCTTTTCAAGCGTATTATTTACACACTCTATATTATCAGCCAGTACACGGTATATAAATAAAATAAAACCAAGTACGAACTATCCAAACTATTACACAAAATTCAAAGTCCTAAAAAAACGGTATAGGCAAAATAGTGTAATAAGGCAAAATAGTGTAATCGCTGGATATATGCAACGGATATGAAGACACAATCTATAACTCAGTGGATACAGACAACCTGAACCTTTGATTTGGGTCAAAATAAAATTATTGATTTCATTGGATTTCATAAGCTTAAATTAAGTTTATACAGAGAGTTTTAATTATCAAGGTAGTTTGTGTAATGAGATATTTTTTTGTTTTTAGTGTTGTTATAATGATATTAACTATCAAGATTTCATAATTTTTATTTTTAGTGCTAAAATGATATTAAGTATACCAACAATTTTTGATGTTATACATGTATTTGTACATCCATAAAAAATTATCCCAGATGTTATAAGTATTTGATCCACTATTGTTTAAACTGAAAACATTGTATGCTATAATTTTATCTTTTTTTTTTAAAATCTATCTTCTGTTGACTAGATTTTTTTGTGGTGTCTTCTTTGATAATTTATATCTATGGATAAAACTAGTAATGAGATATAGCAGGTCATGTGTTCCACTATCAACAATGGTAAAACAAAAATTAAACAAAATCAAAATCCTGCATAATTGTTTAAAACAAAAATTTAGTGCCTCGAGCTCACCACAATTACTAAATAACACACCAGATCCACTCAATTCAATACATTATCTTAATCAAAATCAAAGAGGTTTAGCAAGTCATTAAAACTTCATATTCATTGTACTTAAAATACAGATGTGATGTCATCCTTTGATGTTGGCGTGCCATTATTTCAAATGATACGGGGACATTATTTATATAAATATTGGTCCCATGTGATGATTTCATATAAATGTACTTACAGGATAGTGTTTCTGTATTTTAAGTTGTTTAGAAGTCTTAAACATGACATTGTGTAATGTAATGATACATCATTAGAGTGACATAATGTGCAGTATGAATATATTACTTAATGTCGACTTTTAAACTACAACTTTAGATTTTATCTAACTATAGCCTGTTCAAAATGTACCAAAGTGAACAATATAGAGCAGGGCCGGCGGAAGCAATTCTTGATTGGGGGGGCTTCCATCCTGGGTCCTTATAGGCAAGGGTCCAGGGGCCGCAATAACCTGGAGAAAAGAGAACTTGCGGCCAAATTATTAGTGGGGGGGCCTGTAAAGAAATTCGGTGAAATTACCACCAAGTTTTACAGCTCATTCTTTGTAATACAAGCAACTCATGGTTACGGATTACAAACTGACTACACTAGCCTGAATTAGTTAATTTCATTGTTTTCTATCTAAATAATGAGTAGACAGGGATTCCCACACAGAATGACTGCTATTGAATAGTTATTCTCATTAAAATGAGATGTCTTTTTTATTATGCTTTAAATGAATTTATTATTGTACATATTGGGTGGAACTCTAGTCCTGATTGTACAATAAATCTCCTAGGTTAGAGTACAGGAAGTTTTGATGTACTTATATTAAAAGAGCTAAATCGCTAATATTTGGGTCCTAGAAATTGACACAAAAGGGTTCCAGCCCATATAATAATGTAATGTGAATGTATATATACATTGATTTACATTCAATCGTTTCCATTTTTACTCTTTAATTTCAAATCAGTTATATGTCAGAAGTCTTAATTGAATGGCATTTTCTAGCGTCTGGTTATTCCAGTCTACACCGATAGTATTTATTGCGCATTCTCTCCAGATAAGAATATATCATCACCATTTGACATGACTTATGGAATATGTCTAGCCTAGTTACAAATGGCACTCAAATGCATTATGGTACACGATTCGTGTACCAATGGTAAAATGTTTATTTGTCTTAAATATTGGATATCAGAAGCCCATCTTTTCCATGTAAGATCACAACATTTAAACAAATAATTGGCAAATAATTTGTGTTTTCAATGTCGAAGACTTTGGATGATATTGAGTTAGAGGCTTAGCTACTTTAAAATATAGCATCTTAACTGAAGTCCACAACATGTTTTTTATGCCTCATATTACTAGAGAATAGGCATTTAACATGATTTTCTATCTCAACCATGACATATCATTCTTCCTTTAAAGGAGCTAGATAGCTAATATTTGGGACGTAGAAATCGACACAAATGGGTCACAACACATATAATAATGTAATATGAATGTATATAAACTGATTTACATTCAATTGTTTCTGTTTTTACTCTAATTTCAAATCAATTATGTTTGGCGAAATACGCCAAAAGTCTTAATCAAATGGCAGTCACCGTTTGACATGACATATAGAATATGTCTAACCTCATTCTTCAAGTCCCTGGTTTCAAATGGCTCTGAAACGCTTTATGATACACGATTCGTGTACCAATGGTAAAATGTTTGTCTTAAATATTGGAAATCAGAAGCCCATCTTTTCCCAGTAAGATCACAACATCAATGTTGATTTAAATTTGACAAATAATTAGTGTTTTCAATGTCAAAGATTTTGGATGAAAGTTACTTTAAGGAAAGATGCAGTGAATGTATATCTTCTTCACTTGCTTCACCATGGATGACTCATTGTAAAGCATAATTGTTTTTGCATAAATAAGTAGAAATACTTTTTTGGTTGTCATCACTGATAAAATGTTTTTACAAGTCATCATCTAAAAAAACTACCTTCACCAACAGCATATGCTATTTCTTTTTTATATTTAGACACTTGTGTGTTTATCTGATTGTCCCCTACTTGACCATCTTCATACCTGAAAGATTAAACACTAAATATTAACATGGTTATAAAAATACCAGTGTCTCAAATATTTATAAGATCACAATTGATCAGTTAATTGAGGTTGCCAAGGTGATTCAATACACTACAGTTTCATATTGATTATAACTCTTGTAAAAGTGAGACTACTTTATTATGTATGCCAGAAAAATGCTTTTGGAAGACATGTTATCCCTTCCGTTCCATAAAACTATTTTGAAAATGAAAAACTTCAAAATTGTCCTTTTTCAATCAAATGTCATTTGAAGCCCATGGGTATGTCTTTTTTTAATATGTACTTTGGCATTGACACACAAGTCACAGACTGACACTAATGCAGAACCTTATTACTAGCCCCTGTTGTGTTTTTACTTACACAAAGAAGAATCTTGTACAAACATGATCACTATTCGATGCTACCCATATATTATTATTCTTCTTTAAATCTGGTGATGTTATTACTACAACACAAAATTAATATCTATATAAATATAGGTATATACATTATTCAACTCAATTCTCTTTATTAATCATAATTCATAAAAATAACATGATTTGATTTATGTATACCAAACTATTACTTCAATGAAATATAATAAAGGACAATGTCTTTAAACATTATAGATACTGTAAAACAAAAATTTAATGTGACAGCCTGTGCATTTAAAACTAAAAGGACAAAATACCTTCACACAAAGCTATACAAGTAATATTTTGACTGGTGAGAAATCTTAAATTTTTCTGAAATGTAAAATAAAAAAATAAATAGTCGGTTAAACATACATTATGCAAGAGGTAAATTTGCCTATTACGCAGGTCTTTCTTTAGGCTTGAAATGTTATCTAAATTATTAATTAGACATTAATTAACCTATCCGGACCATAATCAACTCTAGATGGCATCGATAGCCTTCGATCTTTAGTGCTAACTATTCGGCCATCAAACCCCGCAAAACTTCTGAGCAGTTTATAATTGTCACTAATTGAACGTTTTGAAACAGCGCATTTTTCCAGAACTTATGTAAACAACCTTCAGTCTTCTAACTTCCAGTATAGACATCAGTGAATGGGACATTAGGTAGTCCCTGATAAAAATAAAAATTTATATCACATATTCAAATAATTTTTTGAATCTATAAATGGACGTTTTATAAAAGCTGGAACAATGAGATAAATGTTGGACTTCCACTGAGTATCTAATTGATAAAACTGAGAAATCTTTTTTACCAATTTGGGTCCAGGACTTTGGGCTTACCTTTTGATCTGTAGTTTTTTTCTTGGTGTCATAAGCTCCATATCCCATTCTAGAATAACCAAATGATACAGAAGAAGATGGACTCAGGTATATACCTTTACCATATGCTGAACCATTCAACTAAAATAGAAATTATACATATGATGAGCTTTTTACATGATAAATGCTTTAGAAAATACTTTTGTTTTTCTTACCCATATCTCACATCGTTATAGAGACATAATAATCATGTACTGGACAATATCCCAGCTTAAGACTAATAATTGAAAATCTTAAATCCGACTTAAAGTGTTTTGAACAAATATTTCTTAATATCTTTAGAAACACTAAAAACAATATATGTAGGAAGTTTCATTTGACAGTTAAAACTTTTCTATCTCAGCGATGGCTTGACCAATTGGCCATAAAATTTGCAATCAGTTGAATTTGAACAATCTGTGATATGACTGTAGTCAAATAACATCTGACTGGCAAAGATTTACAGAGCACTAATGCTTCTTTGAAAAGTATTTGTTTTAAAAAGCACAAGTTAAGTTTCACAAAATCTGGATTATAATAATCTCTTAAGAAGATTTTTCTGATATTAACCATGCTCTGGGGCACAACTTACCTGTTTATCTGTACCAGAAGCAACAATTAATCCTTCCCTAATTATAGAATGCCAATTCTCTATACTTGAACCACTGAAATAAAATTATCAAGTAATGTTCATTATAGAAGCTTGCCTCTAAAAAAATGTTTCATTGGAAAATCATAGCAAAGAATAATATTCAAATTTATTACAAATGTAAATAGAATTTTGCCACACCAAGGACACAAAAATTAATGTTGTTGAGACCAATAATCAAATATTTCAGGTAGACAATTCTTTATCTGCTTAATCCCTGTTTGTGAGAATCTATATAATTAGTACTTCTAATTCTTTAAATTTCACACTTACTGAAATGCGTAAGTGCTGCCAAATTTTTCCTTATAGTTTCGAAATTTGGCTTCTTTGGCTGGTGGACTGCTCAGTAGTAAAAATTGATGTGGTGTAGCCATAGAGAGAATTCTCTGTAAAAATTAAAAAAAGAAATAAATAAAATATAAAGTAATCTGTGTATTTTAATTGGGTTAAAGAAATGAGCAGGAAAATTCAAATTATAGACTCAAATTGCCAAACAAACCAACAATAAATTAAGCAGTCTAAGAAATAAGAAATAAAATCATAGCATAAAAATATTTATTTTACCAATCTATTATTGAAATTTGATCTTTGGTTAAAGAAAAATAAAAGAACTAAAACAGCACAAGTCAGTCCTAACTTTTTCTCGTTTTGGTTGAAATTACATGTAGTTTACATAATAATTACTTACTCTATCAAGTGGTAATTTTACTATATGAGATCTATTACTACCAATAATCCTGAAATATTGAAGAAGGTTATATATGAACAGAAATAAATTTTATTATTCTATAATGTTTATGAAGAAATCAAATGGCCTCACAAAATCTTATTTCTATCTGTCAATATATCTTAGGAACCAGAAAAATAAAATCAATTATCAGCAGCTATCAAACACAGTTTGTGCTAATTTGTGTTACTGTTTTAAAAACCACATTATATGAAAGAAGAACCAATCATCATTTTTGTTAATTTGATATGACCTCCAGTTGAGCTAAGAGCACAATTAATACACGAAAAATACAGAAAAGACATTTCTATTTCAAAGAAATGATTTCATAATTTTTAACCATGACTGTCTGTGCCATAAAACTTTTACCTACCACTGTAACAAAGGATAAGCTAGTATATTATGACCATCTAAACATGACTTGAGTTCAGCACCAGAAAATCTAGAGATAGTGTTCATATCAGGAATCACTTTCAGTATTTGCTCCACCTTATCATAGTCTTTACTCTGAAAATAAATAAATTATTACATTCTCTTATCACTTAACCTCCTATTGTTTAAGTTATGGAAGTAAACAAACATGGCGCTGACTTTAATATTCATGATTATCTGAGATTAGGCTACACAAAATAAATGTCTTGTTTCTCGGGCAACTGACAGCTGAAACTGTAGGGGGGAGGGCGGTTTATTTTTTTTTTTACCTCATTTCTGGCTAGAGGATGGTGCAAAATAAAATTTGGCTATTGTTGAAAATTGTTGGGGCGGGAGGGCGGCCTTGTATTTTTTTTTTTTTTAATGAGAAAGTCATTACTTGTCTACGGTTTTGCTTTCAGTTATATATTATACATACTTAGAACATAAACCCAAAAATCAAGTCTACTCAAACACTGAACACTGACTGAAAGGAAAATAATTTTCCATATTTAATTCATGTAATGTAGCTTACTAATGGTAATGGTGACAACCATAATTGAAATTGGTTTAAAATAAAATTCCGTACGACTATTAATAGCCGTCCATAATAACGACAATACTTTAAAGAGTAAGCCTCTGTCAGCATGTGTATCAAAAATAATCATCACGGTAAACGACAGATAGATCTAAATCTAGTATAACGCTGGTTTATAATGATTGACCTAATTCCAACCAATGCATGTCACGTGTCATCGGGATTCGGGAAATGACAGTTTCTCAGGATATTTGGTGTGTTTCTCAGGATATTCGGTGTTCTATCTGGGGTTTATATCGAATGACTATTTAAATTTAACTAACAACTCGTCAGTAAAACCATCAAATGTGTAATCCAATTATCAAAACTACCGTTAAATGTGCTAATGACCCAGATTCTGACTAAGGGATGGTGACTATCATCGTATCGTATTCGTAGCCACAAGTTATAATAATTAACCTGTTCTACGATTCATTGTTTTAAAAGTAGGATTTTTTCAAACATGGACCGACTGAAGCCGGCAATAATGAGCCGATTAAGATCGAATGATTGAAATACATTGCATTGTTGTCAATGACTTTCGGTGTTTAACACGAATCAAATTCTAGTTCACAAGGGGAGGTAATTAAAATCATTTGATACAAAAATGGAGGTTCTTTCGATATCAATAAAAAAGACCCGTAAATGAGCGTTTACATCTGAATCAGTTTAATACATTTGAATGGATATTCACGTTTGGGGCATGTAGATACATGCGGCATATTCTTTTTATGACTTGCTTATCGATGTTTGGGCGGGCGTTACATATTTTTTATTTTTCATCAAGACTAATAAATAGGCCGCACGCGCAGCCAATTTTGCGTGCGAGCGGTGCCCGAGAAACAACTTATTTTATTTGTGTTGCCTTAGTAAGACTTTCTTTGAAAGAGAGAGAGAAATGGGGTTTAATAATTTTTTTGCGCATAGGGGTATTTAGCTGTGGGAGGAAAACAGAGGACCGGGAGGAAACCAGAGGACCGGGAGGAAACCAGAGGACCTGGAGCCCCCGCCTCCACAACAGATAAGTGTTTTACATATATGAAAAAATCTAAATTTAGCTGTACAATTATTCTCATTATCTCATAATAAGGACAATATAGTCTTAGGTGACATTATGTCATAATTATACACAATACTAAGATAGGTAATTGTGAGATAATCAGAATATTTTTCTTTTGCAATTGAATGGCACTAATGGCCTTCCATAGTTCACAGTAAAGAAAATAATAAATTGAAAATCTTACCTTTGGATTTAGAGCCAATTCTGTAGATTTTTTTGGATCAACAACAGTTGGATACGGATCAAATATGGTGGCTTTACGATTATGTTTACAGGCAGCTTTTGTCATGGTAACTAATAAATCAACAACCTGAAAAGATAAACACATGATAATATTAATACACACCTTGTTAATTGAATTTAACATCAATACAAATCATTCAAATGCTTCAAGATTTGTTTAAATTGTTGTTTACTAAATTTATGATGTTTTATTTTTGTATCTTTGTAAAAATCGTGCTGGGATCCAAGGTGGCTCAATAAGTAAGATGTTGGCTCGTTAATGTGGAGATCCTGGTGTTTGCCAAGAAAGTTCATCACAGTTTTAGGGCACGGGACAACGTATAGTCATTCGGATGGGACAAAAAAAGCCTAACAAGGTTCTGTTTACACACTGGCAATGTAATTCAATGTTAGTAGTAGGCCGCAGTGCCGCTGTCAAGGCAAAATTTCCCCTATAGCACAATGTATGGCTTATGCCTGTCTTCATTAGCCCAGTCGGAGTAGAACAGTGGGAGGTTAAATGCCATTTCACTTTACTAAAATCAAGCTTTTGTTTTATAAAGATAATGGCATCAAATATGCTGATTAGCATTTATTTATTACCTCAGCTCCTGTAGCTATATCAGCAGCAGCATCACTCATCACATTTAAAGTCTGATATGAAAACACACACAACTCTCTTGAACACACAGCAGGCTGAATTCATAAAAAAAAATAACAGATAATGATATTAACTGAAATGAATAAATCTGAACAGTTATAAAACACTAAGAAATAATTTCAGTGATTCTGAACAGGGCTTGAAATGTTCTCCTGTCTTCCTGCAGCCGACAGATTTTGTTGAATAAGCAGATTGTTTTCCCCTAGAGCAGACTGGCTGGAGCTTAACCATGCAATAACTAGATGTTTCCAATGTTAATGCACACTTTTGCTGATTTACGTTAGTTTTAGTAGAAATCATATAGAGAAGTGGGGTGGGTTATCTGTACAATAACAACAAGCATGTTGAGCAGGTGTCAATGTTACAAGTCATTTATAGCACGCTTCATTCGTTAACAGGTTTAACACCTCGGCCTACGGCCTCTGTGGTTAAACCTATAAACTCATGAAAGCTGTGCTATAAATATAACTTAGACTACAATACTCACATATCAGTTCAAGTATATTTAATGTTTCCTTTCCAAAATGTCATGTAAGAATTAACCAAGAATAAATACTAAGAAAAACTGTGATCCATTATCAAATGTACTGTTTACACATAAGCCTGTTGTATAGTTGGACACACACAAAGTCAATTATTAACATGGCTCACATGGAAATGCCCACAGATGGCCAAACCAATGCGAAATGCTTACAGCTTTCCCAAAGGCCTTAATCTGCCAATTTTCCTACGCATGTTCAATATTAATCTGGTTGTCAATACTGTGTTCACATAAACAAAACAAAATACCTTTAACATAGCTCCATTTTGAAAGACATGGGGTTCATCACAAATAACACAATATTCATTTAAAGTTGGAATTCTTTGTCTGGCATATTGGAATATCTACAATATAAAGGTATAAAATATCAAATATTTATGACCGCCACAAAAACCCCCCCAAAAAAAACAATGAAAAAAGGTCAAACCTGCTTCTTAACTTCCATATCTATGTCTTCATTAGTCCAGTCAGAGCAGAAGAGTAGGACATTAAACCCCATATCTAACTCAGGTACGATTTGAAGTTCATATTAATAATATTCCCACAATAATTACCTTTGATTATTCATGGATCTATAGCACTTCATGCACAGAAACATTTATCTGAACTCGAGCACCAAAATGCAGTTTATACAAGGCTTATTTAAATATTTGGATACAGAAACATATTCTGGGTACACTATTACACTATACGATTACACCCCTTTCAAAACATAGTAAGACACTGACCAACATAAGATATACCACCCTATAAATCTACTGATATCAAGCTAACTTTCATAAATCATAAGGTAACGATTCCTTACTTGAACAAGGAATCCATTTTCTAAGGTAGGCATATTCTTTGAGTTAAGTCCCTTGATTGTTGAAGAGGGCAACAGAGTAAGATCTTCTACTGGGGCACTGGATTGTAAATTAGGAGTAGTAACAGACGTCACCATAGATGTAGATTTCTGTTTTTTATATTGCCTCTTGTAGCGTTTAAATGAAGGGTAGGATGTTTGTCTAGCTGGGAGTTCTGATTTCTTATCTGTATGAACTTCAATAATACCTTCAACATCACCATGACTTAAAATAGAGAAGCATATGGTAATCATTGACAAATACATGTACAAATTTAGTTTTCATAGACTTAACATAAATGTTTCAATGTTAACAAATTAAGACATAACTACCAACAATTAACTTAATCGTGAAACAAAGTTAATAAGCCGAGTATATTCACTTTATATGTATCGTCTGATGAAAATACAAGCACAATCGCAATTAAATCCATTCAGACATTCTGAAGTACAAAATTTTAAACATCTCCATCCCTTGCTTTTAATCCCTCCACCGAACTATGAGCAACAAGAGTTTTCTTTTCCAAACATCTGTAAACAATGCTCATCCTGTCGATCACCATTTCTGATAAAAATATAATTTTGGCAATTAAATTTTGAATCTGGAGGATTCTTTAGCGATAACTTTTTCTCTGTGCTAAAAGAAAGTTTTCACCAAAAAAATTTCAAGCTTTGTTTATTTTTCATGTCATCCATCCCTCCCTTCTGATCCATATCCATGCTCAGACATCAGTCAATTATCATTCAATTAGCTTATCAATAATTGAGCTATCTATTGTCTATTAATCAATCTAGGATTAGTGTTGATTAGTTTAATTATATGGTATGAAATTGAACATGAAAATCTGGCATAAAAATGGAATCAAGGGAGAGCACTGTCTGTAAGAAAATAAATGAATATGTACCTGTCAGTGTTTGTTACAAGAAAGTTTAAAGCGTCCTGCACATTTCCTCGTGCAATAATCAGTGAATTTCTAGCTAAATCAACGGAAAAGCCCATTTCTACTATCTGAGACAAGGAATGATCATCAACAACATACATTTTGTCATAATCATCATCCCTGTAAAAACAAAATACTGGAATTATAGTATCATCAGACATATACAATTGATTGAAATATAATATCAGAATAAAATATAGCTTTGAACAAGCCAACAGTGAGGCTGATCCTCCACGTCTGTATCCCAAAGTAAATGATTGAATTTTGATAATTACTCACACATTTACCCTTTTATAAATAATAGAGCAATAATATTACTCAAAATGATTTGGGTCAATAACTAAATCAAAGAAATGAATTGAAATGGAGTTTAATGTGCTACTGTTCTGCTCCAACTGGGCAAATAAAGACAGGCATATACGCCATGCAGAGTGCTATGATGGAAAGTCTGCCTGGACATCGGCGCTACAGCAAAGGGTTCTTTTATGTGCACGCCAATGTGTACACGGGACCTTGGTTTTTCGTCCAATTCAAACGACTATATGATGTTATCCTTTGTCAGGCTGTCTGTTCTGCACCACTGACAAGGGGGAACCACACTGGAAAATCCTGATGAACTTTCTTGGTAAACACAGGGACGGAACACAGGTCCTCCAGGTTAGCGAGCCAATGTCTAACTCACTCAGGCATCGTAAATCAAAGAGGTTTAGCTCCTTTAACACTGTTCACCATAATTTACATTATAATTACCTGATTTCTTCACTTATTGCTTTGCTTTGTTTTTCTGTCATATGACATAAACCTACTGGTACACTGACAGACTTACATACAGCAGAATCAACTAAAGAATTAGAAGTTTTTTTCCAATTCTCTAATAAAAATGTCTCCATTATCCTGTGAAGAAAATGTATCAAATGATCAGATATTTAGATTTCATTATTCTTTTTATTTCATTTATCTTTTTGTTTAAAAAAATTAAACATGCTTTGACTTTACTTGAATTTTAATAAATTTTGATTACATGTTCTAATAATTGGTCTATTGTCCTGTATTTGAATAAACAATGAGAAAAATTATATGAAATACAGGTACTGACGAAAAATGTGCTAAAAAAAGGTATTGTTTTTAAGATCAGCTTACTTTGCCATTTGTATTCCCACACAAGATTTTTCTTTCTTTGACCCTTGAAAAACTTCAACTCCAGGTGCTGCTGTAAAATAAAATAATTGCAGCAGCAATGCATACATATATATCTGTCATGCAAATTCAAAATATCTGTTGTATATACACTGTTGCTACCAATTCAAATTTAATGTGATATAGGTGATATAGGTCCCATGTCATCTATGAGGTAGGGTGATGAAATGCTTTAAAATGTGTGCTTTAGATCATAAGGTTTGTCATTGCATCAAGTGGCGTGGTTTCGATTCCTTGCTTATATGTGACAAGGAAAAGGTTGCCCCTACAATGTTGTGGGTTTACTCTAATCATCTGGTTTCCTCCCACGACACAAAGACCCTTAAACTTAAGCGAATTAAAATAAATTTGTGTAGAGTAATGTGCAGAGTGATGTTAACTCTCTCTGTCTCTGTCCCTCTCTCTCTCAATTTAGTTCATAAGCATTCTTCCGAATCAAACATGACTGTTCATTTTGAAACTGCTGTGCAACTTCTCTTTCACATACTATACAAATTAAAATGAGTTTGGTAAAATTACCATCATAATTTAAGTAGTCGTGAGATGAAAGATGTAATAAAACTATCAGTGGGACATCCCTGTCAAGTTTCCAGGCATTAGCAACCTCTCTATCTAAGAAAGAAACTGGAATGTTCAACTCCACATCTATTTCTTCTATAGGTACAAACAGTCTAGAGAGAGAAAACAAACATATATTATTAATATAAAATTTGAAATAAAAATAAAAATGTCACAAGAAAAAATCCCCTTTCCTAACTCCTCCGAACCAAAAAACATGACACAAGTGAAATTTGTCAAGACATTATCGAGGATATCACAATGTTTTTACGTGGGTGTCAGGGTCAAATAATATTTAAAGTAGCTAAGTCTCTAACTCAATATCATCCAAAGTCTTCAACAATGAAAAAAAAAATTATTTGTCAATTTAAATCAGCATTGATGTTGTGATCTTACCAGGACAAGATGAGTTCTGATATCCAATATTTAAGACAAACAAGCCAACAGTGAGGCTGATGTCCCCCGCCGAAATAGGAAAATAATTAGAGGACACATATAAATTTATCACAAATTATCTTTTACAAAGTATTGAACAATCAAACAGTATATCTTTACTTATAGTCTAAGCATACAATGTTTTTGATGGAATAATTATAGCATATTAAGGGGAAAACATGCTCTATGCCTACAGATCTAGAGTTTGGTTGTATCAACGGGTCTATTTTCCATCTTGCTGCAAGTTGTGCAAAGTTCACTGTTTTCTTTCTGTCATTAAATGTCAATTCATTATTGCATACTACATATTTAATTAATTTATAATAGTTCTCACTTAATTAGAACTAAAGTTATCGTGTCCCAAAGCATCAACCAATCAAATTGCTTATCTCTGCTTACCCTAAGCGGAAAATGCTCATCTTCGAACTCCATCAAGGCATTGACCTAATAAACACATACACCAAGTTTGAACATTCTAGCTCAATTAAAAGTTATCGTGTCCCAAAGCATCAACCAATCAAATTGCTTATCTCTGCTTACCCTAAGCGGAAAATGCTCATCTTCGAACTCCATCAAGGCATTGACCTAATCAACACATACACCAAGTTTGAACATTCTAGCCCAATTAGGAAGAGAGTTATCGTGTCCCAAAGCATCAACCAATCAAATTGCTTATCTCTGCTTACCCTAAGCGGAAAATGCTCATCTTCGAACTCCATCAAGGCATTGACCTAATAAACACATACACCAAGTTTGAACATTCTAGCTCAATTAGGAAGAGAGTTATTGTGTCCCAAAAAGTGTGACGGACAGACAGACGGACAGACAGACAGACAGACAGACAGACAGACGGACGAACCCATTTTAATAGTCCCCTGCTTTCTTCGAAAGGCGGGGGACAATTAAACATTTTACCGTGGCTACCTGAATACTCCACAAGTCATGTCATATTCTTATCTCATGCGCAATAAATACTATCGGTGTAGACTGGAATAACCAGATGCTAGAGATTGCCATTCAATTGAGACTTCTGGCGTATTTCGGGGTCAAAGGTCAAATGGGTTCATTTGCACAGGAAGTAAATGCGCGGTCATTCTTGTACCATGAAAATAAACTGAAAATGATCGAAAGTAATCACACTTTCAATAAAAATGTAACCGTGCTAAATTCACCTTTGTTCTTTGTGACCCCAGAGGTCAAAGGGTCACATTTTCTGTTTTAGCACTAGGAAGATTTAAAGTAATAAATGTCAGCGTAAAATATAAAAACTAATGCGAAACCTGTTCTAATTAATAATAGGAACATTTAAAATTTATCTTTAGGTGGTCTTAGCAATGAACTTTTACTATGGAATGTCGAAAATGATCTTGCATAACTGAACCAAAACGCTTCGGAGCCTGTTTCAAAAATACGTAAAGATAGGTTGCCAGATAACGAAACATACGCCCACAGTGGCTAAATCGTCCGAGCGGTCGACAAGGGTAAAGTTGCATATTTATTCCTTTGTAGCTAATTGGGGGCCTTTACAAGACAGTTCCATACAGATCAGATTATAATCTTTGCCGTTTGAAGGTTCACAAGGTTCTACAAATTGAAACAAGGGTCTCAACTCCGGAAGTAATCTACAGAAATTGTTGAAATTTGACAGGCTTTTTCTTTTCACAAATTTAAATGATGCATATAAATTTCATACATATCGGATGATAACTTTCATCAATCGAGCATTAACAAGGTTGAACAAAGTTAAATAAGGGCAATAACTCTAGAAGTAATAAACGGAAATTGCTGACATTTAATAGGATTCTTCTCTTTACTAATTTAAATGACGCATGTAAATTTCATACAGATCGGCAGATAACTTTTGATGTTAGAGCATTCACAAAGTTCAATAAAGTGAAACAAGGGCCATAACTCTAGACGTATTAAACAGAAATTGCTGAAATTCAATAACCTTTTTCGTTTCACTTATTTAAATAATACATATAAATTTCAGAAAGATCAGATGATAACTTTTGGTGTTAGAGCGTTCACAAGGTTCAATAAAGTGAAACAAGGGCCATAACTCTAGACGTTATAAACGGAAATTATTTAAATTAAATAGGCTTCTTCATCTCACTAATGTAAACAACATATATCAATTTTAAAACAAATGAATGGTAACTTTTGGCGATAGAGCGTTCACAAGAAATTGGGGACGACGGACGGACGGGGGTGGCGGCAATATACGTCCACATTTCTATGTGGGCGTATAAAAACTGTTAAATCAAAATCTCTCCGAATTGGTTTTACAACGAATGCTATACATAATGATACTAGTTGTCTGAAAAAAAAAAACAATTGAACAGTTCCATGGCTGGACTCCAGCCAGCCTGCAGGCCGCGTCACAAAGCCTGCCAAAATTTTCCCCGCTAACATTTACCAATACGACATATACTCAGCCAAATTAAAAACTTGACACTCAGGATTTTTGGGACTAGATTTTTAATATTTTGTTTAAGGCAACTATTTTAGTGTTATGTTGTGCACAGACGACCTTGACATCAACAGAAAGCAAGAATACGTCTCGCCGAAAGTCCTTGACATTGATAACGTTCGTGATGTCACAGTACCCCCCAAAATGAAATTCACAGACTTGGAGAACAATCGGAATAAAGTGTTTAGTAAAGGTTGTGGCCTCCTCTAGCGTCTCGTACTGCCACACAAAGTCTTCTCATGGATCTCAGAACATTAGTAAACACTACCCCAGGAAGACGTAGCCACTGCTCAGCAAGAGCATGTTGAAGGTCCTGCAATGTCAGTGGTGGATTCACTTGCTGACGAACAAGTCGACCCAGTTCGTCCCAGATGTGTTCAATAGGATTAAGGTCGGGGCTAAGCGACGGCCAATCCAGGACTTGGACACCGTCATTTCTTAAAAAATTCTGGGTAGCAATTGCTGTATGGGGTCGAGCATTAACTTGTTGATACGTTAGTCCAGGCCCATGTCTCTGCATAAACGGAAGAAGAACAGGTTGCAAAATCTGATCCCTGTACTGGACAGCATTTAAGTTCCCTTGGACAACAACAAGAGGAGAACATCCATGTGCACAAAAGAACCCCAAACGATGACGCTGCCGCCACCAAATCGGTCAACTTCTCTGACGCATACTTGAGCGGACCCTGCCATTGGCAAATCTCAAAGTGAATTGAGATTCGTCACTAAAGACAACCGAATTCCACTGTCTTTGAGTAAATCTTATGTGTCTTGTGGCCCACACAAGTCGGTTACAGCGATGAAGAGGTGTCAATATTGGTCCATTATAGGGCCTCCGAGCTCGAAGATCAGCAGCCTGCAAGCCATTTCGAACAGTTTGTGCAGTTACCCTTCCACCAAACATCTCTCTACTTGTGGAGGTTGCAGTGACAAATCTGTTTCTAAGATGACGTAATCGTATTGCTTGATCTTCCTGGAGTGACGTCACACGTGGCGCTCCCGCCCTTGGGCGGTCAACAATAGTTCCAGTTTGAAGCACTCTCATTCTAAGAGCATAGAGCCTACCTATAGCACGTAGACGTTCTACATTTGAAAGGCGCGGCATTTTCTAACAAAGATGAAAATAACAATTTTAATTTGTTTTTCCAGCTCAAGTTACGTGTGCGTGTTCAGTTTAAGCAAACTTGCATCGACTGACCTCACGAGTTTGTGGTTGCACATGTTTTTCAGGTTTTTCATCTTTATATGCTCAAAAGTCACGTGATCCACGTGACTTTACAATTTTATGAAATTAAAGGCTTCTTACTACTTACTATCGTTAGAAACACTTTAAAATTTATTTGACTTACCAGAAAAAAAAATTTGTTGAAATTCATCAGTGTCAAGTTTTTAATTTGGCTGAGTATATATATATCCTGTGAACTACTATGTACAATGCATTTGTCGATTTTATCTGCGTCCATGTTCCGGCGAAATTCATAAAACCTCCTAAAAAATTTGCAAACTTTTAATCTCGTCGTCAGATACGTGTTTTCCCGTCACAGATTAACGTCTGTTTTCCTAGACTGGGATTCTTGGAAATCCACGCGGCCTGCAGGCTGGAGTCCAACACTGAAACTAGTCAATTGTTTTTCAGAAAACTAGTATCATTATGTATAACAATCGTTGTGTAAATAAATCGGAGAGATTTAGATTTGATAGTTTTTACGTATTTTTGAAACAGGTTTCAAAGTGTGTTGGTTCTGTTATGCAAGATCATTTTCAACGTTCCAAAGTAAAAGTTCGGTGCTAAGACCACCTAAAGATAAATTTTAAATGTTCCTATTATTAAATAGAACAGGTTTCGCTTTAGTTTTTATATTTTACGTTGACATTTTATTGCTTTAGATCTTCCTAGTGCAAAAATGGTAAATTTCACCTTTTGACCTCCAGGGTCACTAAGACTAAAGGTGAATTTAACAAGTTTACATTTTTATTGAAAGTGTGATTGCTTTCGATCATTTTCAGCTTCTTTTCATAATACAAGAATGACCGCGCTTTCACTTTCAGTGCAAATGAACTCATTTGACCTTTGACCCCGAATATCTCGAAAACGCCCCAACGGCGGACTGATTACCACTCGGCATCGAATTCTACGCAAAATTTTACTCTAGTTGGGTCTGGTTTTGTGCCCATTTGATGGACACCACCTACCCCCGCGCTGAGCCTCCGATCCATATCAAAATAATATAATTTAACAACATTGGCCCACTCTCTGCATGTACAAAAAATAGAATTGTAAACAATCATAATTTCATATATGTAGTATCGGGAATTAAAGGAAGTCCATGTCCACGAAATGATAAATTTATTATTCATATTGTGTATTTTTAGAAGGAAATGATATCGCAACATATAAACAATCAATATAGCCATAAAAACATGTATATTATTTCAAACTAGTCTAGTGATATTTTGAAACTATATATACCTGTAATTCACTGCTTTATCACCATACAGAAATTTAACTTGTTCTATATCTTTTAATAACAATGGGTGAATTTTAATACCTTCTTCATCAGACTGAAAAGAATCAAAATACTCATTTTACAAACATGTTACATGATATGGTGATTATGATAATTATTACCTGTCCAATATTCTATCATGGGATTTGACGTAAACACAGGAAGGCTACATTACAGTGACTGCAAACAGATGCCAACATTCATGAATCAAATTCTAGTAGGGTTCGTAAATATGCATGGATGATATTGTCTTACCCCTGTTATAATGAAGATGTGCATTTCTAATTTAGTTGATATCTGTTCATAAGAAGTCCATTAAAGTGAATCACAGGATTGGCAATTCAGATAGCAGTAAGTCATATATTGAGGGTTTACTTCAAGATTTTACCAAGGTCATTTATTAGAATTACAGTTATTGGGTTTACAATTACATCAGTATGTGCACATATGGATTTAATATTAGGGTAAGTCATGTAGGTCAGTCCCAATTTAGTGATATCCATTCATTACATGTACAGTTATGGCATAAATTTTAAAAAAAATCGATCATTCAAATTTCATTTACATGGTTTAAATGGTTTATAATAAGACATAAACGATATTTAAATTTTCCCATTCAAGCTGTCTTTGCACCAAAATTAATCCAGTCAAAAGTTTGTCACAGACCAATAAACACAATTATTACCTCCTCAAAGCGTGTAGAATCACCATAGTAATCGTCATAATCATCTGTTTCCTGTCCAGAATTACAGTCTAAATACTCAGACAGATCAGATTCTTTACTGATCAATCTGTCCACAGTAGGTTTACATTCTGGGACTAGCGTATCTTTTTCCTGCTCTAATATATCTGAAATTAAAAAAAAAAATCTTGAGAACATGATTATTGACAATAGAGAGAGAGAAATTGGGTTTAACAGAAACAGAAAATAGGTCATTTTGGGACTAAATTATGGTTCTATTTTATTTCAATAATTTGCTTGCAAGAAGGGTTCTTTAGCAATAGGAGAAAACTGGAGAAAACCCATGCGGTTGGACAGGAGACCCTACTCCTTGACACATACAAGTGAGGAACTGAACCAAACCACTTGACTCAATGACAGAACTTATAAATATCAAACTCATCCACCCCCCCCCCCCCCACTGACAATAGAACAACAGCACAGGTTAAAGATAGACAGAAAGGTTATTTATATATTTAAGATGTTTTAAAACAAGTTGGGCAATATAACAAAATATAGCAATAGAATAGTTAAAAACAAGATGATACGGTTACACAGACACAACATTTACACATTCACCTGATCTTAGCTTCTGTAAAATATTATGTACTGGTCTATCCACCACTTCAGTTGTATTGTCTTCCATGTTGGTTAAAATAGAATTTTCTAAAATTAAATTAAAGTTAGATATTAAGATGGAATTGATAAACAAGGAATTAAAGATAAAAAAAACCCAGATTGAGTATAATATCAATAAACTTAAACCACAAATCTAATTTTGTTTGGATTATCTTTCAATGAATCCCCACATTTTAATATAGTCCTTTTATGACCATGCCCTTAACAGTCAACCTATGGCTACAGTGCTACACTGCTGTTTAGGGTGAAAAACAAAACCCAAATAAAACTAAAAAAAAAAACCAAAGTATTAATAACCTATGGACTGTATACATGTACTTTTTTTCCAATTTTCAAAACTTAGGAAAGCTGCCATGACGTTTTTGGAGTGGCTGTTTCTGAAAATACATGTATTAGCATTATATTTAATACATTTATCATATACACTGTAGCATAATAATTCTTACTTGGATATTCATCGGATATACACAGAGTATAATGAACACTATTTTTTCCAAACCAGCAAAAAGACAAAATTTCTCCTTCATTACTAAAATCTGAAAAGAAAAAGAAAATAATCCTCTTAGTACTAGATTTGAATGTCCACCTGATTAGAATTTGTCTTTAAAATGTGCTAATTATTTATCTATATGTATTAAGTCTAAAACAATGTCAGAAGCAAAGCTACATATATCTTCCTATTGGTATTAGTTACATGTGTAAATTAAAAACAGCATGATAACTAATCACTCTGATTGTCATATATGATATCTTATCATTGAAGTGTGTAATGATAGGGAAGAACAGGAAGTAAAGTTTTAATTTGTTCAAAGAGTATGGATACTGAAAGATATATAAGACACACCTTCAGTGCAACAGGAAATGGCATTGATTGAATGTGTTACATAAAAGATGACTTCAATAACCAAAAGTAAATAATATTTTGACACTATAACAGTGTTTCTTCTCAGAGAAAAATAAAAGCTAGTTCATGGCTAACATTAAAACAGATCCTAACATTTGCACTAGCAAGTTGCTGTAATAAATGGTTGAAACGGCAGGGGGAGGGGGTGGGGGAGGGATATGATTTTTAACGTCCACTCGACACAAACTAGGCCATTTTGGGACTAACATATGGTTCAATCTTATTTTAATAATTCGCTTGCGCGTAGGGATCTTTAGCAGTGGGAGGAAACCGGAGGACCCGGAGAAAACCCACGAGGTTGGACAGGCGACCCTACTCCTTGTCACGTACAACGGGGAATCGAAACTCTGCCAGTTGACTCAATGACAGACCGTATGATACAGCACAGCACGCATGTGCTAACCATTCTGCCATCCAACCCTCCTAGTTGGAACTGTAAATGCTGAAAGAAGTTTACCAATTCTCTTAGGGCTAGAATCTTCAGTGGAAATGCTTCTATAACTGATTTTTCATGTTCTGCATTCACATTTATGTCAAACTCTTCCTCTTTTTTTTATGTGTCCCAACAAACAGTTTATTGGGTTTCTTGTGTTAAGTGGACATTAAACCCCATTTCTCTCTCTATAACTGTGTGGTATATTTATATGTAAGTTATAAACAATGGATCCACCACTCAAATAGTGTTAACATTGTACAAGTTTTAAAAAAGAATGTTGAATTAATCTTTGCCGGACTGGGAAGTTAATCATACTCACCTCAGTTTACATAAACAAATGGTCAATAAGCATCTGTCTTGCTCGTAAACCCCATTTTCACCCAGACATCAAATTTCTTAATTGTAAATCTTCTTGCGAATTGTATTCTTCAGTTCATTTATCGTAAATGGTTTCATGTGTCCTTCATAAATCTTTTCCGAGAGACTTTACAAGATGACGTAATCCATCGAAATCAGGTCGGGGATTTTGGCGGCCATGCTGACCAACGATCTTTATCTTTTTATAAAGCCTTGACTTGGAGTGGCCTCCTCGAGACAATTCTACTTAGTCTGCTGGTGTGGCTTGCATCCAAGTCCTGTTGGAAGACATAGTTCTTGTTCAGATAAAGCCTGTGGCAGATTCATGTAACATTTAAAGTCATAATTCATTGTCAAAGTATCGAAGAAATGAATATCCGTTTTGCCATTCCAACCAGACACTGCAATCTCGAACATTAGAAAAAAAAGCATATGACTTAAGATATCTGTTTTTTGAATAACACAAACTCTGGATATTTGTGCGATCTTATAAGTAAAATCCTTTTGAAGCGCATAAAACCATTCACAGAAAATGAACTGAAGGATACTATTAGGGGAAAATGGGCAGAGATAAGAAATTTGATTTCTTGATGTTAAATGCACTTACGAGCAAGGAGGACATACTGACCATTTTGTTTATGACTATGTATGGTGTGCGAATTTTTCACCACCCGAACAGATTGCAATCTGCGTAGAGCTCTGTGTTGTGCAGAGTCCACTCTGTCTGTGCAGATTAGACCCTGCACATGTCAATTGTTATCGAACTGGTGTGCAGATTGTTAACATTGTGCTGATTATTCCTTGATGTTTTGTTTTTAAAGATGAAAGTAGGATCTGTCCTATATCGACTTTGTACTGTAATGATTTTCAAATAATTTTTTAAAAATCACTGCATAACTAGCGTGTGTGCTTAGAATAAGATTTAAATTCAAGTCCACAGATAATCTTTGCTATTATAGACATCAACTGATCACGTGACTGAATGTTGTAAAACATTTACTGTAATTAACGCGAACTTCAGTGTTATTTTTGTATAGTTGAAATAAATACATTTATTATAACAAACAGTCGACAGATTTTTAAATATTTTATCGAAGTGCTATGTACATGTTTCTAAAAACTTCTGGTTAAGTGGACATTTAATAGATATGTGTATGTGTGGGCCAAGTTTTTTCAAAGGGTTGTTGGGCTGTGACGCAGCAAAGATTTGGTCAGTTCCCACTAAAACATATTACTAGACAGAGATTCATGTTATCGTGTATGCGTGGGGGTAATTATCTGGCCACGAGGTGAAATCGGCGCTCAACATGTAGGGCTTACATTAGTTCCTTTAGGAACTGTCTCTGAGCAGACGATGTCCACTGACAGTTCCTATTGGGCCCTATATAGTCGCAATATGAAAATACCGCTCTTACACTCCTCTGTTCTAAGGTTATATTGGAATCCTTAGCTACTATTTTTCACCTTTATTCTAATTTATTCACCAAAGGAAACATTTCTTGCCACAACTGACACACATTTATAATGATTCAACACTATTTTCAAGTAGAATTCTGCGATTAAAAACATACACAAAATACGTTTGATCTGACAGCCATTACATTATGAGACCCGGACATACGCAAACCGCATGTTTATTTCATCGCTAAATTCTACTTGAAAATTGTGTTGAATAATTAAAAATTTGTGTCAAATATATTGATAAATGATTCCTTTTGGTGGAAAATAAAGAATCACGGTGAAAAATATAAGGTTAGTGTTCTAAAACAGCCTGAGAACACAGGTGGGGAAGAGCGGTATTTTACCATATTTTCATATTGCAGCTATATAAGGCTCGACAGGAAATGTCAGTGGACATCGTCCGCTCAGAGACAGTTCTTAAAGGAACTAGGCCCACATGTACATTCCTGATGTGAGTGTGATGTGACTTCTCAGTGTTAAAACTTGGTTTGACATTCTTTTTTTTAAAACCCTTACTATGGGATGTGACTTCTGAATCCAACAGAACTTGATCTAACATGTGATACTGAAATATTTACAACCATGTGTACGTTACCGGTGATTTGACATTATTAATAGCTATTATGTACATACCTTTAAAACTCCATGAATATTTTTCTATTAAAGAAATGGCATTTGATACGTCACTTTTAAATTTCTTCCTACATTCAGACATTGGGAAATCGTTTCATAAATACTGATACGCCTAAGAAATAGTTTACAGTATAGTAGTCCTCCAAGCATCTGTATAAAAAAAACTGAAGGATATTTATGTCATTTTGTTGAGCAATTCTCCAGCGAGAGATGAAACCGAAAGAATAAATGAACTTCCTAGTTTGTTTACTTCTGGTTTCTGTAGAGCGCATGCGTGTATTTATAGCCCTAGATTTATTAACTTCCGGAAAAATATATTAGATTAAAATAAAAGATCGCCTTTAGTAAAGGGAACTTGTTTTGATACATAGATCAAATGTATAGCACAATTTATATATTTTTGATAGGTGAATCTTTTCTCTGAATGCAAGCTTACAAACAACATGAGTATGAGTAAAAGCATTCCATAAAATGCGTCATTCGCCTTGACAGACTTTTCAACCTTGACCTTTGCATCTCAGACAAACAGAATTATCGAAAACGTTGGAGTGCCAGTTTAGTAATTTTTCCTTTTGCTCTGGGTGGGCAGCTAAGCCACTAAGAGAATGTATTCTTCATGTAAGGTATTAATATGATTTCCATACATAAAAGTTTTACTGTAAATCAATTGAATTTTATTTTAAAACACAGACAAGTTGAAGTTCTACTTTTTTCAATTTTTAGTCAAGCAAGGAATTACTGTAGTGTCTGTAGATCAAGAGAATTGTGAGAAGAAACAACTAGGCCTATTTAATTTTAATCTTGTATGCCAGATATTTTGAACTCCTGAATTGTTAAGGGTGGTGGCAATGGAAATGGCTATAAGGCACTGCTAATATTAAACCTATCTACCAATCCATATTATACTATTATTATAGTCTAACAATGAGTAACAAACAAAAACCATGCAATTCTTTTTAATGACAGTACAGTCTGCCAGTGGTCAGTAAAATGTAGCATATCAACTGTTGATCGGAAATACATTGGCCTAATTTAAAGATTTCAAACATTTGATTTGAGATCATTTGTGATCGAAAGCTTAATTATGCCTTTGGTTTGTTTTACCGGTACCAGGTCTGTTGAATTTAATTAAGGAACAACAAATAACGGTAGGCCTACTGATAATTTGTTTTTTATAATCTGTAAATTAATGTTGTGATCAAAATAGTAACCCACATTATAAGTGTTACCATTTCTTGGCAAACTAGAGGTAGGTACATGTAGGCCTACTGGATTCAACATTTTAGAATTCTGATCTTCATGTAGTCTATATCAATATGTACAAACATTGACTACTCCGTTTCAATAAAAACAAGAATTCAGAATTTTTTTTTTTAACTAATTAATAAGGGATAATAATTTTGAATGGTTTGACTGATATTTTTGGTTTTACTTTTAGTATCCATGTATATGGTACAACTTACATCACATTTTCTTCCTTGGAAGATGTATTAGTCTATAGGACTGGTGCTAAATATGATAGCTCTCAGACTAAGGGACTGTATATATTGTCTATATTAATTACGAACTGTTCTACTTTTACTTTTTTCAGATACCAGTATGAAGATGTAACTTGTAAGATAAAAAATATATGGTTAAAAAGATTATAAGAATTTACAGAGTGATACAACTGAAGTTTTATAGGATATGGAACAAGATAAAAATAAAGAAGAAACTGCAAAAAACAGAACAACTGTTAGTAATAATAGTACACCTGGTGGTGGAGCCAGTGCAAGCCAAGGAGGATCATCGGCAAATAACCATGGCGGAAGTTCATCAGCAACATATGCCAATCAACCAAGTTCTGGTAATACATCACCATCTTCTAAAACCTTTACTTTGTCAACTTCACCAACCTCATCACTCACTGGACTCACATCTTCATTAATGGCGACAGCTAATTCAAGAGAAGCCCATCTGAATCCCATGCAAATTCCAATAAACAGTCTGCTGGGTGCTATTACGACCAATCCAGTCAGTGCCAATACTGGAAAATCTGGAACGGCATCATTGACTAATTCTCCATCAGAATCTTTACCAATAGTTCCTGTTCCAGTATCGAGCTTCTCTCCAGATAATCTTCATCAGCCTCAAAACAAGGGAAACATTCAGTATAACTGGCAAGCTGCAAGAATTAATGTTAAAGAAAGGCTTGCTTACTTGTTCAATACTGAAATTATGTCAGACATTCATTTTAAAGTTGGAAAATCACCAAACCAGGAAATTATACCGGCACATAAGTTTGTGCTATCAGTGGGAAGTGCCGTTTTCGATGCTTTATTTAATGGTGGCATGGCAACTACAGAAACACTGATTGAGATTCCTGATGTAGAGCCATCAGCTTTTTTGGCACTCTTAAGATTTCTTTATTCAGATGAAGTTCAGATTGGACCTGAAACTGTAATGACGACACTGTACACAGCCAAAAAATATGCAGTACCTGCTTTAGAAAGGGCATGTGTCGAATTCTTGAAAAGAAATCTCAGCAGTGACAATGCATTTCTATTGCTCACCCAGGCAAGACTTTTCGATGAGCCTCAGTTAGCGGCTCTGTGTTTAGAAACTATTGATAAGAATACAACAGAAGCATTGGCTGCTGATGGTTTTACAGATATTGATATTGATACTCTCTGTGTTGTAATGGAGAGAGATTCCCTTGGTATACGAGAATGTAAATTATTTGCTGCCGTTTGTCGTTGGGCAGAAGCTGAGTGCACAAAAAAGAATTTGCCACTAACTCCTGCAAATCAGCGTCAAGTTCTGTCGCGAGCTTTACATTTAATTCGTTTTCCTCTTATGACAGTAGAAGAATTCGCTGTTGGTGCAGCACAGAGTGGTATATTAGAAGATAGAGAAGTTGTAGAATTATTTCTGTATTTTACTGTTAATCCTAAGCCTAATATCAATTTTCTGGATGTTCCGAGGTGTTGTTTGACAGGAAAAGAACAGGTAGTGTCACGGTTTTGTCAGATCGAAAGTCGATGGGGATATAGTGGTACTAGTGATAGAATCAGGTATGTTTGAGAATTGGTTAGTGATCCCAAGCATTACCTAAAAAGCTTTTTGAGAATTGGTTAGTGATCCCAAGCATTACCTAAAAAGCTTTCTCAGGAAATTCATTAATAAAAAAATTATGTGTTGTTTATATTTTAATGTTTTAAATATATATGTTAGTAAATGTACAATGTACTGAGCATGTGCCCATAGATTATTCTTTTCCTTGAATAATCTCAGTTACATGTATTCCTATCTTAAAAAGATACGCATGTTAAATTTAATTTTATTTTGGACATAAGAGATTGTAATTCATGTGTTTTATTATTAAAAATATGAGAGTAAATAATTATGTTTACAGGTTTATGGTAAATAGACGTATATTTGTGGTAGGATTTGGTTTATATGGTAGTATACATGGACCAACGGAATACTCAGTTAATATACAGGTACGTGTATCTACATGTATGTTAAATATTATTAATGGAAAAAAGAACCCCCACTGAATAATCAGTTCTTATTGAATAATCAGTAGTAACTCAGTTTTTGAGCACTCATTGTATTGGTTCTTGTGACTTGTCTGGTAAGACATGTACCCTTGAAAGAATGAAATTATAGAGACTAACTAGTTTTTCTGATGGATCTATGAAAGCAAGGTTGTGTACATGTGAAAAACTGCTTAAATTATAAGTCATTGGTACAATAGTGCGATGTATATTTACATGCAGGCTAAAGACAAATAGGCAAAAGAAATCGTTTCATCTTACATGTAAATCTGTTATCAAATATATGAATGTATCCTTTGGATACAATATGTGAATAATTGAGTGTGACAATAACCTGACTGTTTTCAGATAATACATAATGATACTGGTAAAGTAATGGGAACTAGTGATACCAGTTTTCCATGTGATGGTACAACATCTACATTTCGTGTTATGTTTAAAGAACCAGTGGAGATTCTACCTAATATCAGTTTTATAGCCTGTTCTACGCTAAAGGTAAGTTAAAATGTAACAAATTTTCTACCTTTTTTTTTTACGTGTGAAGGAAGGATACCAGTTTACAGAAATAACTACTGACTGATAACCCAAAGCCATCTCATTTCCCAATGATTGGTTGGTTGGGCTCAACTATTTTCCATCTGTCGATTGGCTGAACTATTTTTGGGTCTGATCATTTACCGTTGGTCGGACTGAACTTTTTATGGGTCTGTTCATTTCCCTGTTAGTCGGCCAGGCTGAACTATTAGTGGATCTGTTTATTTCCCATCAGTCAGTCAGGCTCAACTATTTGTGTGTCTGTTCAGTGTTCACACGAAATTGTAGACTTATTGAGGAACACAGATGAGGACAATACAATGTAAGTTTACAAAAATGCAAATAAGGGAATTATTGTTATTTGCTGCTTCAAATGATATTATCTTTCATTTATCCCTTGTACAAATACATCCATATACTTTGGGTTTTTTTTCAGGGTCCTGATTCGTACTATGGATCTAAAGGTTTGCGGAAAGTAACACACGAGTCGGTAACAAGTGGTAAAGTCACTTTTCAGTTTACGTATGCTGCAGGCAATAACAATGGAACATCAGTAGAAGATGGACAAATTCCAGAAATAATATTCTATACATAACAATCACAACCACAACATTCAGAGAAAATGTTTTAAATATCATTACCATTACTTCTAAATAACATACTGTTAAATATTAACTTATTGGGTTCATGAAATTATTGATAAAATCTATTGGCCTATCTCTGATCGCTTCAGTACAGTTAATTGCATGTTACATATAAGTGACATGCATGTTAAATTGCATGTTTTTCAGTAGAATATACAGGGTGGTTGTTCTGAAATGATCTGCAAGTATGACAGTTTACATTTTACATGCCCTTGGTTAGTACCTACTATTATAGAATAATTAAACAATTTCAATATTACAAATCTTTTCTAAATTTTGACATTGATTAAGAAGAAAACCATTAAACTACTTACTATTCAGTAGATGTTTTAAATGGGAGTGTAAAATAAAGATGTAATTCAAATTAATACAAGCTTTACTTTTCTTGTTCTATTTTTAGATTTCAGTAAAAAATATATTTATAGTTCATTAGTCATATATGTACCTAGAATTATTTACCATAGTTATTGAAATATTATGCACTTGGAATGATTTACTTTTCTTAATGAAAATTATATTTTACCCACATCAGCACTCCAAATTTCTATCGGGGTTTACTAATTTAGTTTGATTATTATAAGTGTATCTTGCACCTATTTCAGTCTATAAACAAACTTAAATGTAAGACAGTAAAGGGAGGTAATTGTTGTCTCACTGATTTTAACTTGCTTTATGAAAGATAAGTAACAAATTTCTCCAAGTTATAATGTCCACAATTTTGATTAGCTTTTTCTTAAAATAATTTTTGAAACAATGAATTGTGTACTGAATTAATTAAAACTGCCGTTAAATACTGGTAGCATATTCAGTAGAGTCATCTGATGAGTGATTGTGCTTAATGTTTATTTTTACATGGAATGCTAGGAGAATAAATGGAAGGAAGCTCCTACACAGTATTAATGTACATATTTAATTATAATATCCACTCCTTTTAGTATAGTGCCCCTTGATTAATTTATACCCAGATTGTAGGATACTGTTCTCCATTGACTATGTTATTAATTGTAGGATACTGTTCTCAATTGACTATGTTGTTGATTTTATAAAAATAAGTCATACATGCTATAAATTATTTGTTATATATACAATACATACTGTAATAAGGTGTAGGATATATGTAAATTTAAAGATGAAATATATTTATTAATGCATTGTTTGTTATTGTATATAGTAAAACATGAAATTTTGTTGACAATGTCTTAATGAAATGTGTTTTGAAATTTCATACATATATACAATAATTTCATGGTTTAATATATAGATGATTAGAGAAATCCAAGAGTATGGTTGTAGTTATTGTACTAACGAGATAAATATTTTTCTAATGTTACCAATGTTTTCATTCAAAGTAAATGTGATACAAGTTTTTACCATAGATTTTTCTTCGAAATACTTCTTGTAAGTGAATTTATCTAAAGAACCTAATTTGTTTATTTTTGCATATTAATGGAGCTATGTAGCTTCAGGGAACATTCATTCTGTTCATGTATAATTTATAGAGCAGTATTCATTTCTCTTTGAGCAGTATATGCTCAATCAAACCAAGTTTCCTTGAGGTTAGATCAAATAAATTCTCCTCAAAATGATATTGGAAGTACATTCATTGTACGATGACTGTGTTGTCTTGCTAATACATTCAATATGGTTGTTTTATTATTCTGATTCTGGTTAATATTTTTGTCAGAAATTATTGAATGATATTCGGTCTTAGGGCCCGAAGGTCTTAAAGTGATAGTCAACACAACTGACATTTCACAATTGATTTTAGGATGTAAGTAGAATATTTGATTTATTTGTAATTATATATTATATCAAATAATTGCTTGTGTTTTTTTTAAATACAGAGTAATACTTCATATTCCTGCTTTTATGAGTTATTATTATGGTTAATTGCCACCTCTCATTATTTGTGATCCTGCCATATGTCATTGATTACAATGAATTTCGCTTTGAGTTAGTAACATCCATTCGTGGTGTAATTCCTGCTGTAAATGCTGAAGTATTTCTACCGATTTACTGTGCTCTTGAATCCCATACAAGTTATGAAATTCGATAATTTAAATGAATCCTGATCTAGGAAAGGATGTGAATGACAATAGAGAATAGAAATCTTTCAACTTCTGTAGCCAGCGAAAGTTTAGCCAATGATCTCCGGCACTTAATTGACCTGACAGGCTATCATAATCTCATCCTTTAAAAGAAATGCAAATAAACACACATAAGAAATTTATTATATTGAAAAATATAGCAGAATAGGAATAGACCAATTTCAAACCACATTGTTATGTCCCCCAAAATACACCGTGGACCCTCTACAGCCAATCCCTCCCCTTTCCCTGCAAAGCAAAAAAGTTGTCAAAGGGGTATCCTATATGCACTTTTTTTTACAGTGCTAGAAAATAATAACATATGACACAATTATATGGAATACAAGTTACTTAGAATTTTATTTATAACGGCCTTTCGACCAGCTTCTCTCGTCGAAACGTCACCAGAAATAAACTTATAAGTAACTTGTACACCCTATAACTGTGTCGTGTTATTATTTCCTAGGTTACGATATAAAATTGAACACCAGTTATAATTACACCACTAAACACAACCATAACCCAATGCTCAGACAACATGTGTGCTGGTAGGATAGACAGGACCTGCGTCAATCTCCAACTATCTTTGACAATGATGTTACTTACACTGGAAATGTCATCATTGTGAAGGAATTGGATGGTCCTCACTCATCTGTTGTTAATGGATTTTATAAAAAAAAAATTAGTTTATGAAATGTTGGAGATCGATTTCACACGGAAGTCTTAGATTTAAAAATGAACGACCCAAACCCTATAATCTAGTGTACTTGATAACAGCCCTGAAAACGTTAAGGTCATATCCGTCATTGTCACAACCATGCTGGTGTGTTTTTAGCACATTGGAAATTTTGGAGAATTTCGTTGCTGGGAAAATTGTCTCTTGGCTAACTTATCTTATCGCCTATCTATCAATGACTTTTATTCACCCTTGGTATCTGGTGATCTGTTTTGGAACATGTCTTATCAATATCCGGCCAGCTATTATATTCAGCAGATGACCAACCACGGGATTATTCTCCAGCGGACCTATCCTTCATCTCACGTCTGGACTAAAGGTACCGTATTTTATCTTTTAACTCAAATCATCGATTTGTACAGTAGAATAGACCAACAGTCTAAAATAATTATTATATTTGATCAAAACATTTATAAAAAAACCCCCTCGCCTTTAAATATCTCAAATTTGATAAATAGCCCCCATTGATTTTGAACGGTGTTCTATTTAATTTACAGATAGTGAAGATGACCCCGAAACAAGTCCTGGGATTATGCCTGTTAGTGTTGCTGGTTGGTCAAGGAACTTCCCTTTATCTGTTGAATAGACTGAGCTATTTGAGATTACCATCGTATGACGCTTCTTCTAACGACCAGGTCTATAAACTATTTGGAGGAACTGCCGAAGAAAGCGCTTATGACGCAAACGAACAAATTTTATACGTTGTTGGTAAGGAGTCTTGCATTAACGCATGTATAGCAAAAGGAAGGAGCGACCACCCACCCCTTGAAATATAAATTCCAAATAATAGAATATAGATTAGTCTAGTTCACATGTCATAAAAAAGAAATCGGGTATGAAATCCATCTTTTTAAATTTTGTATATTTTCTTGTGATCTCAAAACATAAGGGTAGCAACTTAATAAACATAAACAAAACAATACGTGCATGACTGATTGTGCACTTAGTAGGACTTGTTTTTTTCCTTCAAGAAGACAACCTCCTAAATTTGACCATTTTGCCTTCAATGATGCACAATCTTTCTGGATTGATGTTTTGAAATTCCACAAGATGTATGTGATTTGGCTGAAACTAATTTCAAACCCTGGCTGTGATTCCTAATATTCTGGGACTTTGAGGTGCAGTATACTAATTATCAACTAAGATGGAAAATGGTCCTATTAGATCAAATCATGTGTTGAAGAAAAAGTGAAAAACGTTTTCGACCCACACCTTCAATTAGGGACTCGTTTCCTTGGTAGGAAATTGCTTGCATCGTTTCAAAAAATAATACAGGTATCAGGATATGGAAACATTTTAATCTCGATTTTTGATTCGAACACAAAATGACCAACAGGTCGTTTTTCATGAAATGCCTTTGGCACACACTAGTCCGTTCGTCACTGCATGAGCAGCAACTTATCTTTTATGGCGACGTTAATTACTAGTTATTCTTATTCTAGTTTTTTTTTAGAGACTCAGAAATCAAATACCAACTTTAACAGACAGGCAATAATAACCTCCAGTTCATCAGAGTTTTTCAGAGAAATTAGCATCTGTAAAACGTCTCAGCCACAAGCTCAACTGTAATTTGTCTGTGTCTTTGGGAAGTTGAAACATAGTATATTTCTTAATCTACATTTAATATTGTATACATTTTATGTCCAGTCTTAACAGGTTATTAGTTTTTCTTTTGGTTATTTTCAGGTGAAGAATCTTATGTTCTTCATATCATTGATATGTCTAACCCAAGAGCTCCTGCAATTCTGATGGAACACCGTTTCCTGGTTACAGATGGGGTTCCAAGGGATGTAGAAGTCTGTGGTACTCGAGTTGTCGTCTCTCTGTCCTCGCCTGTAGCTGTTTATGATGGCCATGTTAAGTTCTTCCGAGCATATGATAGAGTATCTCAGACCTTTGCTTACGAGAGCCAGCTTCCAGGTGAAATATATGTTTAAGATTAACCACTCGGGTTGGCCTAACATTAATGTAGTCAAGCAAGATGTAGAATGAAGAATATGTGGGATTTCCGAATCCCGGTTCATCTGTACCTTGACATTTCCAAGACTTATAACATAGTTGTACACAAACACGATTCCCTTGTTCTTTTATGCGGAATATGGATATCATCATGGTTCGTTTTTACACTTAGTAGGTCTTAATTCCAGAAAACAACATTATCTGCCATTTCCCACACTGATAACATAACACATCGTTTCGTCTTCTTTTATAAATAGTTGGTGTATTTCCGGACAACATTAAATTTACATCAGGGTGCAGTAAATTGATTGTTGCTAACGAAGGACGACATGGTAAAGACCCATTCAATAGATTCAGCGATCCCGAGGGATCCGTGAGTATAATATCCATACCTACCACAGGAAGTCCAACAGAAAGAATCGCTGATTTCAACCAGTTCAATAGCAGGTTTGTTAAAATTAATCTATGGTAGAAAGTGATCTTGAATAGTCAACTGTCATGTCAATAACCGATTGCATGAGTACGAGGTCACAATTTGTCCTTGTTCGGGGCAACTTTTGTTTATTTTGGCTCGATTTGGCGTATTGTGAGTTGTGAAAATGATGGTGTCGTCTGTAAACAATAGGTCGTTATCAGAGGGTTTATTATATAAGTTAATATCACTATTTCTGTTTTAGACAAGATATTCGACACGTGTCTGCTTTCGCGCCAAATTCTGAAATAATGAGAGCCACATTAGCCCAAGATTTGGAACCAGAATATATTGCTGTATCGAGTGACGGAAATACCGCTTATGTTACTTTACAGGTAAGCATTTTTATAATCAGTATTACCCCATGGGCTTCCTGACGAGAGATCCACGAGAAAGACGCGAATATCCTGCTCAATTTTAATATGGTTCTTTGGTAATGCCCACAGGTAATGCTATACTAAATGCATCTGTTTATGTAGAATTACCGACCGTGCTTTAATTTACTATGTACACGCATTACCCATTTTTTAAAAGCAGTAAAATTAAGAACGCACAAAACCCACTTCATAAATAAATGTTTGTTTTGCAATTTCACAGGAAAATAACGCCATTGCACAATTAGATCTCAGGCAAGGAATAGTAACTCAGTTGTTCAATCTTGGTACTAAAGACTGGTCAGATCTCCAACTTGATGCTAGTGACAGGGATGGAGGTAGGTGATACTTTAAGAGCTATTGAAGTACATGTATATGTATAATGTTCAAATATAAACCCCAAAGGGGCTGCCTAACGAAAAGAAATGAATAACATGTAGTATTTCTTTCACAACAAGTGACTGAAAGTTAGACTCAATTCAGTTCTTGTAAAACAAGTTTATATTTAGTTATCTATCAATGTGATGTAAACATTCGGGTAATATCAATTTAAAATGTATTTATTTAATAGGTATCCACCCGCGATCTTTCCCAATCAGAGGTTTATATCAACCAGATGGTTTAAAGACATTTAGTATTGGTAGAAGAAACTATCTTGTAACAGTTAATGAAGGAGCCGTTAAATCTTATACTAAAGAAATTGATGGTTTGGTCTGGTCTGATGGGGTTCTAGCTGATAGTCTTGGAAGAGGTTCGTCATTGTCAAAACCCTCTTTTTAATCTGATTTTTTCGACGTTGATAAAAAGTTATGTGGTCAAACGTACATGTTATTACAGGGTATCATTGCGGTAAACGGCTTCAGGTGTACTCAATAACCCCGTTTACATTACAAGCGTGCCAGGAACGGTACTTGGCACGGCACGGTTAATTTTTTTGTAGTGTAAACGGGTCAAACATAAGCGTGCCGTACTGAGTACCGTACCAATCTGGCCCACTGTAATAAGGTGGTCTGGGCACGGTACCAGGCACGGCACGGTTAAATTTTCGTAGGGTAAACGCTATCCGGTCTGAGCGAGGTTTCAGTACGGAATACTGCGCATGCGCGAAACGAACTTTGACAGTTCTGTCATCAGTTCTGTCAAAATGGCTGCTCAAACTAAATCTACCATCATAATTGTTTTCATCCGGGTAGCTTGCATAGGGATTGAAATTAAATTTTCTGTGAAGAGTTCCACACTTGGCACGGTTTCGAGACCGGTTATTTTAGAGTAATGTAAACGGGTCAATTTCTTAAAATTTACCGCGGCCGGGTACCGTGCCCAGAACGGCACGCTTATCGCGGCCAAGTGTAACGGGGCTTTGGTCATGCTAGATTCAAAATACGCTGTAAGCACTCCACTACTTTTGCATCTTCGGTGAAGAATTTGTTTGTACTCACAGTTTACTGACGATATTTTTAATCACATTCAACACGTCATATACTATGTAAACGAGGGGCATAACCATGTGGTGACCCTATTTCACAAGCATTGAACTATACATATGCTGTAATCCTTTACAGGTAACCATCTGAACGAAATTGCAATTAATAACCAAACATTTATCAATGAACTTAGTCAAGACAGTCGATTGGGTAAGTCACGTATAGATTGGAAATGTTCAATCCTCTTTATTTAGAACCCAACCTACCTCCCCCCCCCCTTAATGTACTGCTAGAATTTTTACCAAGGCCTCATAAAATACACGTATCCGCTACGTTTATTTATCAGTTTTATATGCTTGTTAACTGCGGTATTTTGATAAGTTCCACATCCTGTTAGTGGGATGGGGGGTGGGGGCGGTAAATTCTTACGCTTTTCAACATATAGTAAAGGAAACATTTTAAAAAATGAAATGATGTTATCCCCAGAAATAGGGTTAAATTAGGGGGGTATATTTTCAGTGGGCATATACAGGGGGTTAATTGACTAGGAGAACAAAATTTCAATCTTTTTATTTTTTTGTACTAATTCTCCGGGGTTTACTCAAAATTGTGATTATCAACCCCCTTCCCCCTAATTCTATACATTGCTAATCAGGTCGATTATTGGTATCTTCAATTGATGGAGCAACTCTGTATGGCTTACAGTCGATCCATACTTATGGTGGACGAGGTTTCAGTATTTGGGAAACATCTAAAATGTCAGAACCTGTTTACGACAGTGCAGATGATATACAGAAAATCAATTCTCAAGCATTTAAAACTATATTTAATACCGATTGTGCTGCATGGACCAACCAATCACCAGAGACACTTAGAGATACCACATCAGATAACATGGTATGGCTTATATCTGTTTGTAAATAATTCAACAGAATTTGGTGACAGTGTGACTTAAAGCTTAGCTAATACTCTTCAAGAATGTTTTTCATTCAGTAATGCGTAATGGTACATCTGCTCAATGTTTTCCGTATTTAATTTTCATCTCTTATCAAAATTTATTTCTAGGGTCCTAAATTAAATGCGATAGATATAGTTAATGATAATGGCACTATATTAATGGCACTTGGTAGCGAGACTATGGGAGTAGTTTATCTCTATGTTATTAATACTACTACACTGACGCCAGAACTACAAAATGTAAAATATGAAGGTGGAACCAGTGACTTGTGGAGTGAATTGTACGACAATAGCAACGCAGGAAACGCTTACATCTCAGACATTGGGTAGGAATGTTTGTGGTTGAAATATTTTTCCCCGCTTTTTGTCGTTCATAGAGTGTGTAAAATGTGTAATAGTAAAGTGTATGTTTAATTTATTTATAATTTGTGTAGGTTTCATCAATGGGGTCGTTTTGGCTTCCTATTTAAATTCATACATTGACTGGCATGTGGAACACAATGAGAGAAACATCTTTGTGTAATATTTTATATTTTGTTCCAATCTGACCATTTCTCATTATTTCTGTTTCCTGTTATCTTTTCAGTATCATTAAGGCTTCTCAAAGTCCCAATAACCAAACTCTAGTATATGTAGTAAGTAACGGATCTGGATCTGTGGCTGTATATAGTGTAACTGACAAACCCAGTGTTAGCAATCCACTTGGTTAATATGTTATTAATTCATTTATCGCACACCCCTTTCATTCATCGTGAAATATATTTGTCTGAACAAGTTAAAGGTGTTTTGTTTTATATGCTTAAATTGAAATAAAAACTCTTACTCAATATACTATGGGGTGAGTTCTACTCTTCTAATCTGATGTGCTCCAAAACATTATACTTCATTTATGCTAGGCTCCCACTATCACAATTCGGGCTACAACTGAAATCGTGATTTTAGCCCTAGTGATCCTATCATCAATTGAGGTCATTCATGGCAATATTGAGGATCGTATGAAATGTATCTGAACCTATCTTCACGTATCAGATCGTGGACTCAGTAGTGACAATCCTATCGTAAAAACATTGCACGAGCCTGGGAACCTAGCATTACATTTACATGTGTTGAAATTTGATTGGTAATGCACTCATTGAAAAAATGCGATCTAAACAGAATTTTCTTCCCTGCATATGCTTCCGGGTATCGGACATACGACCTTCAGTATTGAAGATGTACATGGTATCCTGTCATAAGAGTGGCTGAATGCCAATATGGTACATGTATACATAATATTAACTGGCTTCAATCACTCACACAAGATATTTACAAACATATATTTATTATGTACAACCTGTTACATATACATTCTCCCTCTCCAGCAGATGAATATCATTGAGATATAATTCAGACACAAACAAACACCAGGATACATGTTAGGCACAAGTTGTTACAGGTATAATTCGAAATTGCAACCTTCATTGTGGAAGAGGTGCTATCCAGACAACATACTGATGGCCAGATTGCCAATCTACTAAACAGTCTTTGAGGAAAGTTTTATAGTTCATTTGTTCATTGATACAATCACCTTCTGCAAAAACATAGACATGTAGTCGTTTCTGTCGATTTATTTACATGCTTGCCAAAGGGTAAACCTAATACTGGTGCAAGCAAGTCAAGGCTGAATAATACAAAAATATGTATTGACATGGTTAACACAAAGGACATGCAGTCAGACTATTTATACATGAAATAGCATTCCACAAATTTAGTCATGTCTTTTTCTTCTAGAAGAAGCGATGATAGATTTCTACTCAGAAGGTTTTTAAGGTCGCCATTCCAATTTCTACCTTCTATCGAAATTTGAACACACAACAGCACATAATTTGAACACACAACAGCACATAAAAACAATCCAGCCGACTAACAAGTTATATAATATTTATTTGTGAAGATGTGGGCTATAAATACACATACCAAAAATATACAGGTATGAAATAATGTAGTGTAAATTATTTAACAATGGAATGTAGTATTTACATATTCAAATACCATTTGAATTTTGCTGTTCAATTTAATGGTGCTTTGTTTTGTGAATTTGATGAAATAGGAAGACAATAAAATATACTCCATACTTGTATTACTTGTCCACTCAGTAATTTTGTTGCTGAAGTTTTTTTTAAGCTTTCACCCAATTAATGAATGAACAAATTAGCACATCTTCATTTATAAAATGTTTATTGCACTTGAGTGATTTTAAAAATCATATCACATTGTCTCACTTTCGCCAATATTGTGCCATTTTATGTAATTGTTCAACTAATGCTGGCATCATTGCCGACGTGCTGACATCAATTAAACTTTGTATATAACTAACAGCTTCTTCGTCTGTGTAATGCAATACAAATTTTTCCTGTACCTGAAAAATACCACAAAAATAACTTGTTTTGATAATAAATAACATATTTATTTGGATATTATATCATAATTCTAAAGCTGTAGCTAAAGATCTGATATGCAGTGGAACACATGTAACCACTACTGTTTCCCAAAATATTCTAAAATTCTGCCGAAACAATTTGACAAATCCTTAGATGCTAAAGGGATTAAAGATACATTCCCATGAAAGTATTTATAGGGTAGTTATTTCCAATAAAAGTTTACTCAATTTCGTATATATGGAAAGTAGACACATGCAATCTTACTAGAAAAAAAAAATACTGAATTCCTTTAAAAACACCCACAAGGCCCGCACTGGACAAAAATGAAAGGGCAACCTATCAGCTTGAATAATGTAGCGAGCGCTTGGTTTTGTTTATCGAATGGCTAGTGGTTTTGAAAACAGTGAGAGACTTCAAGGTACTGCAAGCTTTGCGATTAACCTGTGGAAATAAAAGTTGGCAGAGGATAATCCAAGAATTTACTTTCTCTTCGATATTTATGGTAAATGTACAGTGAGTAACGACAAATTGTACAAGCTAAAAATGGATCCTCCGACATTCAAACAAGACTTCGAATAATATACTTGCATAGCTTTACGTAGATTTCTTCCGATTAAAATGTTTTGAGAGTGATTTAAAGCTAAATTTTGACAGATAAATTAGTTTAAATATGTTTTTAGTCCAAATATATTATCAAATCAAACAGTTTGTACATGGGAAGGCATCTTAAACAAGGATAATAATACTGCAAACAGTTATGACACTTATGGTGTGTTCATTATTGCCCATTAATGCCCAAAATGTAAATTGAAATGAGTATAAACCAGCTGTTTAAGTTTCGATGGACAAAAACGAGCAATGATTACAACAAACACAACCACATACAACAATTTGAATGTATAAAATATCACACCTTTTTTACTGTCTTATCAGGTTCTAAGGCAATATCAGGAATATTAGCATTAACCATCAGAGAAAATAAATTCATTATTAAATTTGAAGATCTGAAAAATAAATAATAATAAATTAAAATTAATCTACATATACCTTAAGTATATATTTATTAGGTCTGAATAGGTTTTCAGATTGTTTAAAACTACAAATCAAATAATTTCTTTAATGATTAAAACTAGTTTTGCATAGGAAAGAGAAGCCACTTTTTAATTTTATGTGCTGATATGTTTTGTGGGATGACAAATTTACATCTATAGCTATAGCCAGTGTTGAAATGTAATGAATACCGATTTTGTGTTCCACAGTCACCACAGTAAGCCAAAATTTCAACTAAAATAAGACTTCCGCTTTATCTTTCAAAACAAACATTGTATTGAGACTGCCCCACCACTAATTGAAATAACTTATCAGATTATCCCAATTCAATACTGTATTTTGTCAAAGAGGTTTAACTCCTTTTAAGTTTTCATTAAAAAAAATGGAATCAAACCTTCTCAAGGCTAAAAATGCTGTGTAACAGTATTTTTTAAAATCATGAAAATGTTCAGAATTTGGTCCACCCATTGCTTCCACCATTTCTTTGCTTAATTTCATTGGAGGTGGTAGGGGTTTTGGATCTCGTCCGAGGATGTATCCAAAGTCTATGTGAAATAATTTCCCTGAAAAGAAAATGAGGATTTCTCGTACAATGTTTATTAATAGTTAACAATTTCAGTGGTTCAAGTAAATAACTCTTGTTTGAAGTTTTTTATATTTGTGATACTGTTAACGTTTATTTCTCCATACAATCAATTGAACTTACCAGTTGTTGTGAGAAGTAAGTTATCAAGATGTCTGTCCCCAACTCCCAGTAAATATGTAACAATACTATAGCCAGCTGAAATTAAGAAAGAAAAGGTTAAAATGTTTTACACGAGATATGAATACGATCAATGATTTGTTTTAACTTGAAAATTACAACACCACCATTAGCATCCAATTTGTTTATTATAGTTTTTTTTAAATAAAACAACATAAAAAATTAAATCACCCTGTAACCACATAATGTGGGTTGATGCTCAAACAATGATATCTTGGGTTTGATCATACAAGAGATTATATAAAACATAACTTACCACAACTTTTAACATAATTATCCATAACTTCTGGTGCTATTCCATAAGGACCATTCTCTGATGGTGCATGCTTGCGGAAGAAATTTTGAATTGTTCCATCTTTGTCTAATACCTCTGCTACAGCAAAAGACTCTATAAATTGCACAAAACCTGGAAAACAAATAAAAGACTATTACCAGTCTCACTGAACAAGACCCTAAGTTTTCTCCATAAACTGAGTTCGGTTCAGTCTTCATACAGTATACACAGGACCTTGTTTTTTCACACAATCCGAACGACTAGACAACTGTCCTTGTCAGACTCTCAGTCCTGTACCACTGACAAGGGGAAATTGCGTTGGACTAACACCGGGAGCTAACAAAAGACCTCCTTGTCTTACTCACTGACACTGAGTCACTGCGGCTCTCCACACAAAATGTGAAGGAACTTATTAATGTCTGTTATGTTTGAATAAAGTGCTTCTAAACAATTCAACACATAAAATCTAATTAAACTGTCATTTTCATTTTTTACTCAAATCAAGGAGTCAACCAAGGACTGAAACATTCTTTATAAAAGATAACCTCCAGAACCACCAGCAGTTACAATACCAGTGGTTTATATACAAAAATCTAACTCCTGCTATGACACTTGGTTACAGGTCTTACAGAAAGAATATTGATAGCCAACTGAGGGAGATGGGTTGGAACTGGACCGAAGATAAATCTTCAAGATTCTATGAAAAGAAAACTTCAAAGACCAGAAATGAGACGGTGTTTAGTATAAAAGAAACTCACCATGTTTACTGCTTGTAGCTAAAACTTTATATGGTGACATCTTTAAATCTAAATTCTCTTTTCTTAAAAGCTTACAAAAAAAACAAATAAAACATTATCAAATTTAAAATATTGAAAAATTTCTAAATAATGATGAAATTGTTGATGACCTGTAGTTTTCTTAATTTCATATATTCATTTATTTTAGTTTTGTTTCAGTCATGTTTGTCAGGAATAATTGTCTTCAAGGCAATGTGTATTCCAGAATATGACCTTCACGAAAAATTTATTACCATACATTCTTTAATTCACATTCTATTAGTTTATTGCTTGGTGTGGATCTTTGCACTATGTATAAATTATTACAATTTTATGTTAGCATTCATAATATCCAGCTTTGGTTTTATGATTAATTTGGGGATTTAAAATATCGACCATAGAAATCTTTATATCTTTACCTTATCCATTAACTGTATACTCTGTAAAATCAACTGATCTTGCCTCAAATCGTCACCATGTTTAAATATAGTAACAAAATCATGGCCATCACTGGTACGGAATGTAAGTCGGCATGGCATCAGAGCACTCTATAAATATATTAAAATAAGTATCTAACGGTAGAACTGGAATATATTTGTCTAAAAATGTAAAAGAAACTTGACATATTACAGAATTACAAAAGTCCTTTATATTATTGTTCACATCTATATCAACCCCTGAAATATGTCCACCATTTTATACACTCTCACACAACGAATAAAATGCTTTTTGAAGACCACTGTGCACTTATAGTTAAATTGTGCATAGTTAAATTTACTTATAGAGAAATAAGAACCTGTAATTAAGAGTTGTTAATGATACTGAGTTATGCTCTTGAGAATATAGACTAGAGGCTTGGAAGTGATTTGTCTTGAAGAAACTCCCCAGCATACCTTAAAGAGTGTAGCGCTTTCAGGAATGATTCCTGTAACTTTAACGTCAGGATCTAACGGTAGAGGTAGCATGTCAAAATCGGCAAAATTCATCTTGCATACATCAACATCCTGTAATAAGGCTTGTAATCTTTCAATCTGCAAAGAAACATATTTGAAATATAATTTCTCAAACATTCAAATCTATTTACCCGAAGTAGATTTAAATCAAGAATCCATAAACTTACAGCAAAGTTACTTCATAACTGGTACATTACCTTTTTCTTTCTATTTCCACTTTCTCTAGTGACTATTTTAACTAGTTTAACTAAACGGTCGATAAACATCTGTTGGCTGGCTAAAGTTGATCGTCTCACTTTACAGTCATGACTTCTCTGTTAAAAGAAAAAGAAACACAGATTTTAACCAAAACCATCATTTAACAATACGATAATTGTTATTTTTAGTATTGAAATTTATCGTTTGATTTAAAATTATATGTAAAAAGTCAATATTAATTTTTAGTTGAAACAGTCTTTACTAACCTGAGATAAGGCTTGACTAAAACGTTTTAAAACTGTTAAGTACATATCTTTTATTTTGATGTCTTCTTTAGCTGCCGTTCCTTGGTCTTCACATTCTACATGTAAATACCTAAAATAATCATCATTCTATATTTAAATATCACAAACAATAATCATTCCACATTTATATACTTACAATCCTGATGCTCCATTTTAAGCAAAAGGAAGCATCTGCAAACTACAATATTGTGAAAGATACATCTCTAATAGGAATATCAGTTTAAAAATAGTTCGTTTAATTCTGTTTAGTATTTACAAAGATATGTAGAATTGAAATTTCATCGATCTATCCTGTTCACTATGCAATAAGCCTGTGGCCATTTTGTTGTACAAGAAATTTTGATGATATGTCTGTCCTTATTCCGATTTTGATTTTGTTTTCTTAATTAAATGTTAAATAATCAATCTGAGTACATATTAACATGGATTAAGCCTTAAGAAATTTGGTATTTTTGCGTCAATTGCCAATGGCGCATCATGACTTTAAAAATTATAATCATTCTACATGCAAATATTCAAATTGTAATCAGTCCACATTATAATGTTGAATACCAAAATTTCAAAATATTTCAAATTCTACAAGTAATTTCCTAAAACTGTTTATGATCACAGTCTACATATCAATACTTAAAATTATCATCATTTCACATTCTATATTTAAATACTTAACATTGTAATCATTTAAAATTATAATCATTGTGCATGTACATTCGACATTCAAATATCCCAAATAATAATTGAAATGGTGTGAAATATACCCTCTAATAGTACATGCAGTATTCAATCATTATTTATCAAAAATAAGAGATGATGTGCACAAAGAATAGCTGGGCAAATCAATGATTTCCATCTTAATGACGTTTAGTATTTACTCAAAATATTTTTTTTTTATCATTCACTATAATAATCATGATATATATCACTCACTGAACACTATATCTTTTCTTTACCAATATATGAATATTAAATAAATGAGGTAGAAAATAGACTTAGAAGTAAGTGAAGGAGAAACCCACAAGAAAAATATATGAACAATGAGAAAAGTTTGGAAATGTTAGTAAAAACCAAGAGATTTATTATTAGAAACCTTCTACAAGTTAACCTACTTACCAGTAAAAATAATTAGCTACAGTAAAATTACTACATGACCTGGATATAAGGTAGGTTGCCAGATCCATCTGTTGATAAGAAAGTAAATCAATCATCAGTTTATAAATACTGATATATATATTTATTTATAGTAATAATATATGATTACAATTGATTTATTGTAAAGTATAACTGTCATCATGGCTGTCAGATGAATGAAATCAATTTAGACAGCTCAGCAACAACATCCAAAATAATCCTTTCATGGTATTTAGCGATTGGGAGCATAACAAAAGTAAAATAATTATACAGGACATACAGGGCAACAATCTCTGTTTTATTATATAGGACAACAATCTCTGATTTATTATACACTTTACAGTTTTAATAAAGAGAGAGAGAGAGAAATGGGGTTTAACGTCCACTCGACACAAACAAGGTCATTTCGTGACTAGCGTATGGTTTAATTTTTTTATTTCAATAATGCACTTGCATGTAGGAGTCTTTAGCAGTGGGAGGAAACCAGAGGACCCGGAGAAAATCCACGAGTTGGACAGGCGACCCTACTCCTTGTCACGTACAACCGGGGATTCGAAAACTACGCTAGTTGACTCAATGACAGGCCTTATGATACAGCGCGCTCGTGCTAACCATTCAGCCATCCACCCCCCCCCCCCCAGTTTTAATAAGTATCCTATTTTTAAAAAAAAACAACAGTAATTGTGGTTCAAAAAAGGGCTGGAAATGGACTACGTCACTCTTTATTTTTAGATATGGACAAAGTAAATCTTGATAGGTCAATTCTCAATTGCCAAATCTCTTGTGAAATGAGGTGAACAAAATGTTTGGTTACTTCCTTACTGTGGTAGTAACTTATGGATATGGCCCACTTTATTGTACAATTTTAAGATCCAAATTCATTTAACTGCTAATTTGTTCTATGGAAATCGTCTTTTATTACCATCCAAACTACTAGATAATTTTCTATTAAGTCATGTACTCATTATCTTGTCATGGAATTCTGTCCTGCAGCAGCCACAGAAACAAAAAATAAAATAAAGTACCTCATCTTCTAGAGTTTTTTCTGGTGTACCATCACGATCTATCTCATTACTTAACGCTTCCAGTATAGAATCCTGGGATGTTGATCTAGACATAATACTTGATGATCTAAAAACATACAAAATTAATTCAGTTTTCGAAAGAAAGAATATTTTAACTATTAGCTGACCCAAGTCGACTTTTGTTGACACCTATAATGTTACCATTAAGTACCCACAGTAAATTTTATCGACAAAACCGGTTAGCCGAATGCAACGTTCCTAGCGTAATGAGAGTTACTTCCGTTATAAACAGACGACTTTCACTCGTTTGTTTACTTCCTGTTTGACATTTTGACTGTCAATTGTACTGTTTCTTCTTGAAAAATTAGAATAAAATGGTGATATTGTCTAGGCCTACACAAAAATGTTCTCCTAATCACAGATTACCACATAATATAAAAATTGACAATTAGTTTATACCATTGTTTGTTCATTGAGCTTAATGTCCTTTCCACCGAGGATGATATCACAGAAACTATATACCGTTGTTAAAAGAATCCTAACTTTATAATAGACAGGTTTTAGATATATTAAGATGGCAAATTTCATAAACTGTAATTTTATGCCTTAACTGATGCAAAGTGATTAAAATCTTACATACTTACTATTCCTAAGAAAAAAGTGCCAGTTTGTTTGGTGGTTTAATATGTGAGGCAGTCAAAACAAAAATTCTAGCAAAACTAAAAAACATTTATCATTTTACCTATCTTTTTCAGGTGTGGGTGGTGTTTCTGGTGAGGGACTCGAGTCAGTTGTAGCGGCATCAAAACCCTGTTTAATTTCCTCAAAATTCTCATACTTCAAAGCTTGAACCAATTGTAATAAAAACAGCAAAAGATCCTGATATATAAATAATAATGGCCTTAAATATACACGTATTTGAAACATAAAAACAGATCATGGGTATGACAAATTAAGAGAATTGTTTGTGCCTGAAAAGATGGATAAAAGTTCAGTGCAATATTAACTGGGATTTGTTGAAGTTTTAGACACTACATCAGATCCATGGCATTTTATATCATTTTCCATGAACTCTCTATGTATTCCAAATGATCGACTGTAGATTTATTTGACTGAATAGTAAACTAACATTTGAAATCAATTTTGATGTTGCTAGTGTTATCAGTAAATTATCATAGCGGTATTACATTAATAAACCAGCAGTTGCCAGGAAGTTATGGTCTGATATTGCTTGAATATCGAAAGGGACTGAGATCTTTGGGATATAAGATATATTTTAAGTTTCATTAAAATCATAGAAAAATTGTGACCTCTAGAGGGTCCGCAACCTTCGTAATACTTTTACACAATTGCGTACAAAGAGCGGCTATTTTGTCAGGCAGTTTCGTTTCGGATCAAAACCGGATCAAAATTGTGACCTCTAGAGTGTCCTCAAGGTAAAAACATGATTTTTCGTACAATCGGGTGTCATAATCGACGAAGTTACAATCCGATACATGCCAATATTGAAAGGAACCAAGATCTTTGGGAGATAAACCTATATTTAAATTTTCGTGCAAATCAGATAAAAATTGTGACCTGTAGAGGGTCCACAATCAGAGGCCATAACACATGAAATTACAATCCAATACATGCCAATATTGAAAGGAACAGAGATCTTTGGGAGTTTAACCTATATTTAAAGTTTCGTGAAAATCAGTTAAATATTGTGACCTGTATTGTGGAAAGACGGACGGACAGGGGCGACAACCATATACGTCCACATAAAAATGTGGGCGTATAAAAAACATTTGTTTTACAGTACTACAATGAATCATGCTAAATTTTAATGTATATGAATAATGTTCTTACCTCATCATCAGCCTGTCGTAATCTCATAACAGCATATTTGCGAACAGCAGGGTGAGTAAAAGCTGGACCTAATAATTCTAAGGCATCATCGACATCCATTGGAGACCAACGATTCAATAATTCCAGAGCTTGTTTGGCTTCTTGCGGTAAACTCCAGTTGACACATTTTAAAAACTTTGTCAAGGCCTGAAAATATGGACAGTTGATCACTGGTTTCATTTATTTCATGACAGTTATAAAGCTTGGGATATTTTACAACTTATTGCCTGAATACAAACAATTTCACACTAAATTTTACTAGTCTATCTCTGTTCACAGATGCCCCTTTCTCTCGCCAGACACCTTTGATTCCACAGTCACCCGATATTCTATCACGGATCCTGTGGGTGGAAAAAACTACTACAGACAATACAACAACCAAGTGCAGTGCCCTTCAGTCCATGTGTGGCTGGTCGAAAAAAAACAAACTATGGACCAATAGTTTACATTGTGTATTTAAGGATTCTGAAAGCCATTGTTGTAACAATCCAAACTCACTTTATTTTGTGTTGAAAGATAAAATCTAAATTTCCACACTAAATCTTCTTCTTCTGAAGTAAGCTGTTTTGTCGGAGGATATGCAACAATACTCTGTAAACAGCATACATAAATTAGATCTTAAAATTAATAATACAAAAAATATGGTCCTTGACAAATATTCAGATGATGAATATAAATGTTGACAATATTGATTTAACAAATTATCTCACTGATATCTATGAATATTAAAGTGATAATTCTTATAATTTATATATTTTTATTTTATAACAGGATGATACATTAATTCAGGATAGCTGTATGGGAGTATTGAGTATGCATTACATGAATTCAATATTTAAGTGAAAACTTTAGCCATTGCAGATTTTGTTATATTTTATTCATTATCTAATATAAAAATAGTTTGAACTATAAACCACCCAAAGTAAAAATGGTTTCACCTTCATTTAACAAAGCAGCAGCACATGCTATAACAGCTGGTCATCATATGCTGTATAAAAGGGGCTGTATATATACAAGGGGCCGTATATGAATAAAAAATTCATGGGAATGATAACTACCGGTACTACATCATGTGCTTCTCGTTTGTTTATATTCACTTATTTAGTTACAGATAGATGAAACTTTTATGATACTAGATGATGAAATAAAATATCTGTTTTAAGATATTTCTTGTTGTTAGTACTGTTGTTGCAGATAAAACTGTATCTGGAGACAACATCTTACATTTAAATGATCTCTTGTTTTGGCATCTGGTTTCATATCTCGATCTGTGGGACCACTACGTAAACTACGGGCCAGCTTGTGATGCTTACTCTCAACAAGATTCTCCTGTAAAAAAAACCCACATAAATCAATCCAAACACATTTTATGTAAGACTTGCAAAACACACATGTATTACGTTTTTTAAAAGTTTGACAAACTGAAATGAAATGAAATGGGGTTTAACGTCCTACTGTTCTGCTCCTAAACTGGGCTAATGAAGACGGGCATACGCCATACAGTGTGTTATGAGGGAAATTTTGCCTGGGCAGTGGCACTACGGCCTACTCCTATATTAAATTCCAACTGCCAAGGGATCTTTTACGTGCACGCCAATATGTACACAGGACCTCTGTTTTTCGTCCCATCCGAACGACTTGACAGCTGTCCTTGTCAGGCCCTCCGTCCTGCATCACTGACAAGGGGAAACCACGCCGGGAAATCTGGATGAACTTTCTCTGCCAATGCAGGGATCGAACACCCAACCTCCAGGCTAGCGAGCCAGCGTCTTACCCACTTAGCCACATGATCCCCATTTGACAAACTAATTTAGTAATAGTAATATAACATGCAGAAAGATATGTTGAGATTAATACAGATATCAGAAAAACTGGAAAAGGTACTTTTAAGTTATTTTTTATGCAAGTGTTGCAAAGTAAAGTCTGTGTGTTTGTATTTTGAATTGTAGCCAACTGTTATGTGTGATGTAGACCTCCTATACATATTGTTAGTGTCTGCTGGGGGATTATTTGAATTTCAGCATTGAATACATTTAAATGATCAATAATACAAAGTATTTTCTACTTACTAGTAATATTTCTGGATCAGGTACAGTAACTATCTCAGCCTGGGTTCTATATTCAAACGGTTTATCAGCATCCTATAAATTAAACATATTGCTATAAAATTTTTATAAAATTCTGACATGTTCAGCATGATCTAGAACAACTGGAGCAGCATCCATACCTTGCCAAACATAGCTAATTACAGATACTTTATTTTATAAACAATATCTTTATTCAGGATTAGGGAACAGGTTTAGCCTATGTAAAACCCCTCATCCTAAATAGTACATGTGCATATTAAAAGAATAAAAGAATGTATAATAGATAAAATTGTAAAAAATATCAAGCCTAAATAAAATACTGGCATGCATATATGTAGGTGTAGATATTCAAGATTATGACATAGTAGTGCACCCATTACTAATGATGCTATCAACGTGGCTGTTCCATTTACAAATGATTTGCAAAAATTCCACTGTCGTTATGTTGGGTTACTGTTTTTATTATTATTGAGTTCATAAAGTTATAGTTTTACAATATTGCATTTAGCAGTGAGGGTTAAAGTTTCTTTTTTGATGTGTCATCAGAAAATAATAGTACTGGTTTTATATTATTCACATTGTTAATATCTTAACCGATGCTACCATCATTAGACTAGTTTCAACAATGGTTTTGGTAAATGTATGTTTTACTTTTGTCACAAGGCCAGGTTGAATCAATACTAGCATCAATTTATCCTGTTTGTGGAGTTCAGAGTGGTATTTGGAACTGATTAGCCTTTGTTAAGTTAAAATTTAATCCTAATTATACTATTCAAAAAAAGTAGGGGATATTTGATTTTTAAGTGTTATTGAAGTCACCTAATGAAACTGACGAAGAAACAAATGACAAAATGAAATGAAGTTCACATTCATCGATTTATTCCAAATGATCGTTAGACTAAGTAAGGCACAGACTGACCATTATAAGGGTAAAATGATACCCGGGGTCAAACAGCAAAGTTACCACAGCATCACAACCAAGTCAGTAACGGGTAAATCCTCCTCTGTTTGCCAAACAAGCATTGATCCGACGTGGCATACTCCTAATGAGACGTCTAAGGTCATTTTGGTCCAGATTGTCCCATTCCTGTTGCAACGCAGCAGCAAGTTCTTGGACATTGGCAGGACGTTGTTGACGTTGACGTAACCTCTGTCCAAGCATGTCCCAGACATGCTCGATGGGGGAGAGGTCGGGACTCAGTGCTGGCCAAGGTAATGTGGTGATGTTCTGTTGTTGGAGGTAACCTGTAACGATCCTGGCCCTGTGACATCTTGCGTTGTCATCCTGGAAGATGAAACGGCGGCCATGACGTCGTGCGAACAGCACAACATGGACTGCCAAGATGTTGTCCCGGTAGTACTGGCCTGTAACACGCCCTGCAACAACATGTAAAGCAGTTCTTCCAGCAACAGTGATGCCTCCCCACACCATAACAGAACCACCCCCAAATCGATCATGTCTGATGACGTTAACGTCTTGGAAGCGCTCGTTTCGACGACGCCACACCCTCCTACGTCTGTCCAAAAAATCAACAGTGAACCTTGACTCATCTGAAAACATCACATTGCTCCAGCGTCGATTATCCCAGTGTTGACGATCCCTACACCAACGAAGTCTTGCCTGAATGTGATGATCTCTCAAACAAGGGATCACGCGAGGACGTCGGGCGCGAAGGTGACCCCTATGCAGTCGATTCCGAATCGTCTGGCCACTCACTCTCACACCAGTGTCTGTTTGAAGACGAGCGCTGATCTGATTTGCTGTGATGACACGATTTCTCAAGGCCAAGGTACGGATAAATCGATCCTGGGCTTGAGTTGTCGCCCTTGGTCGACCTGAGCGTAGTCTGTCCTGTACAGATTGTGTATCACGGTATCTGGACCATAGCCTGCTTATGACAGACTGAGAAACATTCATCGTCCGCGCCACAACCGCCTGTGTTGTGCCGATCTGTAGCATGCCAAGGGCACGTAACCTTTCATTTTGGGTAAGCCGACGCATATCAAAATTTGTTTTCTGGTCACTAAAACAATTAAACTGATGTTTCCACCCTGGAATTCAATGCCACAATGACTGTAACATTCAAAGTCAGAGTCGTGCAAATCTTGGGTTGGACCCCCATGATGATCCCAAGCATCACCTGCATTCCATGCGGTAGCTATTGGTGCGTTTGGGCGTCACATGTAACTGGAAATGTTTCTTCTGTTAGGTTCTATAGTGACTTTTTTCGTAGTCATTTGCATATTTTAGTATTATGCCCCCAAAATCAAATATCCCCTACTTTTTTTGAATAGTATATTTAGAAAAATACAGAAAATTCTCTGATATTAATTATACTTTTTATCATTTAGAATAACATGGAGAAGTATGAATATTATAACTATAACAGGATAGTAAAACCATTGTTCCATCTGTTGCCCTAACACTTAAATTGCATGTTAAATTATTATACTACCGGTATTGTGTTCAATGTAGATGTACACAGGTTTTAGTTTTTGTTAATACTATATCTTTATGAAGATATATGACATCAAAATGACAGCTGTTGGCTATTAATAAATATAATGACGTCTGTTTAAATCAGCAACAAAATAACCAAACAACCAGTGATAAAGAATTTAACAATCAAACAAAACTAGAGACAAGTGAAACGGTGACATCTCCTGAAGGCCCTGCGTACCAAACTGATCAGCAGTAAATATTCATTGGCCACCAATATCACTGACAGGAATGACATTAAACCGTAATATAATTTATTTTTTTTACAAATCAAATAAACTATACAATATTTTTAAAATTATTTTTAAAATAAATGAAAATAAAGGTGGTTGAAGTATACCTGGATAATAATACTTCCTATATAAGGTAAATGGCCATATAAAATAGTACGCAGGGGCGTAAAATGAGTAAAAGGCAGCAATTCGTAGCACACAGAACTCTACTGGGTGTGACCTTAAAGGTCAGTCCTTGTGCAGTGTTAAAAGACGGCTTTCGCATTACAGCTCTGAAACAGTTTGCTCACTATCATGAAGTACTGCTGATACACTAGTAGTTTGACCAAAAATAAATAGGTATTGATAAAGAGGAAATTTAAAAGGCAACTCAATTATAAAATTGTGACCCTGAACTTCAAGCTAGAGATTCCCACCTTATTTGCAACACACCTTATAGTGGTGGTGGAGCCCCTGTGGCTAAGTGAGTAAATAAGCTTTCACAATAATATTCTTAGCACAATTAAATTCTATTGCATTCATATTAGTAAAATTGATCACCAGAGGACTGGAATAGAATAGGAATAAATGTACGTCAACAAGTCAACAAAGGGTAATTTTATTTCTATGGAAATGTGACAAGGAGAATTTTGCCCTGACAGTAAAGTTTCCATCAACTCCTCAACTACCAAAGGATCTTTTTACATGCTCTACAAATCTGTACCAAATGACTAGACACACTTTGTAGTCAGCCCAGCAGGAGTGGCTGAAAGGTAAGAATAGGTTTTGTAACAACCCAACAGTTCTTCTCATCCACCAAGGTCCTGATCTGCAGACGACTGCCATGTTCAAATGATCTCTACATTAACTGATCTAATCCAACTAAAAATATTTTGAGGAGAGGGTATTTGACTACTGGTTGAACAAATCGAGGATAATAATATATATACATATTATTTAGAGACTAACCACAACTCTCATTAGAATTAAGAAATGCAACATTTAAAGAATGATAACTATAGCAGAAAGAGTAAGGACAATGCTATATTGTCATGTTTAAAGCAAAAGTCCCAGCACTTCAGATTTTTTATATTCTATTCATTACCTTGTATAAAAATAGTTACAATTCACAACTTGAGGTACAAATCATTCTTTAATTAAAAAATATGTCAGCATATGCTGGCTGTGACATTACCAGGGGAACTATCAACCACTGTTTACAAACAAAGTCTTTTCAGGTACAATATGGGCTACTAAATTTGTACTCTGTAGGTGAATAGTGAATACACTAGAAGAATGCCCACAATTCAAATATTTGTATCATTTCCTTGATAAAGACGAGAGTATCCTTGTCGAAACATCGCTTAGTATCAAACTCAGTAATTGTGTATCCATAATATTGTACCTTGTGTTAGAAGAATGCTGTTTGATAAAATTAATGGTAGTTCCACTTATACATGTATCATTATAACTATATAGCCGGTGTATTATTTTTTCCTGTACTTGGGGTTAAGGATGGTTAAGATGTCTTAAATATAATATAGTATCATCCTTATTCTATTTTTCCTTCATGAAATGTTGCATAACTTTATTTAAATAGCTGTTTTAATTGGTTTTACAATAAATGATACAAAGATTGGTCAGAAACTAAAAGAACCGATCAATGACCCAAAATATTACAAAACCGCCATGGTTAATAAATAAATAGTAGAGTGATGGTGATATAACAATACCCACAGTCAAACCTGGTTAAACCAACACCATTAAACCAGTAACCAAAGCAATTTCACCATCCCAAATAATTGTTAACCAAATTCATAATTTCAACCTGAGTAAACCAGCATCCTGTCCAAACCGGCATGTTTCTAGGTCCCATGTATTGTCAGTTTAACCAGGTCTCACTGTAGTATGTTCTGTTTTAAATAAGTAAATGCTGAAAAGATGAAACAGACAGAAAAACCAATCCAGTGTTACTCCAAAACATAACTAAAGTTGCGGTTACGCCCATTTACACAAGTTTACCTCTAATTTGACCACTGCCAATCATAAGCAACTTTCGGACATTATATCTAATTTTACATGACTTAATCCACAATAATATTTTTGTATTTACCTTTATTTATGAAAGGCAAACAAAATATACAGTTTCCAAAATATTTATGTAAATTGTCACTATATCAATCAATGGCTTTTTGTAACCTACTGACACAAAATAATATATTTCAATCCCAAATGACTACTACAGAAATTTAATGTTCCAACACTACCACCATGACCTGATAAAATTATTGAGGAGTTATATAACAGAAGCTAGTGAAAATGCAAATTAAGGTCACAATCAAGTATATATATACAAGTTATACCTAAATCTGTATAAATGATTAATGTGTTAAATAAAACATTATATTAATTCAATAGGTGGCTTGAGGCACACCCATGCATAAGATAATCCTTAAATAGTTTATTTTGTGACTGTATCATAAGATCTCTACAATTTAAATGTTTAGCATAAGATTTAAAGATAAAATACATTGCTTTAAATTTGTTTTATCATGCTAGATGAACACAAACAAATGTAAAAGATACATTGCATTAATGACTTTGCATTTTGAGTTTAAAGTGTAGTAAGCAATTAAAGTGAATAATTTAAACCCTGATTTTACTGTAATTATAAACTTATATTAATAATTATTTTTGTACTGACAGTTTGAGTTTCTCTTTAAATAATATTTTTATTTTCCACCAATAAAATATAAAAAGACTAAACCTTTCAAAAATATAAAACTATTATTTTATGATGGTGCCTTTATAAATGCCAAATAAAATCTATCAATGATTTAAATTAATTTGGGAGTTATTTTATATTAAGAGTAATAAGGGTATTGCTTGTAATTGTACTCATAAATTGCATCTAAATGTAATTTTGACTCATTAAATAATAAAATATTGTTAAATCAACATTAAATATTGTGTCATTTGGTTAAACTTTCATGTGTAAATGATATTAGTGTTATAAACAACAAAATACCTGATGAACCAAGCCATTTTGGCATAACCATGGTTCATAACATTACTGTCCATGGTCATGCCAATTAAGATGGCCTACTTTATGATACATGTCAGATTCTGGTTAGAATACCATGTGAATATCTATGCCATTAAGTTCCTCAAGGGTCTGTTATTGGCCCTTTACTCTTTATATTACATTAATTGTTATAACAATTACCCTACATAATAATGAGATGCAATTTGGAGCTTTGTTTGAAAGTTATACATGCATATTGTATATGGAAGCATAAATCAATTATTATATAATATAGGTAAACATTGTAAATATCTAGTTAATGCACTTTAATTAACGGTACAAGTCTAATTCTTAACTAGCAGACGGTGGTCTGATAAAACTTACAGATAATTCTAAAGGAGTGTGTGCTTCTGATCTTTTAATTACTTTTATAGTTTAAATTGACACTAAAATACTAATCCAATACATGTATCATACAAAGACAATATTACAATTGTTGAATGTATGAATTGAAGAGTAAGTACTGTTTTGATACCAAAATATGGCTTCAAATATTCTTATAGCCTTGCCACAAGACATGAGAATTTCATATACAAAGGACAGTCGATGTTAGCATTTAAAAGACTATAATATATAGCTTACCTTTTCAAAATAAATAATTGTGAATTCTGTGCCTTCGTAGTGAATATGAGGAAATTCTATCATCAAATACATAAAATTACTATTACGCTTTTCTTTCTCGTTGATCATTTCAATTTCCCTAAATGTTAACCGGTCCAACCAATCAACTTTAACCATGTGACCATCTCGATGTTTCTTACTTAACTAAAAATAAAATGAAACTAAAATGCAAATATACCCATTTTAATGGTACAATATAATCAATAGAAATATACACACACATTAGTTTTGTCTTCAAAGATAGAGATAGTTATGCAAGAGTGAGTTTAAAAAATGTTCATTGTATGACTTAAGGTGGTGATCATAGGTGTCATGATGAAGCATATCTGGGTCAACTTGAGACTACATAATAGTATATTCATATTTATATGGTTACATATTATAAACATCATATCTTGAGAAGACAAGCCAACAGTGAGGCTGATGTCCCCCGATGAAATCCCCAAATAAACAGACGACACATATTAATTAATGGCACATTTATCTTTTTCAAAAGTACAGAGTAATCAAACTGATTATCTATGCTTAGTCTAAGCATAAAATGTTCACGATCAAACTCAGTCAGGTTTTGAAGTACCTGGTAGTGAAACTATACATCAAGTTTCATCCCTCCCCATCAGTTAGAATCAAAGTTAGCTTGTCCCGAAGCATCGACCAATGAAATTGCTTAGCTCTACTTAGCTTTAATGGGAAATATTAATCATTAAACTTGGTCAAGACATTCGCCTAATGAACATCTATACCTCAATTAGACGCAGAGTTGTTATATTCCAATGTCTTGACCAATCAAATTGCTTATCGCTACTTAGAAGCAGAAAATTCTCATCACCGAATGAAGTCAATAATGTATTGATATAATGAATCTATACTCAGTGTTTCATCGCTCTCACCCAATTAGAACCAAAGCTATCATGTTCCAAAGTCTCAACCAATCAAATTGCTTATCTCCTCTTAGCCTTAGTGGAAAATGCAGATGATTGAACTCTGTCAAGGCATTCGCGTAATAGACACCTACATCAATTTTGAACATTCTACCTCAATTACAAGGACAGTGTGTTTCAAAGTCTCAACCAATCAGATTGAAGTCTCTACTTTGCCTAAGCAGAAAATGCTCAGCATCGAACTTTGTTATAGTATTGATGTAATGAAACTATACATGAAGTTTCACAACTATCACTCAATTAGAATCAAAGTTGTCAAGCTCCAAAGTCTCGACCAATTAAATTGCTTATTGCTCTGAGCCGAAAATGCTCATTGCCAAACTAAAGTTATCATATCCTAAAGCATCAACCAATCAAATTTGCTTATCTCTGCTTACCCTAAGCTGAAAATGCTCATCTTCGAATTCCATCCAGGAATTCACTTAATAAACACCTACACCAAGTTAGAACATTCTAGCTCAATTAGAAGGAAAGTTTTTGTGCTCCAAAGAGTGTGACGGACAGACAGACAGGTGGACGGACAGACCTATTTTAATAGTCCGCTGCTTTCTTTGAAAGGCGGGGACAAAAATATGTTTGTAGCATGTTGTATTCTGAATATTTATGATTCGAAACTCTTTGACAGACTTCAATAAAAAAAAAAAATAGTTCTTGATAATTTTTGTATGTAGCATATTGTATTCAGAATGTTATTTCTGATTAGCACAAAAAAGATAGGTTGCCAGGCAATGAAACATACACCTACAGCAGCTAAATCGATCGAGCAGCTTGGCTTGTTGCATATATTTTCTTCTGTATGTAATGGGTGCATTTACAAGACACTGATATCAATTTCATACCGATCAGATGATAGCTTTTGTCATCAGACCATTCACAAGTTCCAACAAAGTTAAACAAGAGTCATAACTCTAAGTTATTAATGGAAATTATTCCTCAATAATTACTTGTCTTTGTATATATTAAAAAAAAATGAAAAAGAAACGTCCATAATAAGAATAGTTCATTATGTCTTAATAGTGTTTAAAATAACATTCATTGTTAGCGTTATCCCCACACAAAGGCATGACAGACTTCCAAGTATTTTCAGGTCTTTTTATTTGTTATTATACATGGTGGCCTCAGCATATTTTCTCTTTAATTTCACGGGTTCATAAAATAACCTAAAGATAATATTTGATTTAATATATAAGCATATTTTCTCTTTAATTTCACGGGTTCATAAAATAACCTAAAGATAATATTTGATTTAATATATAAGTATAATATTTACATAAATATACTCCTGGATATATTGACTTATGTATTTAAATTCACTAGTATAAAACTACACATATATTTGTTTTGATGGCCTTAATTACAGTGACCTTCAAATTTATATTTATTTTGAAATCAGATCAATCAATTCATAAGTAATACATCAAATGAATTGAATGTGCTGTACAGTCCCAGGCCTGTAATAATACAGGCTTCATTCAAAATGAATGAGGTGAGACTTATTCTCAGATGTATCAGTGATACATAAGTGACTGTGAAATATTATTTTTTCTAGTCAACTTCAGAGACAATAAAATTGTTTACATTAAACAAATTGAACAATACTGATATAACAAATTATGACTGTAATAATGACACACCCTGATTATGTCACATTACCATGAATTATACTATGACATATTATCATGAATTATAATTTATCATACGTTGTCTACTTTTTAAAAATTAGTGTAATAAAGAGAAGTATTTTGTCATGATTCCTTCTGAATTTCCAATATCAATGCATGTTTACTCTGATTAGTCTAAACTTCATGTATGTTAAGACTTTAAATTAGTTAATGCAAAATCACTTTACACTGACATATCTGGAAAACCGCGGCTACATGTATATTACTAGTAGTACTGACATTACGTCATTAGACATTCATGACTAAACTTACAAAATAAAAGTAGAGTTGATAATGTTATTTTAATTGTGCGCACATTTAAGTCAAGATGTGATTAAGAATGAAAACATTCAAATCCAGTGTTTGAAGGACTGTTCAGAAATGTCAACATTTATCTCTATATAAAACATTATGCAAGCGTAATATCAAACACTATCAACCATATCAAAAGCTGTCAGTTTTCTATAATTGTTAATAAAGACTAGTTCAGTTTTCAATTAAAATCATGACAATACTTATTCACACTGTCTTATTTTAATCTCACATGTCCATCTATCTATTGAATAAAATAGTTATATAAACTTATAGATCCAATTGTTTCATGAGAACATCTGTTACCACTTATTATTTATTCTAAAAGAGCACATATATTTTAGCTAAATATCTTAGATAGTTTTATAGTAACAATGAACTATTAATGTGGTGGTACAACTGAGAAAAAGTCTATCTATATTTATCTACTTACCTGCTCCTTCACATATTTATCTGACCTTTTATTACTATGAATATATGTATATAGACAGTCAATGACTATGAATTTGACTGGTATTATAGTCAATAACTGTTAAACAATGTGGAGAGTGAAGCGGTATATACAAGTATAAGTAACAGATGTTTATATATATATATTGATTTATTATCTACAAATTTATACTTTCTGTTTTACATGTATGCACTCTAGTTTAAAGGGACTGTTAAAGGTATTGGCAATAGTGGCAAATAACACTCAAGGGTTGTAGCCTAACCAAAATTGTCATGGGGAAACATAGCTTTTTTTGTTTACTGCATCTACCTGTAGGCCAGAAATTTTTGTCCAGACCATCTACCAACCATCAACTGATAATATTATGGTTTGCATGGAAGGATTCTTTTTACATCAATCCATTTCAAAATTCACCCAAATTTAAGCAAATTAGCTTTCCTTTAGTCTTTACAGTCATGTTTTCTAGTTTGAATTATCATCACAAAGGGTTTGTTGACATGCACAGAGTCACAGATACATGGAGTATCTTTTTAAGGTACCAGTACCACAGCATTTCAATTGTAAAATTTTTTACAACATTTGAAAAGATAGGTTACCAGGCAACGAAACATACGCCCACAGCAGCTAAGTCGTCCGCGCAGTCAACAAGAGTTGTCACTTAGTTTTTGTATTGTCGGTAATTAAACATTTATAATACACTAAAATCTGATTAAGAGTAACAACTTATTAAGTTATTATCAGAAAATCATTAGAATTTGTTTGGCTTTTAGTTCTGCCCCATGCTAACGTTAAATATACGAAGCATTTAATATCATGGATTTAGCTGTTCAAGTTATCAAAATTCATTGAAAATCAATATACTTGGTCGTCTCAAGACCTGAAACTCTGTTTATCAATCTAAAGTCAAAGTGATCAAGGACCATAACTCTGGTAGTAATTATCGGAAATCATTGAAAATCACTGGGCTTTTTCGTCTCAAGACCTTAAACACTGTGTATAAATTTAAAGTCAATCAGATATTAACTTTAGAATCTAGAGCGTCCACAAGATTTTTCAAAGTGATCAAGGGTCATAAGTGGCAGTAATTATCAGAAATCGCTGAAAATCAATAGACTTCTTCATCTCACTAATATCAACAAAATATATCAATTTAGTCTGTAGAGTGTTCACAAGAAATTTTGGACGATGGACAGACGTACGGACGGGAGTGGCGGTAATATACGACCACATTTCCAATGTGGGCGTATAAAAAACCCATCATTTTATAATAAACAAAGGTAAACATAACTATTGTAGATACTCAAATTTACATACCTTTGATAAGCGACTCATCTGATCTGCACTATCTTTAACTTTACCCGGTGTTGTTGTTATTCTTGATGGATCAGCTTTAACCTTTGGCCATACTCTTAAATCATGCATACCTTGTGAAAATGTCCTGAATAATCAAAAACATTCCATATGTTATTTTAACATCATAGCTAGAGCTTTAAAGGTTTATAGATAAAATAACATTTTTAGGAGGTTTTTTTTTTATTTTGCAATACAGCCATAAAAATATATTATGTGAACTGCAACAGCAAAATGAGTTGGAAGTTGCAAGTCATTGTTTACGATAACAATATATGAATAAAAATATAAAAAACCCCAAATAGTTTGAGTTACCAATATTTGTCAAATCTAAACTTATATCATTAAAAAGATATTTTAGCCTATTTTAACATTAATGTTCATAGTGTAAAAGACTTGCAACCTCTGACTCATTTTGCAATCACAGGTCACACGTCTAAGGCCAATAATAGAAGTCCTCCCATCTCTTCAAATACTGACAATCTGTCTTCAACAATGCAGATGATATTGGCCTTCCCATGAATCCTAATAAACCTGTTGTAGGCTGTTTAAAGATATCAGAATGAGGATTGGATTTCAGAAATGCCAAACGTTACAAAACAATTTACAAATTACGAAATAACAAGTATTTCACTTACCCTCTTTTACCGAATAAACTCATGGTTGTACCACCAACTGGTATATATTTATTTGTACCATAAATATCCCATATAGTTAAAGTGAGTACAGCATTCCTTGGTAGATCACTGTATCGTAATGGAAGTCTTATCCATTCATTCCAACTAGAGTAGTGTAAAAGAAAATACAAAGATCCTGTAATTTTTGATGAGAAAATTTTGAATGGACTGATGAAGAGACATATATAAAAGGAGGTGATGATACACAACCACACTAAACTGTTGGCATCAGCGCTCACATTGTCGGTCGCCAAAGTCACAATTTGCGATAAAAATATGTAAGTGGCGATTAAAATTGGATTTTGGCGATAATGTTTTGCGGTACTGGCGATTCTTTTTGAGAACTGGCGGAAAAATTCTTCAAATTCTAATCGTATTTATCCTAGATTAACCATTATTAAGTGTCAATCACATGGCTGGATACTTCAAATTAATCAACTGGCTGATAATCTGGATCGTGTCAATGAGTAATACTAATCAATTGTCTTGGATTAATGATTAGTTGATTGATAATTGCCAATGATATATATAAAGCCTATCTCAAGTCATTATTTACACCTAATGATTAATCCAAGCGGTGATTATTTGATGTTTCGTTTCGTCTTAAAAAGAATGGTAATACATATAATCAAAATGGCCAACTGGGCATATAAAAAAAAATCTTTTTTTGTACTCATATTACAACCAAATGTCTAAAAGATACTTAGATGTACCATTATCATGGAATAAGCATTCATATGGCTTAAGAAATGGGTCCTGTTTCGTCCATTTATTTTTCTGTGTTTGTGTAAAATTTTATTTGTTGGAAAAGTCATTTCTCGATAATGCCCCACAAGAAGCAGCTGGAGCCATGATGACTTTGGCTCATTAACTAGGTCTTGGGTTCGAACCTGAGGATTTTTCAGCATGGTTTTCCATTGTCACTTACACTGGGATGAAAAACCAAGCTCCCATTTACACACACACATAAAAGAACCCTTGACCGTTGGATTTTGATAGCTGCTGTCCAGTAAAAAGTCTCCTCATAGCACACTGCATGGCGTATGCATGTCTTCATTATTAGCAGAAATGTAGTCCCATTTCATTGCCAACTGTTGTTACAATTCAGTTCTAATTCTTAAAATCTGGGTAAGATTTGAAACTTACTTCCATCTGGTACTGAAAGCTTTATAAGATGTAGAAACAGGAAGACCTAAAGCTCTTCCATCAGAAAATATCTGACATGTCACATACAAATCTGAACACGTATCTTGATAAACACCAGAAAATTTCAACATCGGATCATCTAATAATTCTTTATATCTTGGTCTTTCTCTCTGTCCTTCCAGGGTTCCACTGAAATAAATCAAAACAATACCCATTCTAAAGGAAATAAAAAAAGCAAATCAAAATGAAGTTTGGGGAATTTCTTTATTACATTTTCAATTGTGGGCATTTACGAGCCAGTTAAGAGTGTTCCTTTTACCTCTGCAGTCTGTGCAGTTGTCTTTGCAATAGTGTAGCAGCACAGGAATCTGACCTTCTAATCCGTATATGCATACACCATACCAAACTAGACAATATACATGAATAATAAAAAAAGAACAGGAATGCAATGCCTGTCATTGAATCCATGCGCTGACGTCCCACAAAATCAATCCGCAGTGACTAGACCATTGAAACAAGGGCCAAAGATATTTTTAGTTTTTCTCTCCCTTTCGATTTTCCCCCTTTTGCATGCCGATTTTTGTTGACTTTTGGGGTTAGAATTGAAGAAGAGAGTTTGAATATACATTTTCTGCCAGGTTTTGGTGAATATTCATGATCTTGAGGCGGAAATATACGGGACTTCAGAGTTGGGTTAGGTTTTTGTGTGACGTCAGTGCATGGATTCAATGACAAACGTCAACGAACGAAAATAATGTAAATATTGGAAACAAGTGGCCATGATATCGTTTTGTGGGGAGTATTTATGCAAATCAAATGGCTAGATTGAAGAAAACACATATCTGAGTGAATCAACAGAGGTTTGATTGCCTGACATTACGAATTGTTGAAAAAAAACGAGCCGAAGCGGGAGCCGGTAAAATCTAGGCTTCAACAGGCAAATCATTGCATTCCTGTTCCTTTTTTTATTATATTGTCTAGTTCGGTATGGTGTATGCATATGATTAGAAGGTCAGATTCCTGTGGTAGCAGTCTCTGAGATATGGAGTGTGAGTAACTGGTGTTTGATAGACAGGGATAAGAATTTTTTCACTCTGTGATATTTTGGAATAAACTGAATATTGTATCAATATTTTATATTCAGCAGAGCAGTGTAAATAAATGATATGCTAAACTTTGTTCATTCACAAAAATAATTAGTCAGTTCATTTAGCACTCACTTAGGAGTAGGGTGATTGTGGACACATTTTCGTTGTTGGTCATGACATGTAGGCTATTTCTAAATTTCTGTCTGTATTCTTAGCATTGGAATTACAAATTAATAATTAGATGTCGTATAATTGTAAATTTAAAGGAGCTAAATCGCTAATATTTCGGACCTAGAAATTGACAAAAACCTGTCGCAACGCATATAATAATGTAATATGAATGTATCTTAACTAATTTACATTCAATCGTTTCCGTTTTTACTCTAATTTCAAATCAGTTATGTTCCGCGAAAGTTCTCAATCGAATGGCAATCTCTAGCGTCTGGTTATTCCAGTCTACACCGATAGTATTTATTGTGCATGCTCTCCATATAAGAATATGAATTCAGCATTTAACATGACTTGTGGAATATGTCTTATTGTCTAGCCTCATTCTTCTAGTCTTTTATTACAAACTAACAAAGGGAGCTTAAACGCATTATGGTACACGATTCGTGTACCAATGGTTAAATGTTTAATTATTTTGTCTTAAATATTGGATATCAGAAGCCCATCTTTTTCCGGTAAGATCACAACATCAATGTTGATTTAAATTGACAAATAATTGGTGTTTTCAATTTAATGTGAATGTCGAAGACTTTGGACACTTTGGTCCGTGTTAGAGACTTAGCTACTTTAAAAAGTAGAGCAAAATTGATTATCAGATTTGTGTAATCCTCTCTTTAAATACGGGACATTGAACAATATACTTACATCTTAATTTCAACATTTGAATCCAAATCGCAGCTATAAACATAGCAAAATCTGTCAGATGCTTCTCCCATTTTTCACGAAAACGTAAACACGGAAGTGAAAGTAGAAGTCGTTAGTGTTATTTTTCAGCAGGAGAAATTTCTAAGGGAAGTAACTGTAACGTTGATTTTGTAAGGATGATAGGTTCAAGACCGCATTATTATGTTTTTCGACCACTCTCAATGATAAATGTCTCACCCACCAGTAATAAATTCTACATCAAATAAGAAAAAGTTTATATTCTTTCATTATTCTTAACAAATGAAATGTGGTTTAATGTCCTACTTTTTTTGTTCCATCCGAGCTAATGAAGACGGGGATAAATACGCCATGATTCGAAGTGTGGGGTCGTGCAGTGTGGTGCAGCGGCGCTAGGCCCTACTCGTCCTATCAAGGGTTCTTTCACGTGCACGCCAACGTGTACACGGAACCTCGGTTTTACGTCCCACGCTAACGGTATCCCTAGTGGCACCAATGAAAAGGGGGAACAACGCCGGAAAATTCCGATGAACTTTATCGGCCACTGATTTGACGTTTGGCTGCAGGATAAAATCCAAAAGAAAAAGTGTAGGTTCTAACTTACAGAATTTGATAGGATGTGCTGTGAAATACTATTTACTAAAGTAAAAGGTGTTCACTACTACCTATAGTAAAAAAAAAAATACCCTGTCTAAATACTATAATTTCTCTAGAAACTTTATATATGTTACAGTCCTATAATCCTACGGTTTCTTGTGATATTATATAAATAAAAATTATAGGTAATTCGTTTTTGTCTATTCTGTATATATTTTGTAGACACAAAGAGGCTTATATAACAGACAAGAAGAATGTAGTTTTCTGTAGCATTTAGATGTAGGCCTACAATAATTAAAGTATAATGTAGGCTAAATATTTCATACCGCAGATTTCATAGTCCGAAGATCTATCTATTCCGCGATGTACTCATATGGATTTGTTAGATATTAAATACTGGTGCTCCGGAACTATTTTCCCCTCATACTGTGTCATCAGGGTCCTTGAGAGCAAAAAGTTGTCTGGCGCGAAACCTTTTTGTCCCCCCCCCCCCCCCTACCAAACCTTCCAAAACTAGTCATATATCTAGATGATTCAGTTGCACTATATATCTGAGGAATCAATTAGTTTAACATAATGGCCTACAATGAAGGAGATGCGTGTTAGGTCTTTTGAGCGTCGATCGGTTTACAAAGGGTTAAAAGCAACTTTCTTCTCAGGAAAAATTGCGTTTAAGCGGGGATTTTGATTAAGCAAGTTGCGATAAAGCGAAAACTTGTGTACACGCTTCAAAGGAACAATAAAAAAATTCATGCATAATTGCCCATTTCAATGTTGAACTTTGATATTCACGGACCCTATAGACTCTTATGGGCCTGGGGTGGCGCAGTTATTTTTTCTCCCTCAACAGGACAGATACGGCTCGGTATCTTCATGTCATTTATAATTTGTAATAGTAATAATGATTTTGCCTACAGTGAGGTCACTTTTGTTTTTGAGTTGATATCATTATGTTAAATATTGTATTATTTATATCACATATGAAGAGTTTTTTCTTGCCCAACCAGATTTGCTCTCTTTCAGTCTATATGTTTGTCTTTCGAGCGATGAACTCTTATAGTTTGTTATCAATATCCAATGACTTTTTGCACGATAGCAAACCTGATTTATTTTTACCCAAGATATACGTCATAATCAATAAAATGGCATCGACTTTTCAAAATTTTGTGCGAGAGGTCTAGTATTATATATCCACTACTATTATTCTTGTGTGCTTATGTAAACGTGCTCGGCCGTGAAGGCCAGTTCCACCCGTACTATATACCTTTCCAGTTCGATGCGGATGTTTTTATGTAGAGATGTGATTCCCCATTTACAGTTTGTCCTCTTTAACCCAGCAGGTGCAGAAAAGTAAGACGTTATACCCCATTTCATTTCATTTCCTAAAGGGAAACAACAACTTTCTTTTGGAAATGAACGTCTTTAGCCTAAGATCAGAGAAAATAATGGCGATATTGTATTAATCAAAAATAAAGATGGCAAAAATAAATTTAACAATATCTGTCAATTGAAAAGGAAACATACATGGCTATGTTTATAATGAACTGTCAAAAAATAATCCTTGGCAATTTTGAACAAAATTCAGTATGAAGTCACGCATTGTCTTTAAAGAATCAAGTCAGATGTAACATACAATCTGATTTTAAAAAAAAATCGTGCCCTGAAATATTTGTTGTTTTGATTGACTTGTTTACCAAAGTGTTTATGTCTTGTATCGTACAAGGTATTTGTTGTCCCTCTCTATAAGAAAGGCTTGGAATCTGACCACAATAATTATAGAGGCACATCCTTGTTAGATTGCTGGGTCAAATGGAAGATTAAAAATGTGTTGTGAAGCAAAAGGAGGGCATATTTAATCCGTGGGTGGTTATAGAACTGAACTGTCTGTTCAAAAGTAGAACATAACTCCACCATTCTTGGATTACTATTTAACTAAACCACGGACTTTATAATACATGTACTATAAGGTCCATGACTAAACAGATATGTCGGTTTTTCAAAGGCCTTTGATTTGATAAATATGTCCCAGCCAAGTCATTGTTTTCGCGGAAAGGGGTTTAAAGGGAGTGTATACGGATTTATATAAACCGGGACTTGTTTTCAAACCAATATTCGTCAATAAAATAGTGTTTAAACCAAAGGGTATGGCGTTCAATTGCATAACCCATGCTGTGATTGCATTTCAGGCGTTCGCCAGGGATGTATGTTAAGCCTTTTTCTTTTCTTATAAATCGTACAGTTTATTGAAATGTTAAAGTACGAGGCATTTACAATATTGTGATTATTTGGGTTTAGATAGCGTTGGTGAAAATGCATTAGAAAAGATCGGTACGATATTTAAAGTAGCTAAGTCTCTAACTCAATATCAGCCAAAGTCTTCGACATTGAAAACACGAATTATTTGTCAATTTAAATCAACATTGATGTCGTTATCTTACCTAGAACAGATGGGCTTCAGATATCCAATATTTAAGACAAAATAAACATTCTACCATTGGTACACGAATGTGTACCACAATGCGTTCGGCGCTATTTGTAACAAGGGACTCGATGAATTAGGCTAGACATATTCCACGAGAAATGTCAAATGGTGATGCAATATTCTTATCTGAAGAGCGTGCGCAATAAATACAATCGGTGTAGACTGGAATAACCAGACGCTAGAGATTGCCATTCGATTGAGACTTCTGGCTTATTTCGCCGAACATAACTGATTGAAAATTAGAGTAAAAACGAAAACGATTGAATGTAAATCAGTTTATATACATTCATATTACATTACTATATGCGTTGCGACCCATTTGTGACAATTTCTAGGTCCCAAATATTAGCGATTTAACTCCTTTAACTAATCTAAACAAGAGTATGACTAAGGTTATAGTGTTTATAAATGGTGGTATTTCTAGAAATAATGAAAATGGATCCTAAATAGAAATAAAGTAGAAAGGATAATTTATTGCAAGTACTTAACGAATGGGCTTTAGTTCCCATAAAAACATTAATTGTAGTGATCGATTATCTTTCAAAATGTTTGATTGTATAATAAAACTTATTTTAATGCACAGGTTCCACGTTCCGGATTATCTGTCCAGAGCTGCGAAATTGGTCGTAGAAATTGGATATTAAATGGATTCGCGTTTGTCTTTCAAAACGAAAGTATTGAAGTATTTACCACTTCAAGCTGCCATTAACAACGCTTACGTCAAGGGGCACATGTAATCTGTCAACTGAAAGTATCTTGTATGCGCAATAAATTACACAGGTATTTTGATTTTGATATTAATTATACATATAAATTTGTATGTTTTGTAGTATCATATGGGTCTTTCACCCTATATATGAATAAACATTAGTATAATTCTATATACCCTACTTCTTTGGTCCTTCATAGAAAAGCATGTTATATATCTATGACTTGCATAAAAGCGTATTTGTTGTTTGGTCGAGCTTCGATAACTCTTTTACTTCTGAATAATAGTAGACTATCTTTATATCGGTAATGTGTTAAACTCTTTCACGCATGAGCACGCATTTCGGACATGACTTTGAATTTAACAATTATATTTATATCTAGACAGTAGTTCTAATAGATATTCAGTTTAAGTGTTTAACTTAGACAGATCACGATGTCTTCTATTAAATACGAAACATACCAAGATGATACTATCAGTCAATCGAAACTGGTTACCAATCCTGTTACTGAGAAGTAAGTACATGTTTAAAATGTTTACCTCACAATTCAAAATATAAACAATAATAAACCACAAACAGCGGCCAAAAACGTGATTACAGTTTTTCTGGGATTTTATACATTGCGACAAAACACGTATGAAAAGACAAAAACGAAAAACTAATTGAAAGTTCTTAATTCATTTTTAAATATAATATTTTAAATTTGGCATCTAGCAAAGCAGACATTCTGTGGTGTCTTCATTTCTGTTGTGTCCCCATTACAATGATGCCCTTACAACTATGATACTATGTCGTGTTCCACCAGCACATATGGACTATGGGAGACTATTCTGATCACGAGCTTCCTATACACTGGTCACTCTTGAAGTTCGATGTGGATTTTTAACTTTTTCTACTTTACGTTGTGTTGTATTTCTACAAAAAAAAGGAAACAATGTTCTGCTTAACATGGGTATATAAATCATAATACATTTCAAATGCACAGTTTATAACAGCTATGACATGACAATACATATAAAAGCATAATTCCAAACATCAGCAATAATACTAATAACATCTCCCCAGCTTCTGAATGAAACCCACTTCAAGATATCCCCCTCATCCCAGAAGGCCCAATGCTGTCTCTGGACTCGGATCCCGTACAGCCATTTTGATGGAGGGCTCTGGCGAGTAATTGGTCCCTTGTAAAACACCGCCCTTGATTCCAAAAGAATGTACTAATATGGAACCTAAAGGGGAGGGGCCATTGATGGATGCCAAAAATAACCGAATATGGATTACCAACTTTATTTGCAGACTTCTGTAGGTACGAATTTCGATACACTAAGCAGAACTTGATTTAAAACAGAACTTGATAACCTTTATCGCTTTACATTGTACAGCTTTTAAATGTCTCATAGTATTTTCGAATTAATTGCAAAATACGTAGGGCCATACTATATACCGGAAAACACCGGAAAACAACCGGAAAACACCATTTTATACTGAATACCGGAAAACACCGGAAAAACACTAAATACCGGAAAACATCCTAAACACCGGTAACCCGGAGCCTGGTCCTCTGTGTGCGGTTTTGGACCAAGTGAGCGCCGATGAAGGAAGGTCAAGGTCATTACGATGTTCGTTTTACAAATAGCCCCCCCCCCCCCCCAAAAAAAAAAAAAAAAAAATTCCGATTTTTTTTTCTCCAAAATTTTGTTGATGCCTATTATGTTTTGAATGTTTTAAAAGACGCAATCAGTCTACCTCCATCATTGACCATATTTTATTTTGTATTTTAATTTTAGTTTTCAGTAAATTTTAGTAGATTTCAGTGTTTCAGTATTTCAGTAGATTAAACACAGCCTTCTGAGGGCCCCGTTATATGCCGGTTGCGCCGGTCTCCTGATTCTTACCAGTAACGCTGGCATCAGGGTGGTACGAATTAGTGGAAGGCACGATTAGGCCAACTCCTCCCTAGGTAACAAAAAATCGCATCATAAAACAGCAAGTATCATCAAAAGCGAGTTAATAAATCTCTGAATAGTTCGAGTTGAAGTTCCAGGTTTAACCGCTATGTTTCCTAATCACCAAACGAAATGGATGCCACGCAATTCTCGGACAGGCTGTAATCTGAAAAGTGTCTATCCTTTCCAAGAGCTATCCATCTCGTTGGAAGGGCTAAAAATCTACTTGTTTCTGAGCTTACTTTCATTCCAGTTGAGAAAACCCCAACTTTCGCCCAATTGTCCATGAGGAAACTACATATTCTATCTTACTGCATTGACGGGAAGTAGTAAGCTGGACGTCTGTGAAAAGGGTTGATCCATAAATTTTCAAGGAAGCAATTGTTGTTTTTGTTTGTGAAATAGAGGACTCTAGCCGATGAGGCTACTTTCCCCCCGAGAACCTCAGGCAACCAATTTGTTTTATGTACTACTATCGTAATAAAACATTACTATATTAACCACTTCCTGGTGGCTGAAGACTTACACCGAATGCGTAATCGGAAAAAAATGTCCCCGAGAAAATGTTTTTCCGACAATCGATATTCGAGATGTCTTCTGTTGCACAAATTATGCTACACTGTGTAAGAACTTTCATCCTTTGATCTGAAGATTGTAGATGGAAAAGTATCATTTGCACTATTTCAAAGTAAACCTGCATTTTCGTATATCATCCCGTAATTTGTGATTAATGACAATGACTGTGGAAATAATATGGGTGAGGAATGGAAGATCTATGTTCGTCACGTGACTGGACAATTCCACCCCCCCCCCCGTCCCACCCTGACGATGATCCCTCCCGGAGCGGCGCGGCGCGGCGCGCTCTCTAAAAAACATCTCGGGCACAGTTTACTCTTCTAAGTTTTCCGGTAGGTATTTAGTAATGCGGAGTTTGGTCCTCGTGTGTGGTTTTGGACCAGGTGAGCGCTGATGAAATAAGTTCATTAACATACAAGCGAGCGATCGCCTACGGTCAAAGAAAAATTTCTTTTCCGATTTTTTTTAAGAATTACTTCTCCCAAATTTCTCTCTCAAAAAATTCAAATTTTGTTTCCAGTAATTTTCTCTGTAAAATTATTTCCTACGGAATGTTATTTTTGTAAAACCAATTTTTCGGAAAAATTCTATTTTTTGGGGGGGACAGAAAAATTTTTTCGTCCAAAAAATTTGGAGAAAAAAAATCGGATTTTTTTTTTTTTTTTGGGGGGGGGGGGGGCTATTTGTAAAACGAACATGACCTTGACCTTCCTTCATCGGCGCTCACTTGGTCCAAAACCGCACACAGAGGACCAGGCTCCGGGTTACCTATTTAGGGTGTTTTCCGGTATTTAGGATGTTTTCCGGTATTTAGTGTTTTTCCGGTGTTTTCCGGTATTCAGTATAAAATGGTGTTTTCCGGTGTTTTCCGGATGTTTTCCGGTGTTTTCCGGTTGTTTTCCGGGTGTTTTCCGGTGTTTTCCGGTATATTGTATTGCCGAAATACGTATACACAAAACAAACGTAAATTTTCAGAAAGAAAAGCAGAAAAATAATTCAGAATTCCAATGTACTTCTGATGTCTGAGAAAAGGGTAACATTTGGAAATGTTTTTCAAAAGTTTTAATTTCATCCAATTCATGTCAGATACTTGTGCACAGCTTCAAATAACTCCACCAGCCTACTCCCACAAAAATAAAATAAAACAATAATAAAAAAAAACAATTTCCAAAGACTTTCTTTCTTTCTGATAGGTTCCAAAGAGTACGTGACTGGTTTAAGACAAGATCAATTCTAGAGATATGTTTAATGGTGTTGGCATTGATATTTATTATTATCATCATCGCTCTAGCTATTGCTTATAATGTTAAAGGCCCACGAGAACAACAAAATAAACAACGTACCGGTAAGTGTTAAACAACGTGCGTAGTATATGTACTATTATAATATGTTCTAACGTTAATTTTATATTATGTTTTGAAAATCTGCAATTATACGAGAGCTTAATAAATAATAACGACATTATTAGTCAATTTTTCATGTTTAAAAAAAGAAAGAAAAAAAAAACAATACCCCCCCCCCCAAAAAAAAACCCAACAAAAAACAAAACAAAACAAAACAACGACCAGGTTTTTAAGCCATACTTAAAGACGGGTTCGTAGCCAGCTCGTAAAATTTGGTGGGGCTATGAAATTTTTTGGAGGGGCTGAGGAGGTGGAAGCGCGAAGGCTCTCTTCTCGCATCTGAGTGCATTCTTGGGCCTCAAATTGAAGTGCCTCAGGCAGGGTTTTATTGCTGAATTTTCTGAAATTTCCTTCTTCGACTCCTCCCGCCGATATCATCTTGAGGGTAGTAGAGAGTGTCTTTTGATTTACGCGGAGAACTCTAGGCCGAGAAATACAGCTGTAGTATCAATTTTCAAGTGAACTATAGGTATTCTATTATTCTATTCATAGAATTACAGTATAGGCTGCATAATAGGCACCTTATGTTAGACACGAAAGGCACCTACATTTTAGGCGCCGGTAGGCACCCTACATCGGGTGTAGGCAAATGCAAACATTTGAACCGGCGCCTTGTAGGTTCACTACATGGGGATGGGCTGGCACATCATCGCCAAGATCAGATGGACAAACCGCTTTCGTTTTGGACTGGACATCAGGGGGTGAATCGATGGAATGGGGTGCTGCTGATCCTGGTGCTGGTGTGGTAGACGATGTAGTCACGCCATCAGAAGACGATGGTCTCTTTCTAATCACAAATGCATCCATCGTCTTGTCTCCGTCGCTATAGTTGCTAGGCGGGTAGGACTACGCGGGACGAGCCGAGCGGAGCCGCGAGTACGTGAAATGAAATGGGGTTTAACGTCCTACTGTTTTGCACCCGCGAGTCGTTGAGTGTGATGAGCAAGTATACGTGTTCAATGACAGTAGACCAACACGCCTCACAGTAGTTATGTACAACGCACGTATGGTATCAAGATAAGAGGGTCAGGCCTCGGTGGACCATGATACTCACTGCAAGGAGTATGGCTACGGGCTTACGGGTGGCCTACCAATTTGAACACTCCTAAAAAATCATTATTGTCGGCGAAATATTTGGGGGAGGGTGGAGTAATTCGATTTTTTGGGGGACTTAGCCACCCCGTAGCCCCCCCCCCCCCGTGTCTACGGGCCCGCTTAAAGACAATTAAGGATGGAGAAATTGTCTAACACGTCCAGGAAGAGAATTCCATGAAGTTGATGCTGTCCAACGAAGGGTTTTTCACTAAAATCTTTTTAAATTGCATTTCATCACGCTCAACAAATATTTATTGCAAGGTTCTAGATGGAAGATGAAATTTTATGAATAGTCTGACATGATCTTAAAATCTATCCTTTCTTAATATTTGTTTGAAAATAATAAAAAATATCATAGAGGCAGATAAAATGTCCTCGTTTTTCTTTCAGGTGCATGTCTTACACCAGGGTGTGTGCGAGTCGGTAGGTGTAATTTGGTTTTTTTTTGCCTAAATTGTTGTAAACAAGTCTAAGTGGAGCACGAGATAATATCAAACTATTATATATATAATGGTGCATTCATTTAATATTATATAATACTGAATTCATGGACATGTCTTTCTTTATCAAATCACATTTATATGTAAATAAACAGTAGTAATGTAAAGGCGGTGAATATGGACCTTGAAACTCAGACGGTGTGTCCTCACTGTGCCCACTTTTGATTAATCCAATTAAGGTCTAATTAGGATTAGTGGATTAAGCGCATTAGGATTAGGTGTTATAGGTAATTAGATGGGAAAAAACCCCAAATATTTTATGTAATTTTTTTTTTATTTTTCGATGTTTTATATATATTTAATAAAAATATAACATACATGGATATATCATACATCACATTAGCACTTTATAATTTAATGAAAATATAACAATTTTCGATGTTTTATATATAAAATATGTAATAAAAATATAACATACTTGAATATATCATACATCACATTAGCACTTTATAATTTAATGAAAATATAACAATTTTCGATGTTTTATATATAAAATATGTAATAAAAGTATAACATACATGGGTATATCATACATCACACAAAAACAAGATAAACAATGAAAATTTACAATGTAGTTAAACGGGCTACGCCATCGACATACTCGAATACAGTCTTTATACCGTTCTGAAGATCTGTTTTTCAGAGTTTGGAGTCGGGTTTCTAGTTGCCTGTACTTTCTTCTCTTAGGCCGTAATTTTCCGTTGGCACCTAACTGGAGAATGGTTACTTCGGAGTAAGCTTGTTCATTCTTAAAAAAAGCCACCAACTTAAAAATATTTGGGTGAGGGGTGGCAATAATGGATGTTATCTTGGAATGCCATCCTTCAACATGGTTCGTTGTGCGTGGACTTTCAGTGTGGAAATGGTTCCACATCATTCTGCCATGCTGCCCCTCCACCCAGAACTCAGTTACGTAATCTGCAAATTGCAACACTCTGGCATCTTGGAGTGGTGCATCATCAAGGGCATGCAGCCATACATCTTCAACCTGCTGTATTGGAATTAATGGTAATGCTGCTGCTTGCTTGACGATTTTATTGATTTCTGGCACCCGAGAAAAATCTGCTTGTAGTCCATATTTCTGCGCATTGCGCCAAATACACTGACCAAAGTGAAAAAAACAACCTTTTAGTTCTGACCTCGGCAACACAGTTCTCACAGCATTTTGCATACTAACTTCGAAATCTGTAAACACATGGCCTGGGTTAAGATTAACATTGACAAGTGCCAATGTTTTGTCTCTAACACATCTGAGGAACTCAACATATGTTGCCTCCTTCTTATCGGGTAATAGTGCATACACCAAAGGGAACATTTTATTGTGTACAAAAGCATGTATAGTGTAGATCTGGGTGAATAAGGTAGGACTCATGCTAAATGTTCCATCGCAGTATATAGTGTCTGCATTGGCGAGATGGTAAAGATTTTCTTGTGTGGAAAACACTAGAAACCTGTTGTCGGCTGCTGCGTGGAGAAGGAAGTCGTCTCCGGATGTGGTCTTGGTGTAAGAATCTGGAAGCTGGATATCGTTGCGGGTCTGAGGAAGTGCTGGGAGGATCTTTGCTCGGGCTCTATACAGGGAAGCACAGCAACTATAGAATGTTGGAATCTCTCTGATCATCTCACCTGAGTCACGGTCAGATCGAAGGGCTGTAAACAAACAAAAAGAAAATATTTATTATACATATTATTATATCATTAATACTCGACCAGACACTCGATTGGTTTGTTACGGAAGAACATGTTCAGTATGCTTTAACGTTGAATCATTTAAATCAACGGCACACAACGTTAGAGATAAATACATACCTGATACTTCTTCTTGATAGATGGCACAGACTGGTTTGGTTTCCTCTTGCACCTTGGTTTTCATGGCAACGAGAAATTTGTCGACTGCCACCTTGTGTGGGTTAGCAACATGGTTGTGGTTTCTGGAATATTTGGTAATAAAGCCTTGGTGGGTGTTCAGGGTTGCTGGACAACCTTTTATACAACATCTCCAGTATACTCGTTCTGCCTTCCTATTCTTCACTCGGAATTTGTATTCTTCATGGACTAAGTTTTCTCCACCTTGAGCATTGGGGATGTACTGGATGTTTACTTGAACGTTTGCCATGATGAAATATGACAGACTGACTTCTGTGTGTCCTTATAAAGACCGTGTAATGTGTAGGCTTACTGAACATAATTCATATTATATTCAAGTGTCATTTTTTGAATAAAATTCATCACTTTAACGATTACAGTGGGTTCATCTCACCAATTATAAGACTGAATATTTAGTCACTTTCAATATTTGTTTTTTTCCATCTAATTACCTATAACACCTGAGTCTCATACTTAACTTTTAAAAATTGTAGTTCAGTCCCGATAAATATCTTTTGTTCAAATTGAAAGTAAAAAAATAATAAATTACATTATATATTAGCTAGTACTTTAAAAATCGCAATATCGGCATTTATGTATTTTTATTATTAAAGAGAAGGCAGTTTGGGAGAGGAAAAATGACAAAACCCTAATTCAAGATTAAAACAATGTTTTAGACTACGAATTAAATCTTTAGAATTGTCTATGCTGTATGAAATATTGGAAATTTAACTGACGGTTATAAAATATATGGCCATTTTATAATCTTGAGAAGTTCAAGGTGAGGTCTTCAGAACGCGAGAAAACAGTTATCGACTTCTCACCTTCGACTTCTTAATTTCTTGTCTTGCCCCCCCCCCCCTGGAAGTGCAATTTAATTTATAAACCATTGCTCATTGAAACCTTGATATTTAATAATGCTTTTACTAAAGAGTTTCATTATTACTAGAACTTCTTTCATACCGATAATAAAGCGTCAGACCGCACATAAAATTATCTGGCCACTTATGAGCAATCAGTTGGTATACAATGGAGATTTGTATAATCACACGGCTTTGAAAGGGCAGAGGTAGAAGCTATAATCTTAGTTCACGGTGAAGCCGGGGGTAAGGGTGGGTACATTTAAATTCTCTAAATGCAAAGATAAATGTTTTTATGTACTTTTATATGAGAATGATAATCTGAAGAATTAAATTACACTAGTTCAGTGCATATACAATTTTTTAAAGATATGTAGGATTTAGATAAATTGCTGTCGGGGTTCAAATGTTCCGACCGCTTGACCCCTCTGGGAGGAGCATTTTTGAAATCGGTTATCTCCAATTTTTGGCTTGTTATAATTTCTTTTTGTTTTTGATACAAGTGTCAAATTTGTCTTGAATCTCATGACAGAACGTTCCAATCACCCAAAAGTGACTGCATAAATATTTTACCCTGCTTCAGAAGCCACAAAAAGTGGTACTGCGAGATAGATTTCTCTAAGCTGAAACCGATCCGAGTTAGAACACCGGAAATAGGTATTTCCACTGGAAGTCAAGACAAACTACTTTCATTAGCTTTACGTATAAAATAGATTGGGTCGCCATGATGACAAAACCACAGAATGAAGATCATGATAATGTAACCATTATGGGTGGAGATGGCCATGACCTCTGCCAGAGGGTTCCTGATCTCAAAAATCCCCCCCCCACCCCGAGAGATTTAAGGGGTCAGAAAATTTGAACCAATTCATTTTGAGATAGCTTGGTCCCACATCAACCCAAAACAACAAGAAAAAAAATCAATTTTATGGTACAAATCCTAAAGGGATGTCATACACACTATACGTTGTGTCGACCTCTTCATTCGTAAGACCATTTATTTTATTTTCACACTATTTATTTTTTTGCATTTATATTTTCTGTAGCCGCCCGTATATCCGATTCTGTGGATACAACCATCAGCCCCTGTGAAGATTTTTATAACTATGCATGTGGTGGATGGATGAAGAAGACTATCATACCAAAAGGCTATTCGGGTTATAGCATACTTCATGAAATATATGAAGATGTGGACAAAATACTGAAAGGTATTTAAATTATCTAAGTGGTTATTAGTCAAATTCTCTATTAAGTGTTTTTTAAAGTGCAAAAGAAAAACCACAACCAATGTTCATAAAGCTGAGTGTACTGTGACGCAAGACACAATGGAATTTCCTATAAAAATGTGACATTTAATACGTTATTTAATAACTGGTAATGATTTCTTCCGGAAAATTCACAATACTGAAAATACTCGTTTGGGTACGAAGTTAAAGAATGAGTTTATGGTAGAACATCCATCCCCTGAAATAATCTTAAACACCGACAATATGATTGATCTAGTCACTTATACCTCAAAGTTTTACCTTCTCAAAGAATAATTAATTCAATCCAAGTCATTTAGAAGTTACATAGGCGCCAGATCGTGTTTTGTCTTTTGCTCTATGACCTCCCCACCTATTTGCTGAGGGGGGTTGGATGGCCGAATGGTTAGCACGTGCACATACGCTGTATCATAAGGTCTGTCATTGAGTCAACTGGCGTGGTTTCGATTCCCCGGCTGTGCTTGACAAAGAGTAGGGTCGCCTGTCCAACCTCGTGGGTTTTCTCCGGATCATCTGGTTTTCCCCTACTGCTAAAGATCCCTACGCGCAAGCGAATTATTGAAATAAAATTGAACCGTGTGTTCGTCCGGAAATTACCTTGTTTGTATCGAGTGAACGTTTAACCCCCTCTCTCTCTTCTACCCCCCCCCCCCCACTCTCTCTCTCTCTCTCCTATTTGCTGACGACATTATTTTGTATATTAACCATGCCACGTTTCTTCCCATATCAATAGGATTGAAATCCACATTGAAATCGTAAACATACCGATAAAAGAATCGTAAACATACCGATAAAAGAAGCATAACCAAACCGAACTCTGAAAACATTTCAATTTTTGATTACTGGATACAAAAGCATACATGATTGTATACTTAGTGTGATTTCTAGCTGCTAGACGTCTATGGTATTTTATGGTATTATTATATGGCATTTTAATGATCTTCGTATTTATATTTACCCAGAGTCGTTGGAGAAGCCATCGGTATCGACAGATCCTGAAGCCATTAAAAAGGCAAAGAGATTTTATAAATCTTGTATGGATGAGGGTAAGCTATTTTATTAATTAATGTATATGTTTCTCTCTGAAAAAATTGATAAATTCTTAATTAATATACACTCAAAAGAAATAGCAACCAAGACCCGGAGGTAAATTATATTTAAGGCGCGACGGAGATGATTGTATTGTATTACATAATTACACCTTTACTTTCAGACAAAATTGAAGCACTTGGAAACAGGCCACTGATAAAATTTATAAATGATATTGGTGAATGGCCATTGATTGCGTCAAACTGGTCCGAAACAGGCTACGATTTGGAAAATTTGTTGATACAGATATCCAAAAACTATGATTATCCCATTATTAGACTACGAGTTACACCTGATGAGAAAGAACCACAAAAAAATATCATCCAAGTAAGTTTGCTTTATGACGTCTATTTATAGACACCACTTCATAGGATACACGTGCCAATTGTTTTGTTGCGTCTGTATCATTAGACTATGGTGTGTATTAAAACAAAGAATCAAAAATTTGATTTATTAGGTTTCCACCAATCAATTAATTTGTGCCGATGTCTCGCAATTTTTTTTACAGAGAGCTGTAAGTGAAACATTTTTTTAGAGAAAAGTTTCGTTAAATTATACTATAGAATGAACATTCCTTCAGAACATATTTAGCACAAACATTGAAATCTTTTTAATTTTGCACAGTTGCGAGAACCAATATACGGACTACCATTTGGTCACACTGGCCTTAATGATTCTACAGTTAAAATGTTACAAGATATGGTGGTTAAAGTAGCTGTTATGCTTGGAGCTAACGAAACAACGGCCAAAAAAGATGCCTTGGATATGGTGGAATTGGCAATAAAACTGGAAAATGTATGCTTTTTAGAAATATTTTACCGTCTTATTCTTGCAGAATAGATGTTTCAGTGTAGGTTGTCAACTGTAGTAATACCGGACTTCTTTGTTGTGTTTCTTCGTGATCGTAAATACAACTACAGGTCTAGTCGTTTATACAACTTAATTATTAAAACTGCTTTTCATCGATGTTCCTCGTTCTCAATTAGTATGGATGACGGCTGCTCCGGAAATCTGGGCGAGCTCAGACATCCTCTTTCATAGACTGCTCTTTCATAGACTGATCTTGGCGTTAATTTCCTTCCCAAATATGGAATAAACATCCCGATATTACCTAATTTGGTCTACCAACCACATGTCATAAACAAGATAGTATTTGATGTATATATTGACAATAGTAAGGACATAACCAGTCTTTCTACCAAATTATTACTGTTTTTATATACAGACACGTCATCCAATTTTAATTTGAGTACGTTTGATCTGACTCTATAGAAAATGTGAACCTAATAATTAGTTAAACATACAATATGGTCGCAAAGACCATAGTATTACACAAACTTGATGTTGTTACTACAGGTCTTGAACGCGTGGACATCGTTTAATTCTTATAAAGGGACACTAGACCATTCTAAAATAACAAATGTCAAAATTAAACTCTTTAAATTAGTTAACTCTCGCGATTTATCTAGCTGAAGATAGCGCCACAAATATTCCATCGTCTCTTTAAAAACAAACACCCACCAACCCATCCACCCAGACGCTCACAAATCAAAGAGATAAATCAATGCATGTATTATATCTGTTTCTAGTTTTATACAACGTTTTACCATTTCAGATCAGCGTTCCAGAAAAAACAGATCCTTTACCCGCTGGTGGTGGCTTTAATGAAAATCAAACTGAGGTAAACTTTCACTTATTCCAGTGGACCAAGGCTTCGAGTAAACTTTAATGTGAACGTGTATTGTCACGTGCACCCGTCTTAAAGGACAATATTGGCGTCAGTCATTATCACATATGTGATATATAAATAAGTGACAAATATAATGATAGATGCATAACGAAGATTTCAAGAAACAGAAGTGACGAAAGCACAAGGAAAACACGAGTAATCCTTCTATATAACTGACTGAAGTGACGAGTGATAACAGATACACGGCCGAATTTCTGTTCATTAATAATTACACCCTTGACCACAAAAAGACATACAATCATAATAATAAGAAGACCAGAGTAGTGTGTTTAAGATCTGCCTTTACATTTAGACTGTTGAACAAGATACAATAGGTTTTTGATGGCCCGAATGTTCCAAGGATAGAATTGGCTGTCCTCCATTTTTCAACCGTAAATGGCTTTTGAATGTGAAAGCATATATGATACATAGACATACATGTGAAATGTGGTAGGCAGCGCGAAACATTTTACTGGGGTAGGCGTATAATGGAGTCGTCTGGCACACTTTTGTCTGTTTATATTTGCAGGTAGACGTTCCATCGGGACCGACAACAGCACCAACGGTCCCCGAAAAGAAAATAACGCTAGACGTGTTTAGTCAGAAATACCCAGATGCAAACGTAAGCATTAAGAAATGATATACATGTACATCTATCACTAACTTTTTATATAATTAAAAAATAAGACTAAGGCATCAAGGAAATTTTCGTTGGACAAATGAACTAATTCCGAACGATCAGAAGGTGGTCAACACCATGAGGAGAGAGAGAGAGAGAGAAATGGGGTTTAACGTCCACTCGACACAAACTAGGTCATTTCGGGACTAACATATGGTTTAATTTTATTTACATAATTCGCTTGCGCGTAGGGGTCTTTAGCAGTGGGAGGAAACCGGAGGACCCGGAGAAAACCCACGAGGTTGGACAAGCGACCCTACTCCTTGCCACGTACAACCGGGGATTCGAAACCACGCCAGTCGACTCAATGACAGACTTTATGATACAGCGCGCGCACGCTAACCATTCAGCCATCCAACCCCCCAACACCATGGGGAACCCGAGGAAGAAATCACTCTAATCTCCTGTTGACAAACATAGTTTCAATAAACCTCAAATGTCCCCGTGCTATTAAATCAAATTCCGGATTACAAAACTACAGAAATAATCAAATAAAAAAAATCAACACCCTAAATAATCGCCATACTTGTTTTCAAGTTGTAGAACAATCATGGCTATTGTACGGCGTACAAAAACAAGAGGCAGGTCACGCCAACATCCAGTTCACGCCTTGTCAACCACACTGTCCACATCCGGCTAGCAATATTTCAACTACCAATTTCCCCCTGACTGGTTAGCGTTTTTTTCACTAACATTTTACTGAAAGTATTATTGCTACCTAATTATTATATCTGATCAGGTACATATTATTTTACTAATTAGACGAAATAAGTAAACCACTGTGTACTTTTGCTCTAAAAATAAGAAACAACTGCCTTATCCCAAACAATAACAAATCTACCAACACCAACCAATACATAACTACTTCACAAGGTGGTGAATATTTTGAAGTGAAAACATACTTCTTTGATGGAGAGAACAACAGTTTTATTGCTGCTTTGGATATATTGCTGGAAGGATAATACAAGACTTTATAATACTAGAAATTATTTGGTGTTTCCACGCTGTTGTACAAAACATTTCAAGAAATAAGAAAAAAAATGTTTGTGTTGGTAGATTTGTTATTGTTTGGGGTAAGGCAGTTTTTCGCATATTTTTTAGAGCAAAAGTACACCGTGGTTTACTTACTTCGTCTAATTAGTAAAATAATATGTACCTGATCAGACATAATAATTGTGTAGCAATAATATTTTCAGTAAACTGATAGTGAAAAAACGTCAATCAGTCAGCTGAAATATTGCTAGCCGGATGTGGACAGTGTGGTTGACAAGGCATGAACTGGGTGTGGGCGTGGCCTGCCTCTTGTTTTTGTACGCCGTACAATCGTCCATGATTGTTCTACAACTTGATTATTTAAGGTGTTAATTTTTTTTATTTAATTATTTCTGTAGTTTTGTAATCGGAGTTCAGCTTATTAAGGCGAAATAATGCAGTTTCCCTGTCTGTCGACCCATCCACTCTTGCTTGTCTGCTCTGTAGCGGCAACAGTTTTTAACAACATGTTACAAAAAATGAAATGAAATGAAATGGGGTTTAACGTCCTACTGTTCTGCTCCTATTCTGGGCTAATGAAGACGGGCACACGCCGTACAGTGTGCTATGAGGGAAATTTTGCCCGGGCAGCGGCACTATCGCCTACTCTTATATCGAATTCCAACTGCCAAGGGATCTTTTACGTGCATTCCAATGTATACACGGGACCTTGGTTTTTTGTCTCATCCGAAGGACTAGACAGCTGTCCTTGTCAGGCCCTCCGTTCAGCACCACTCACAAGGGGAAACCACGTCGGAAAATCCAGATGAACTTTCTCGGCAAATGCAGGGATCGAACACCCGACCTCCAGGCTAGCGAGCCAGCATCTTAACCACCTAGCCACCGCGGCTCCCACCTGTTACAAAACTTCGGATAATGAAGCCCGACTCACAACCTGCCGTACTTTTTTGGTCACGCACGGCTTGTAGGGTTTGATTGCTCGTAGACCGGGTGAAAGTTTTGTGAATAGTACGGGAACAATATTTGTCACGTACAGGCTGCACATGTAACTTATTCAAAGCGTAAAAAAAGTTTGAATTTGAGCGCAATCGCTTTTTTTGTTCCGCAGATATGGCCGTTTAATTAGTAGACCAGGAGGGGGGGGGGTACTCCACCACTACCAATGTCTGGCAATTACATACCTCTGTCAGGGGTACTCCACCACTAGAAATGTCTGTCAGAGTGTTTTTTGTAATACTTGATGATATACGGTACACTGCTGTACGATTTTCGTGTGGTGCACTTTTGAGCGAATCTAGCCTAGTTGGGGGGCATGGCATTTTGGGCGTAGAATACCACACCCACCACCAGAAACCTGGCAGACTTATATTCTGATGATACCAGATATACATGCATTGATACCATATAGGAGCAAATTTGTACACTTTTCAGATAGTTTGACCTCGCCGGGCTCCCGCTCTATAGCTTTGCTTGTCATCTCTCTAGAGGTCAAACCTTTCCTTTTGTATAGACTTGAATGCTGCATATGTTTTTCGAGACAATCCTGCTGTATGGGCGTATTTCCACGTTTTGCGTGGATCTTAAAAATTCTATTTCACTTCATGATTTCAGTTCAACTGGTTATCCTACGTACAGGGTATAATGAATAACGTTCGAGTCAGTATAACAAAGGATGAATATGTTATTAATAACACACCTCACTATTTCGAGAGGTTATTCGCAATATTGAATGCTACACCCAAAAGGTAAATATATTCATTAGTATTCTAGTTCTATGGTATAATTCATACAAACAACAAAAACGATTTTATCTAAATGTATATTAATTCAAAACGAGTTAAAAATAGGGCAACGTTCCATATGCAAATAAGTTGTGAAGTAAAAAGTCGAAATTTAGTTAATATCTTTGGAGAGGCGTTACGTCACCATCTAATTTCAATTAATAAAACAAATCTGTAGCTAGATTCCCCATATTGCATTCATTGTTTCCTATCTTTCCTATAATAGCCGAATTCTCGGATAACTCAGTTTATGTGTCTTGTTTATCATGTTTATATTCTATTTATAGGACAATTACAAATTATGCTATCTGGAGGAGCATAGAGGTCAGATTGTATAACACTCCCAAAAAGTTCAGAACTATTTACGATAAATACCTTGATGTAAGTCATCTAAAGTAGTAGGTATTTTCAGCAAGTTTTTGTCAAATTGGTCATTGGTCCTACTTCTACATGACCTTTTGTTTTATTCCAAACAAACATGTATGTATACGTTATATTTTCTCAAAAACCCAACTTTTTATTTTATAAATCTGTTTTAGTCTACATCTTTTTTTCTTGTACAGTAATTTATGCATCCTCAGTATCCCCTGTGGTTTCATTCCGTTCTACTCCACTAACCCCTGGATTAGTCTACGGGGGGTGGGTGGGGGGAAACGTTTTCAAGTTACCCGCCCTTGATGATTGCGCTATTTTTATCAACCAATCCCATAAATCGTTGACAAAGGAAGGTATCTCTCATTGGACAAAGTTAGGAGCTAGCCTAAATGAGAGAAGTCCAAATTATTCAAAATGCTTATTTATTAGCAACAAATTATAAAATATTATATTAATTAAAGATATGGGAGATTCGGTAACGAGTTGGCAGTTCTCACTATAATAGTTAAAAACTAGATAATGTAAAGGCAATTTGGTGAAAATTTCATTCAAATTGATCCACTATGAACCGAGAACTAAGCGACTGAAATTCCCATAAGCCTCGGTCATCATTGCTAAAGTCAGTAGGATAAACAGCATAGTCTCGATTATCCATTTAATCGTTTAATCGAGAAGGAAAGTTATGCAGTAAATCGGCTTACAATCCACTAAAGATCGCAGGCTAGCGCAGCCATCTAGAGTTGATTATGGATTGGATAGGTTAATTAATGTCTAATTAATAATTTAAATAACATTTCAGGCCTAAAGAAAGACCTGAAATAGGCAGATTTAGCTCTTGCATAATGTATGTTTAAAACCGGACGTTTTTATATAAGTAGACTCAAGAGAGTTTTATTGAGAATCGTTCGTTCGCTCTCGTAGTATAACCTCCACGTGATATTGTGAATCAAATTGCCAAGTATAAGTTCAATAATAGTAAACATAACAGAATGAAACATTTCAGGCAAAGAACGAATAGTAATAATGATAACAAAAGTCAAATAGATATTATACATATTTGAAATCAGCGTAACATACCACAGATTTTGATAATACAATTAAATATAAATGATTTAGAAATATACATAAATCATTCAGTAAATGGACATGAATAGGATTATCTACCCTTACAAAAACGAAGGTTTGTAAGCTGTTTTTTCTATTTGTTCGTAGACTTTAGCTACATTCAAGGCCAGGGCAGATAATTTGAAATCGTGGAAACCCTAAGGAATAACCATGGTATAGTGGAGTAGAACGGAATGACATCACTGGGGATACCGAGGATGTAATTTATGTGGCTGTACGGTTAGGATCTCCCTTTCTTGTAACTAAAGGGTGACGTTTCAAAATAATCAGTGTCGCCAGATAAAGTAGTATCAGTGTTCCGAAATGGATTAACATTAACGCGTGACTCAAAATCTACTGAATCAGTCAAAACATTTTGGTATGTAGGCCGAAATGATTTAGCGCATAATCTGCTTCATGGACCGAACTTTAAATAACTATTGTCTTACAACAAACGTTTTTGTTATTTTCAGGCCATATATGGAGAATATCCGACACCACTTAGATATAAGTATTGTGCGCCACGCACAGCCCTTACGATGAGGAAGGCTGTTAGTCGTGGATTTATTGAAGAAGCTTTCGACAAAGAAGCCAAAGCTGATGTAATGTTGATATAATTTAATTAAATTGGTTGTTTAAGATCAATGAAGAAAACATAAATTAAAAACAGTTTGTTTCTTTTGTAATAATTTTCAAGTCAAGAATGAAACTTTGAAGATCCATCTTACATCATGGATGGTGTTTCTGGTTTATATTTTAATCCAACATTTGCCCAACTTCGTATTTCAGGTGTTACAAATGATTAAAACCATACAGTCGTCATTTAATGGGTTGTTGACTACCAATGACTGGATGGATGATGATTCAAGAAAGGGTGCTAAAAATAAGGTAGAAATGTTTTTTTTTTCTGATTGTACAAATCCACTCCATTGTCTATTTTACAGTAAACCTGTAATGGAATGGGAATGTACTTCATATACAGAGGCATTATTCATTTGAACAACTGTGAATAATGTTATAAATATCATATTCAATGTAACCCTAGATTCATCTAATTATGGAAGACACAAGCTACTGGTCAATTACAGCAGACCATTTTGCATTTATTTCAAATGGATGAAAAGGGAACAGGCATAGCCTATAACATCCCTCTCCTCATAAAAACATAATATTGAACAGATCTACTATGTATATATTATAAGATAATGGGAAAAAATCATATAAAGTAAATGAAAAAAGAGGAAGTGCTATTTTATAACATGATTAAAACAGTATAATGTGTACGATGATTAGCTAATATATCCCACGCCCCTCTCTCATTAATAACAATTACAGATTGGATAAATTGTTGCCATGGGAATGTATTCGTCGTCAAGCTAGAGTACATAAAGATGACAACACTAACATAGATGTATTTTATTCATTTTCTTCAAGAATGTTTGCCTTTGCTTCAAAAGTATTGTGGATAATCTGGGTACGGCCCCATCAAGATGCTTATTATATTTTCATTGTTTTTGTTTTAGTCTGATAGTCTCACAATGAAAATAGGTTATGACGAGAGACTCCTAGACGATACATATCTTAACGCTCTCTACCAAAATGTGAGTAATATGGTGGTACAAAGAATCTGTCAACTGATTATTTTATGCCAGGTTTCCACTGTCGTGCGATGCTTTACGACAGGATTGTCCCTATTGAGTCCAAGATTTGGTACGTGGAGATATGTTCGGACACTATTTGCCTAATTATATGATAAGATCTGATAGGATCACCACGATTACTCAAAACCACGATTTCAATCCCAGTGGGAACCTAGCATAAAGAATCTATCAAATGATTATTGAAATTGTCTATAAAATCTATAAATGATTATTGAAATAATCTATTAAATGATTATTGAAATCATCGATCAAATGATTATTGAAATCATCGATAAAATCTATAAATGATTATTGAAATAATCTATTAAATGATTATTGAAATCATCGATAAAGGATTATTGAAATCATCTATAAATGATTATTGAAATAATCTATTAAAATTTAATGATTATTGAAATCATCTATAAAATCTACAAAGTGATTATTGAAATCTTCTATAAAATCATTAGTGAAATCATCTATAGAATGATTATTAATAGAATCTATAAAATGAATATTAAAGAATGCATCTTGATTACTTAAAACATATATAAACGGCTATTTAAAGAATATAAATTGATTGTTTAAATGGTAGATTTATCTAAAGCACCGTTTTTTATACTACAAATGTTAAATTTGTTTCAACTTTGTTTTATGTTCTACTGTTGGAATTGTTATCTATATTTATTAACAGTCTGACTATAACGATGATACATATTTCTGGAATATGGTTATATATACAAAAGAACTACATTTAACTGCTTTGCGAAAATTACGTATTCAAAATGTTGTATCAAAAGACGAGTGAGTATATATTATGTTAATAATCACTTTAAAATTTGATAAGAGCCCGGGATTATTTGTTAGCTAATTATTTTGTTTGTTGCAATTCAAACTAAATTCGAGAATTGAAATGACATCTACTTAGTGTTGGTAAATATAAGTCAACAAAGCTATTAATGAAGATAATGTAACTATTATCAAATTATCAAATAAAACCATACTAGGTATAGTGTATCATTGCATTTCATATTCTCCCTCCCAAACTTGACCTAACAATTTTGTAAAAGTTTCGCCGAAGAAAAAAATGAAATGAAATGGGGTTTAACGTCCTACTGTTCTGCTCCTAAACTGGGCTAATGAAGACGGGCATACGCCATACAGTGTGCTATGAGGGAAATTTTGCCCGGTCAGCGGCGCTACGGACTACTCTTATAGTTATATGGGATTCCAACTGCCAAGGGATCTTTTACGTGCACGCCAATGTGTACACGGGACCTTGGTTTTTCGTCCCATCCGAATGACTAGACAGCTGTCTTTGTCAGGCCCTCCGTCCTGCATCAATGACAAGGGGAAACCACGCCGGAAAATCTGGATGAACTTTTTCGGCCAATGCAGGGATCGAACACCCGACCTCCAGGCTAGCCGAAGAAAAAAGAAGAACATATAAAAAACTAGTAGAGAAATCCTCATGGGAAAGGGTTTGGAAGGAAGTCTAACAAAATCCCGATTTTCGTGTTGAATTAATACACTTAATACAGTCTATCGGTATCTTCTTCGGTTGGAGGTGGTGTGTGGGGGTGGGGGGAGGAGGGACGGGGTACCTTTGTACTAGAAGAAGTTCCACGGTAGCTCAGTGAGTATGACACTGCTCACTAACCAGTAGGTCCCGGGTTCAATCACTGTGTTGACCGAGAAAGTAAAGAGACGAACTCAACATTTTCCAGTCTGGTTTACCCCTTCACGTAAAAAAATATTTGCCAGTTGGAATTGGATGAAGGTCAACTGGCGTGGTTTCGAATCCCTGGTTGTACGTGACAAGGAGTTGGGTCGCCTGTCCAACCTCGTGGGTTTTCTCCGGGTCCTCCGGTTTCCTCCCAAGGCTAAAGACCCCTACACGCAAGCGAATTATTGAAATAAAATTAAATCATATGTTAGTCTCGAAATGACCTAGTCTGTGTCGAGTGGACGTTAAACCCCATTTCTTTCTTTCTTTTGGATGAAGGTTAGGCGGATAAATTTCGCCAGTCTTCATTAGACCGATTGGCGATTGACACAGAAAACTAAGACTTTAAATTACATTTAATTCATCTGTGTTTAGAAGATAGGATGTTATTCTTGGCTTATCTAACTCTAGGTAATGACAATTTAAAGCATAAGTAATGTTATTTTTCAGTTGGTATTATGATCCATTTATAGTTAATACTTACTACTCGGCACCAAAGAACGAAATTGGTAAAATGTTACTTCTGTTATTCTGTTGTAATAAAACAATAAACATGTCACATGTGAAATAAAATAATACAGATCATCCGTATCCATATTTTTATACGCCACGTATATTGTTGTCGCCCCTGTCCGTTCGTCCACCATTTGTTTGTGGATACACTACAGGTCACAATTTTTATCCGATTTTGACGAAACTTGAAATATAGGTTTATCTCCGAAAGATCTTGATTCCTTTCAATATTTGCATGTAACGGACCGTAACTTCACGGATTATGGCCCCTGACGGTCACACACAATCACGATTTTAGCTTAAATATATCACCGTTACACCATAATAGAGGTGTTCGAAACGAAACTGCCCGAAAAATGACCACATTTTGTACGCAAATAGTGTAAAAGTATGTAATACAAAGGTTGTAGACCTTCTAGACGTTATAATTTTTGTGGACCTTCTAGACGTTACAATTTTTGTTCGATTTTGATGAAACTTAAAATATATGTTTATATCCCAAAGAATTCAGTTCCTTGTGGTGATATTAGCGCATTTCAGACCATAACGTACTGGATTATGACCCCCGAATGTACATATCTTGCTAAATGAATTTTGATGAATTTCTGTATTCTCATGCTGAATAAAGCAGGAATAAGTAATGTATGTTTTATGATTTATTTATTTTAGAGTTTTCAGCGGGAATTATTCAACCCCCTTATTATCATAAAGACTTTCCAGCGTAAGTACAGTCAACATACTTGATTATTAAGGTTATAGGTTTATATCATATTGATTGCACTTTGCCTCCATTCTGATAACTGTCCGATTTTTTAAAGTTAGTATTTCTCTCAAAAATTCATGATGGATAGGTTGCAAGGGTGACCTGTATTCAGATTTTATCATATCATGTAAATCGATCCCTAAGGGCGAGGCAAGGGTGCGTTAATGGAACAAATTTGAATATTTTGGACATTTTTGATTAATTTGTGACTAATTGCAAGAAATGTTGTTTCAGTGGTGTTTATTCAGACTAGTTTATAGGCCGTTGCTAGGGTACGAGTATATTAAATATTCTTGATGGATGAATTTCAAAACAATGTGGAATATATATTTTTATAAATTCCTTATAGTCTCAACTGCTTGTCGGATTTTATGTGCTTGTATGTATATTATTTGATTTATGGTTGTGTTTCTTGATATATCAATATGATTTTTATAGTTTTATTAACTTTGCTGGAATTGGTGATGCTATTGGACATGAATTAACACATTCAGGATTGGATGATAGAGGTATATTCATAGAGCTTGTTTACATATTTAACTGGGGCGTTACAGTCTCAAAGTTTTCATCGAATGGCCTCCACATATCAACTAACGGAATACTAGCTTCACGCTATCTCATGGAATAAACGCCAAGACCTTCAGGTTTATCGAAATAATAATAGCCTATGCATAACACATTGAGGAAATCAGTGCCCCGAATTTGGTTTTTGTGATGTAGGGCCTACTTATTGGGTTATTTGTTTCTGTGCATTTACAGGAGAAATAAAGCATGCAAATGGAAAATCAACGACGTGGTGGTCAGATGAGGTCATTGATAATTTTAAAAAGAATGCTCTATGTCTCACTAATCAGTACAATACTTATACTGTTCCCGAAACGAAAATAAAGGTAAAAACAACAGAACTGCAATGCTCATATATTTTTGTTAACCAGGGATTGGGTCCCGAGACGGCACTCATCTTGTTGCTCGTCGTCAATACCCCAAGGCTCCTCCAATTCAAGTTCTTTCATCAACATAAAACTTGTTGCCTAGATAATATTGAATGATGGTTTAAAACCAAGGTGGCTACGATAACGTCATGTTCGGCATATATCCTGGTACGCTGCTCATTTTGGATGCGAGGCCCTTCCTAAAAAAGCTTCAGATTCTGAAGAGATTATTCCTAACACAATATTATTGCGCACTGATTGACCGATTTTGATATGACGTCATAATACCAAGATGGTAGCGATGACGCCATGCACGGTCCTGGTCCATACTTCACAAAACAAGGATAGTCAATTAGGGTTAGTGCTAAATGATAAGGCCAACTCAATTTTTCGTCATAGGGCACGAGATATAAACAGGGCTAGCGCTGATCCCAACCCTAACCCTAACTCGGACCTAGCCCCAATGCTTACCCTAACCCTAACCTACAATCTCGTCAAAAATCACGCGTCCTACCATTTACATCTCAGCAACCTTGACAAAAATTGAGTTGGCCTTAACAAATAGATTTAGCCGTTAATTAGGTTACAATTTCGTACTAAAAGCTATTTGATTGGCCCCCAAGTTCACGTGGTTTGTCAAAGAAAATATATACAAGATGTCAGTTTAAAGATACCTTCCCGTGTACAAACAGTATATTTGGACTAAAAAAATATTCAAACTAATTAATCTATCAACATTTTGCTTCAAAACCTTTTCAAAACATTGTATTCGAAAGGGAATATCCCTGCTGTAAAAAAAAATCTATTAAAAGAAGTCATGTTATGTCACGTGACTTGTCTGACGCTGTATCTAGCAACGGATATACAAGACGATGTTGTCTTTAATCGCTGTCCATTTATCATACATATCGAAGTCTAATTATTTTCTTGGATTATCCCCATCCCACGTCTTTTTCCGTGGTTTTTATCCCTGAAACTGTTGTACGTTTAAGCTCACCATCAAGTTTATCAACATACGCTCACTAACGCCGAGAGATCAAACAATCCTCGCGTGCAACCTTTTACGTCACTCGAGTAGACCTAATCGTCGGTTTGCCGTTTAGGCATCCCCAATCGCCGGGTTGCCGGTTAGCGAAATGCTTACATCTTTGTCCTGTATGCGCTCCACGGGTGTTTTTCAGGGAATCCAGTATTTTTCTAGTAAGATTAGATGTTTCTATGCCATACTTTTATTGGAAATGAAATACTTTTGTGGGAAAGTAACTTTAATACAATATCCAAAATAATAGAGACTTAGGCCTGAAATATTTGTACTTTTAACAGTATTTGAAATTTTATATGGTTAGTTTTATTAGGCTTCCAAGTTCTGTAATTTTACAGCGTATTTTTTTTATTTTCTTAATTCACACTTTGTATATTTTGTATATTTGTATATTGAATAGGTCAACGGTAAAAGATCCTTGACGGAAAATATAGCTGATAATGGTGGATTGAAACTCAGTTTCCAGGTAATGTATACCCAACTAGTAAAATATTTCTATTTATATATCATAACAGATTTAGAATTCAACATGTATCAGGGATCTGCACAAAGTTTCAGTTGAAAGGGCAATAACATTATATTTTATAATACTTTGTTTTATGAATTAATAATCAGGTCATTATTTATTTGAGATTCATATTATTCATGAACATATCATCCCACTTTTCTGAAGATGCCTTGGCTTACAAAAATCCCCTCAAACGATTCAGTGGGTAAAATTCTGTAAAATAAAAGTCGAAAATGGCAGCCATCGTGAAAAAGGGACTTCAAGTGGTTTAGTGTTTGTATCCAGATTTGAACGATTGTTACAGTTATTTGACCCGCCAGAAATCTCTCCTAATTCGGTATTGTCGTAATATCGATGACAGATTGTGAAAATGAATTTGTTATAATTTAGGCTTATCGTGATTGGGTTCAACAAAGAGGAGCAGAAGAACCAATGTTACCTGGTCTGGATTTGACACCAAATCAAATTTTCTTTATAAATTATGCTCAGGTAGTTTTAATCTTTATGCCAATATACTCTGATATAATTGACAAATCTGTCATTATAATGGCTAGTCGAACTAGAATTATACTAATATTTCGTTCGGGTTAAAGTTTAAGCTATTTAGTATTTATCACAATTCATCTTGGTTTAGGCAATTTGTGGAATATGACAGATATACTTCCGATCATTCTTGCCAAGCCAAACTCGCCATGTGACAAACGGGCATATTAAAAATTCAAGAACTGGCACTATCAATAAAAAACATTTTACCACAAAGAAAAACATTTTTTTCTATCAAATATTATTTTACTCATACTCTTTCGTCAACAATTTGCCAGAACAATACAATGACAATAATAGTACAGTATATGATAAAAAGTTTTAACACGGCATCATTTACAAGTTGTGACGATGTTTTTAATTATTGATTTCAGTCAACCTGTGAGAAATACACCAAAGCGGGGCATATCGCTAATAATATGTATGGTTTCCACAGTCCAGCACGTTATAGGTAAATTTGAAATTCTGTCTGGTTTGAGTCTGATTATGTATTTAAACAACGGAACCTATTCTAGTATCTGGTTTGTTTTATAAAGCTTCCGGAATTTGTAAGAACTGCCAAGTTACAAGTATAGGTAGGCAGACAGCTAAAGTAGATTGGGGTGGGGTGGGGTTTGCAGATTTCACAACGGGATATCACTAGAGTAGTGGCAAACTGTAGGCTGCTAGAAATGCAGCTGGGATCTTACATCGTCCTGGTTGGGTGGGGGTCCTGTGTTGAAAATAGATAAAAAGATAATGAAATTGAATATATTGAAAATTTTAGTATAAATTACTTTATTCTGAGCCACGTTTTGACAAGAACTAGTGGATTGTCAAGGAGTATTGGCATGATAATAAACAAATCTCGATTATCTGTCCATTTATTGCGCGACTTCTGTTTTAACGTTAAACAATAAAATGGTGGGGATGATCTTATTGTTGACATTACCCAAATAATGTTAGTTATCTTTGTCGAACATATCAGATATTTTACATAGTTTAGGTCACAAAATTTGATCAATATTTTTATATATTTTCAGAGTTATTGGTACCTTGCAAAATTCACCCGAGTTTGCTAAAACGTTTGGTTGTGGAGTAGGCAGCTATATGAATCCAGTTAAAAAGTGCAAACTTTGGTAGTTGGAATATAGAAGAATATCTTCTTTCTCCCAAGATAGCTACTGTCTTAGTGATCCTCGTTTCCGTTAGCAATTACGATCATGATATTGTGTCATTGTGTCCTAATATTTACATTTAGCTCTTGCATAATGTATGTTTAATTTCATGTAGTATTACTAGTTGGATTTACTATATTCTGCTGCTAATGTTATAATTGTTTTATCATGGAATTATTTATCATATAAATTCCCATTGAGAACAGCATACATTATATAATTTGTCATTCCCCGCTTGTACGTGACAAGGAGTAGGGTCGCCTTCCAACCTAATTGGTAGTCTCCGGGTCCTCCGGTTTCCCTCCATTGCTAAAGACCCCAACGCGCAAGCGAATTAATGAAATAAAATTGGACCATATAGTCTCTCTGCGCTTTGCTACTAAACAAACTTTATAATGTTCAGTAAGTTTTTTTCATAGGTTTGACATATACAAGTATGATGTTTCAAAATAATACTTACCTCAAACAGTTTGTAGTATCGTGTGAAATTATCAACTATTCTCAAAACTACTAAATACTCATTTCAATTTGAAATCATATCACTGTTATTATGTTATAGATCATATTGACCTTTATATTTTTAGAATAAAATATTTTGTATCCTATTTATTTTGGGTTTTTTCTTTATAAATAAAGTTTATGTTTCTTTTTTAGGCCTTCGGACCATCGGCTAAAAGGGCTTGTATTGTCACTTTTGTAGTATTTGTACGCAATTCGTCTAGCCAATGTAAACACTTCGGTCTTTTTCGATTTCTTCTCAAAAGCCGCTAGAGAGGTATCCCGGTGTGATGGATATTGGATATTCCGATAAGTCCCTGGAGTAATTAAGGACGGAGGATGTACATTGCAACAAAACTGGTTTCGATTCCCCGTTTGTACGTGACAAGGCGCAGGGTTGCCTGTCCAACTCGTGGGATTAAAATTGAACTGTTAGTCCCTAAATGGCCTAGTTTGTGTCGTCTGGACGTTAAACCCCATTTCTCCCCGGTTTCCCCCCACTGCTAAAGACCCCTACGCCCAAGGGAATTATTGAAATAAAATTGAACTATATGTTAGTCCCGAAATTTGATGATGATATCCAATTCTCTTCTTGTTGGAATGTATATAAGACCTAGATTTCCTACTTAGAATTGGTCTCCTTCTAGCAATGTAGGTCTATTCTTGTTTACTGATGTAAATAAAGTTCATATTTAGAATACTGGTTGTCTGTTAAATAGTGTTATAGCCAGGACCCTGGGGGCGGGGGGGGGGGGACTCGAATTGTTTTGAAAGATATACGGTTTCTAGCGTCAATTGGCGTACATCAAGGGTAACTGGAGATCACTTTGCTAAAACACAGAAACTGAGATGTAACAGAACATATATACACTGTAAAAAATATCTGTTTTTTAAATCCCTTTTTTTTGTTATTTGAAGAAAATTATCTGTATTATCACAGAAATATCTGGGATCTGAGATAAATAACTCGTATTTTTACCATAAAATCTGTTGTTTTAGTTGCATTTCTGTCTTTGGACAGAAACGTCGGTATTTTTACATACACATACTTTTCAGTATATTAACTGATGAGGTCTGTTTATTAACAATATAAATTGTATTAGTAATCAAAAGACCTGTAATATTCCAGAATAACTTGTATATTAACGGCACTGTTCTGTCCGGGGATCACGTGGCTAAGTGGGTAAGACGCTAGCTCGCTAGCCTGGAGGTCGGGTGTTCGATCCCTGCATTGGCCGAGAAAGTTCATCCAGATTTTCCGGCGTGGTTCTCCCATGTCAGTGATGCAGGACGGAGGGGCTGACAAGGAAAGCTGTCTAGTCGTTCGGATGGGACGAAAAACCGAGGTCCCGTGTACACATTGGCGTGCACGTAAAAGATCCCTTGGAGGTTGGAATTCGATATAAGAGTAGGCCGTAGTGCAGCTGTCCGGGAAAAATGTCCCTCATAGAACACTGTATGGCGTATGCCCGTCTTCATTAGCCCAGGTTAGGAGTAGGACGTTAAACTCGATTTCGTTTCATTTCTGTTAATTCACAACGTAATTCTGTTGGGTTCAGTTAATGCATGCGCGTCGCAGACTTTACTTATGGCGGTAAATGTTCGAATGTGCGCTGACGATGCAGAAAAAAGAACAGAGGGAAATCAACAAAAAGATGTGAAGGTAAGTCTTCCTAATAATATGTATGTGTGAAGGCAAATCTACAGCATAGATAGATACTGAGAATGTTATTGGATTTACAGACACCCCCTCTGTATACTGTCTGTTTAGTTTGCTGCTTTGTTGTGTTTGGGGGGGGGGGGGGTCACGTGGCTAAGTGGGTAAGACGCTGACTCGCTAGCCTGAAGGTCGGGTGTTCGATCCCTGCATTGGCCGAGAAAGTTCATCCCGATTTTCCGGCGTGGTTTCCCCTTGTCAGTGATGCAGGACGGAGGGTCTGACAAGGACAGCTGTCTAGTCGTTCGGATGGGACGGAAAACCGAGGTCTCGTGTACACATTGGCGTGCACGTAAAAGATCCCTTGGCAGTTTGAATTCGATATAAGAGTAGGCCGTAGCGCCGCTGCCCGGGCAAAATTTTCCTCATAGCACACTGTAAACCTCATTTCATTTCATTTCATTTCATTTTGTTGTGTTTGGAATCTGTGATCAGTAAAATAGAGGCCATGCAAATGTATGTTGTATTGTAGAAATATTTTAAATCGCCCATGTAAACAATATTAATATGTAAGAGACGCGTTGGCTCGGTGAATGTGATGCTAACTTATTAACCATTAGCCAAAAAAGCTACCTAGGCCTGTTTTCCAACCTGTCCTTGAAGGCTAGGAGACCCAGCGTGTCCGAGACAACTTTTAAGAACGGTATTATGTGAAGGAAAACAGAAACAAACAAGCACAATATACATAATTTATTACAATACAATACAATAATAATGACAAACAAAAATTACATATAATATGTTAAATATAATATAAAATTTGCAATAGCACATCTCCCCATTGGGCAACCAAAGATCACGATATGATTTGATAATATTATACCTAAACCAGATTCAAAATCCAATTCAAAATTCAGACTATTTGCCATGGCAACAATCATATTTAAGATTCATACTAGATAATATAACACTAACTAGACTTGCTTGAAACTGTTGAATGTTATTCATAAAGCTGTCTGTTAATGTTGCTGTTACTAAATGCCCTCTAAATATAACACCAATATCATTAGTGGATTTATACTAAATTTATACTAAATTACATAACACTAATATCATAAGGAATTTATACTAAATTACATAACACTAATGTCATTAGGAATTTATACTAAATTACATAACACTAATATCATAAGGAATTTATACTAAATTACATAACACTAATGTCATTAGGAATTTATACTACATTACATAACACTAATATCATTAGGAATATATATTAAATACATAAGCTAACATCATTAGGGTTATATACTAAATTACATAACATTAATATCGTTAGGGAGCTATAATAGACAACATAACGCTGGGCAAAACCAACAAATGGGCATGTAAATGTAATCAAATTACAACATCTGAATAATGATCTATGCAAGGTGATCTCCAATTAAACCTATATTTAAGCCTGTTATATGTTAGTTCACCGGATGGAAAGATACCATTTCTAAATAATTAAAAAAAACGACCCCAAACTTTACAGTCAAAACGGTTGCCATGATTTCCAATTTAGTTTTCTGCTACTTCCGGCACTCATTATTGGACCGCTGGTACATATTTATACATATTTTATATAATGCAACCATGTTTCCGTATATTGATACAGCTCATCATTGTCATTGAGTACATCACACTCACGGTTGCAAATATTTACAGTTGAAATAAAATCACTCTATCACCATACGGAACATTTTCGTTTTGGGTTCATGTAACTATTAACTGGACATTCAAATACTCTAGAAAAATCTACTGAATTCTGACAAGCACCTATGATCCTGAAAATATTACAAAGTATAAGTAAAATTGTTTTTGATTTACCCAAACGACATTTTAAAAATTGTTTTTATTTACTAGTGGTGCATTTGCTATAGGACCAGGCCATCACTTTATTGTCTGCGTAATGTAAGAAATAATACAGCACGCCCATAATCGTTATACAGCATACAAACATTCTCGTTTGAGGACTCAACACAACATTTTGGCTCTACTTTTAAATTTAAACCTACTAGTGACCTTTAGCTCCGAGGTCTTCGTAAACCCAGTTTTCTTTACCTTCTTAAATCCATGCTCAAACCGTCACCTAAATTAGCAGTGTTAAGCTAGGTACACAGGGCAGCGTAGGGTTACTCTTTCCAGAACACCGGGTGCTATTTTTGTTGTACCTTTACATTAATTTTGCTAGACATAGATAATGTACAAGCGTCATGGAGAATGTAAAAATCTTCTTACCTAAATCTATCGGGACTATGATATTCTGTTAATATTCGTTGTTTAGCTTCCTCTTCTCGCATATTTCCACAGAAGGTCTGAAGACAGAAGACAGTAAAGAACATTTGGCAAATGAAAGAGGGTTAATTCATACCTTCAAATCAGATTAATAAAGACAGCTTCGGTTATTTGAAATACCAACTTTTACATTGTAGCGGAGATAGTCGTATGCCAATTTAAAAGTCAAAAGTAATTACACCATGAAATGAAAGCCTACTTTTACACTTGGTCACGGATAGACCGATATTCGCCATAGTACCTAATGTGAATGTTTTCACTTTAAATACCGTTAAAAATACCCTTTAAAGTCCCTTTAATAATATCTCTAAAGGTGTAAAGTACCTGAGCAAAACTTATAAACAGAAGTTGATCATGGTTAAATTCTAATCCTGGTAATCTCGACTCTTCCATTCCTCTTTCTTTTATCCACTTTCTATACGCCTAGAAAATAACATATTGTTATCGACCTTTACGTTATATATACGCACATGATAATAAGAGGATAGTGCTTTCATTGGAACTTTATGTACCCTAAGGTCATAAAACAGCCTTATTATTGACAGCTCTTTGGGGTAACTGTTATTAGATACTTTCAGTTCATCACTGAACTGTGCTTTCTCAGAAAAACGATAGATTACAATCACATTATCGTCGGGTCAATATGCTTCTGGGGAGGATTGAGCAATGGCGGTAGCCCCCCCCCCACCCCCGCGCCCCCTTACACCTTATCCTACTGACACGGTATTAATGAATGTACTTTTCATTCGAAGCTGGCCCTTTGCAAACACAACGAGCCCAGCGTTTCAACTTTCTTGTCGATTCTACGGTACGAAGCAATTCTTTCTGTTGAGTGTATTCCATATCCAAGACCGACCCACGTTTCGCAGATAATGTTTGAAAATATTATGGAAGAATCTCACCGTCCCCTCCCCCCTGGAACTGTCAGCGATGTTTACCTTTTAGCATAGATCGTATATGTGAGACTGCTACGAACTAAATACTAAATTTTCTTTAATTGAAAGAAATGCCGACTGACCGGAAGTATTATTATTATAGACCAAGTTACATACACCTTATTGTAAATACCTGATAAGCCTGTTTAATTCCACCTATATCAGCTATATTTTCACCCTGTGTATTTATACCATTTATCTGATAATACAATAATATAAAAACATGGGAATTGTTGTACTTTTGTGTTGCAATATTCATAATGTATACTATAAAATAAAACCAAGTACGAACAATCCAAGCCATTAGACAAAATTCGAAGTCCTAAAAAAACAGTATAGGCAAAATAGTGTTATAAGGCAAAATAGTGTAATCAGCATATGGACTGTTCAACGTGTACAAAATACACGACAAACAGTGGTAACAGGTGTCCGGAAGAGTAATCTTACCCTGCCTTGCGCCACACCCGCCATAGCTGCATCCAAACTATTAGGCGAAATCTCGGTAAAATAGCGTGATTGGCCAATGGACTATCGGTATGCAAAATGCACGTGATGAACAGTGTTAACGATGTAGTAGACAGACATTATCAGGGATAGTATATGCGTCAATGAAATATATCTAGAATAATAGCCGAGAGAGACATGTTATATTTACCAATCAAGTCAATATGACGGCCATAAAACTTTTTAAAGGTTTTAATAAGTTTAGTTCGCAAGTATCCCTGTAGTTGAAGCTTAGATGACAAATGCCTCGATCTACTTAAAAAATCAGAATAAAATGAACAAGCTCTCGCGTAACGATTTAGTTGAGACACAAACACTCCATAAGCTGGTGATATTGGAATGTTAATAAATGGAAAGTTAACTATTTTGACTATTTTAACTCTCGGGAAATCGATATATTATTTTTATTTGCCCTATATAACCCACCCATCATACTAATATTTTAATATTTAGGTTTTGTATTTGCTAAATAACAGTTTGAATAAAATTCATTTTAGCGTATTGAGAGTACCTCTAAAATGATGTTATCGTCTAGTAAGCCGAGCTATTTATTTTTCAAGAATTGTTCTTTGCTTATATTTTTGTTATATTTGACTTACGTTTTGATTAATTTCCGGCACAGTAAAATTAGAATACTGATCTATAACGCACTGCGCCTCCTCTTTAAATCTACTGATGACTTGACTGGTCCACCACTGACGTACATTACCATTCTTGTCATACTGTCGACCTGTAATATGGTACCAAATAAAGGAGATCATCAGTTTCTATATGAAGCAATCTAAATTCACAATCTATGTAGAAATAAAAACTCTGATAATTGCTGAAATGTGATAGCTATCCAAATTGTCTACCATTTGATTGTCTATGACAGAATCTATCGACACCTGAAACAAGCATTTCCCACCAAAAGTAGGAATAAAACTCTAACTGAATATTCTCAATGCCACCTCCTTCAGTACGTATAAAATTATCAATCAATGGATAGGTACCATTGACACTCCATTTGATATTTCTGCTGTAGCATCTCAGACATATAGCAGCTCAGACTTATTGTAATGTTGGATTTAAAAGTTGTTCTGCTTTTTGAACATGTAAATTCCTAGTTGCTTTTAATTAAGTCACGTAAGGTCATTACACTTGATTGTCAACTGTTATAATTGGCTTTTTTCAAATTTCAAATAATATTTATTGTCCATTAGTCACTAGGCCTATTACACAGAAAATAAATATAAATAAGTGGAAATAGTAAAAACACAATGATGCTGTAAAGTCATTATAGGAAAACCTTCAATGGTATTGCCAGTCAAATAACTGAATCATAATCCAAAAAGTCGCCATTTTATGTCATCGATTCCAGTGTAGAAAATATTATATATTTACCTAGATCATCAAAGCCATGAGTTATTTCATGTCCTATTACCATACCAACACCGCCATAATTCAGGGAACTGAAAAAAACAATAGTTGTAATGATATTGATGGCGAGATTTGTGCAAAACAACACATAATTATATAATAATAATATTACATGATTATATGACTAATTATTATTTACAGATTCATAGATATGCAAAAAAGCACCGAAACAACGGAAATCTGTGATAATATGATACATATGTTTTATCTGTCTTCTCCATTGTCAAAATATTAGCTATGGAATGAGTTTATTTGAAAACGCAAATTAAATTGCTTATGAAATATTGGGAGAATAACAGGAAAGGGATCCAAGGCCAAGGATAAATTCTGTGGCCTAGATCACTCATGCGAGGAATATTCCTACTGTCCATTTGAGGATAGTACTCAAGTCATTAAGCATGAGAGCCAGTCATTATAATTAATTACGTCATATTTGACCAATGAGATAATTGAAAGCTGAAACCATCAAACATTACACACCAGGACCGATCGACAGGGTAACAGTCAGACACAATGTAGATTGTTAGAGAGGAGACATGCGTTGACTCTTGTGAAGGAAGACCTATCTGGATTCACAATACCCCGTTAAGTCGTAGGACTAGGAGAGCCATGATGTAGTGGGATAGTTCAGTAAACTCGTGAGAATGACTTTATTTTAATCTATGCTTGTAGCCCTTGTATCCAGTGATTGACATAAAATGTAGAACTGTGATATTGTTATTTCTGTGTGTAACCATAACTGAATAGGCAGAGAATTAATTCACGACGTTTAAAGTGGAGTCCTAACCAGTAGAGAATTACAAATATAATCAGAGACAATACTACAAGGCTAATAAAATATGTAACAGAGAAGAGAGTATGCGCCCCAAGTTGGATGTGGGGAGTTTTTGGCATGTTGGCTTTCCACATCTAGCCAGCGACTCATAGCACTGCATATCACTACATATTTGATTTGGTTGTCGTAACTGCATAATGCTACATAGTATACTGCTGGTGAGCTGACAATGATCTCGATACTAATGATGGTACAGTTATGATACTGTTGCCGTGTTTAGATGAAGGTGAAAATCATTATCACAACCTATATGAAATTATTATGAAGATGATGCGGTTGAAGAGGATCATGGTGATGATATGCATTGATGGCTAAGCTACTGTTGTTATTGCTGCCGCAGATGACAAGGATACTAAAACTGATAATGGAAATGATGATAGCTTCTATAGTAATATGATTGATACATGGACATGTTATACTAAGTCATATTTAACTTACTTGGGATAGGTTTTACTGTAAAATCGTGGTTGTAAAAATGCAGCTGGAAATTCTGAAAGTACATGATATACAAGTCAACCGACCTTTAAAGTTATTGGTATGTTACTATACACAATGAAATAAATTTAATTGGGTTTAACGTCCTATTGTTCTGCTCTTTGAATCTTTGAACCAATGAACTTTTGGGCTCTCTAAAACAGCAAAGGAACGGAAGGTCTGTGTTCGACAATAATTATTCTAAGATATGCAAATACATGTACATGCATACACTTACCAATATAGTTGGTTTCGCCTTTGTAGTTTGCATTTACAGTTGCTGGACCAAAACCATATGACCAACTATTAATGTTAAAATTATCATTTAATATCAGTACATATTTTAAATTGCAAGGATAAAATTAATTTATCACCCAATAATACATTCTACAGTAGATATCGCTTGTGTGATATATTTCATAATCTACTGCGATACCTCCTGGTTAGTTGAAAAGGAACTACTTTTTTATTTTCAAAGAACAGTTCATTTCTTATTAAAAGTAACTTTTTGTTTTATTAAAAATGAACTATTGTTAATCAACTGACCTTGGTGGATACACTGGGTCAATATAAAGGACTTTGCAATGATTGAATTGCTGTCAAAAAATGATGTATCACTACGCCGTAATGTTCAGTAAAAGTGAAATCAATAGCAAAGAATTATATTTATTTATTTGTGCATGTACGAAGGGATTGGGTGATAAATAAAATCTTCTACTCTTTTTTTATATCAAAAAATATCAACACTCGTTGATATTTTTTGATATCAAAAAAGACTGGTAGGAGATTCTCTATATATTCGGATTTTGTTACCATATTTCCGAATGTTTAGAACATGCATAGATTGGTTTGTATTCTCATAAGTATGCCCTTTTTACAGGTGCAAATTCAGATGGCAATGGCTATATATTTATTCAAGGAGGCAGTAGTCGAGCATTTAGGACGTCGAGTAGACAGAATAATTCCCTTCCCTAACATTGCGTACGTGACCGTAGAAAAAATAACCGAAGAAATTATCAGAATGACCAAAATAATGTATTCTGGAGACGTTGAACACCATTCCTATTCTACAATATTGAAAATGAAATGAAATGGGGTTTAGCGTCTTACTATTCTGCTCTGACTAGGCTAATGAAGACTGACTTAGACCATACCTAATTTATATCGAATTCCAACCGCCAAGGGGATCTTTAATGTGCACACCAGTGTGTAAACGGGACCTCGGTTTATCGTCCAAACCGAACGACCAGACAGCTGTCTATAGCAGGCCCTCCGTCCTGCACCACTGACAAGAACCCACGACGGAATATCTCGATGAACTTTCTCGCCCAACACCGCGATTGAACCCGCGACCTCCAGACTAGCGAGTCAGCGCCTTGCTCACTGAGCCACCGTGGCCCCCTCTCTAATAATATTGGAAACCAGAGGATGTCTCGGTTGTCTGTGATTCTAATAGTAATACTGCCGTTAGTAACTAAATTAATAACCCAGACCACTGAATTTATCTGGTTATCCAAGCAGTAGATCAATAATTATTGAACAGGGGGCGGTTGTTCAAAGTTCCGTTAACGTTTAACGACTCGTTAACATTGTGTTAATGGATCGTTATCTTTAACGGGGCGAAAGTCTGTTGCTGGAAGCCCCGTTAACTTTAACATGTCGTTAACTTGCCGTTATATTTAACGGAGGTGTTGGGCTCCGTTGTATGTTTAACGATAGTCGCAGTATACCCTTAGCAAAAAGTCATAGATTACCAGTGTAATGTTCTATAGAACATTCGCGTGGGTTTGGCGATGGGGGAGCTTTTCTACAGAATTTTGGGGGCCTGTAGGAAACAATGGCCCCAAATAGTCTACAGATTCTGTAGTACAAATCCCATAATTTTTCTACAGATTTATGCTAAAATTTCTAAAGGAAAAAATAAACTATTCTATAGTTTTTTTAATAGTGTTTTCTGTTGTAAATTCTACAGTTATCTTTTGTCTTTAATCAAGTTTTGCGATCAAACGGCACAGTTGCCCCACTGTCTCCAGTGTTTTGTTAATACTAACTTCTATGAAGTTGACATACATGTACATTGAATTTAAAATTTTAAAACTCAGTCAGTGAACAAAACAGCCTGTTAGCTAACTAATGAAATTGACTTTCCAGCAACAGAAATTTAACGGACCGTTAACAAACCACACGTTAGCAAGATAACGATGCGTTAAGAGTTTAACGGATCGTTAAAATAACTTCGTTTTGAGCAACCGGCTCCTGGGCTATAAAACACGTTTTTGATGATTAAACTGTACCACGTGGAAAGTTTAAGTAGGGAACAACGGCCATTAAACCGGTCTGATATTGTGATGATTAGTTTTATTATTTCAGCTGTGATATGCGGGCGTAAACGGCGATCTTTAAATGTCATGTTTATAAGTTCTACATATATAAGTGCTAGTAAGAAGTAAGTGATATCTATATTTACCTAGTTCGATCTACGGGAATATTTAAACGTTTAAACGATTCTTTACTCAGTTCATATTCCGTTTTCAAAATATTTTCAAAATAGTTGTTTCCATATTCATACTGAAAAGAATATTTAAACAGTTCATATTCCGTTTTCAAAATATTTTCAAAATAGTTGTTTCCATATTCATACTGAAAAGAATATTTAAACAGTTTGAGATATTCCTATTGAAATGTGGGCCTCAACATGGAATGCTTCATGGTAAATGGCTCCAAAATATTATGACGTTTGAAAGACCAGGATAATATAATCTATTAGCCTACTTACGTTATTATATAAATTATTTAAGTAATTATTATCTAATATTTCATCGGGGTACCCAACATTTTCACCAATAGCATCGACCTGAAAAAGACAATGATGACATGGCGACGATTAAATAATTTTTCTTGCACGCTTTAATTGCAGTATTTACGAGTATGGTTGTCCATCCGAATGTCGTGTACCCTCATGGCGAAGATTTCACCGATAAAAATTAGACGTCTCCTGCTTTTGACCCGATGATAAGTCATTGTGAAAAAAAATATGTAAAGACCTCTGAATTGTAGAGTGGTCACAAGAAATTGATAAAGAATATAACACCCAATCAAAGATGATTGCTACTACTAATAGACCACACAGTTGTTAATAAGCTCCCCAGCCGAGTGATTATGATTATAAAACACATTCCATATGGGAACCATATAGATAAGCTTTTCGTAATTCCTTAGCGTGGCAAAGATGCATTTTCCCAGTTTCCAGTGTTGATGGCTATACCACAGGTTTAAGAAATGAAATGAAATGAAACGGGGTTTTACGTCCCACTGTTCTGCTCCAACTGGGCTAATGAAGACGCGCACACGCCATACAGTATGCGATGAGGGAAATTTTGCCCGGACAGCGACGCTATGGCCTACTCTTATATCGAATTCCAATTGCCAAAGGATCTTTTACGTGCACGCCAATGTGTACACATGACCCCCATTTTCCGTTCCATCCGAACGACTAGCCAGCTGGACCTTCTCGACACCGGTTTAAGACACAGGTCCACAAGATTCGACTATACTTTCAAATTTAATATCATTCAAAACTTAAATTGGGCATTTTCTCACCTTTTTCCTTGCTACTTGTCTTGTCTCTTCATCCATCCATGTATTAGATTCAAGTTGTTCTTTGAAAACAGCTCTAAGATTATCTATCATCACCATTATCTACAAATACATTCTGTGAAAGTCAATATGCGCTAGTTTACTGAATGGTAAACTGGTCAATTAAAACGATAATACACTCGTTGATCAGTGTGGTATCAGAAAGGGAAACGCAGAAACATATTCGAAATTGCAAAAGGGTATTAGTATGAGAAGAAAAGGGAATAAGCATATCCCAAGGGCAATTCATTGCCCTATTTAAAGCATGGCCATTAAATATCTTCCGGTCTTTTGTAGATCATCATTTCTAGTAACATTTGATAGGAAATTAAACATAGGAAAATGAATTAGCGAATTGCAAGCTATACTTACATTATCTTTTGCTGCTTTATCAAACGTTTCATCAACAAACATTCTACCTGCCGCCATCTTCAATCCATTTTTAGTGTACTCGGCACATTTTTGCCATCTTGGTACAGAAACACTCGTACCAAATATTATCTTTGATATAAGAAATAAAAAAGATAGGTTGCCATGGCACGAAATAATCGCCCACAGCAGCTAAATCGTCTGGGAAGTCAACAAGGGTTGTCGGATATTTTGTTAACATAAAACTTACGAGTAACAACCCACTAAATAATTATCTGAAATCATTAAAATGTGTTTCAATTGTTTGTCTCATGACCTTAAACACTGTGCATAAGTCAATCGGATATTAACTTTAACCTCTAGGGGGCCCACTAGACTTTTCAAAGTGATCGGGGTGGGGGAGATTTCGGTAGAGGTCCTTGATAGTTCTAAATGAACCATATCACCTATGTTTTTAAAAATGCCACCGTGAACTTTGTTCTGTGTAGTGTTAACAAGCTTCAGAAGTCAGAGTATGACTGGAAAGATAAATATATTTTGTAAATTCTATAGTTTTTTCAAATACCACAATGAATAATCCCTGCATATTTGAAATAAAATCTGATGTGACTGTAGAAATGTATTGTACCTAGTCTTCACCAGGAAATTTGTAAGGACCAACTGTCAACTGAAGAGGGCGTATAAATATACATATATACCGAAATATGATTATAAAATGTAAAACTGGTTTATGTACACGAAGTATGAAGACTTTAGTGCCTTAAGTCTAGATGATATTGGTATTGACCCGTACAAGGAAAGGTAACTCTGTTTTTTTTTCTAATCTGTTAATGATAAACACCATAAAAGTCTAAATCTACCTTCTTGTAATCAGTATTTAAGTTGTCTAACTCATTGGTTAAATCAGTAAGAAATGACATTGTAATTCTCCACCCGATGTAATTGGATAGAATTCTGAAATAAAACAGAATAGTGGGCGATTGATATACTATTTCTAAATGTTAATAAATATGTCATTATTCTAATTAAATAAAAAACATTTAGTACTGAGATAATATATTCAACCTAAGTTCCTCGGTGTATCTGAACAGACAAGGGACAGTCACGAAACTGAACTATTTATAATATAAAATCTTCAAATATGCCAGGCAACGAACATACGCCCACCAGCGTCATTTTGAGTGGTGGCTATTAAGTTTTCGAAGCAATAATGAATTTAGTTACGATTCTTCTCTTAACAACTAGCCGAACAGTTCCAGCAAAATTGAAAAGATTCTAACGTATACAAAGTTTTGGTGACGGGGTCAAAATCTAGATAAGAATTATCTTTATGGCAATATATGGTTAAACGACCCCAGCAAGTTTGAAAACAATTAACAACACCTCTAACCCGTTTGGCATTTACATAAACGGTGCACAGCCAAGCCGATATGAATAGACAGACAGGGGTTACGACAGTATACCCCCACATGCAATTTGGGTGATTAAAACAAACCGTGTTGGTGTTGAAGATAAAAGTTGGAACAAACTGCTGAAATATTCAGGAACTTCATTAATGATAGACAGAGAATCATTTATGATTATATCAACACCTTTGGTCTGGAATATTGTCTGGAAGTATCTCAACCATTTAAACTAAAATTATTGAAAAAATAAGTAAATTAGTATGTTACAAGAAGAAGACTATTTAAACATTACAGTTATTTCCCTTTCTGTTTCAGGACATTCCAATTGAGCTTAAACAATCGGGATTCCTTGATAATGATCGACGTGTTTGAATTCATACTTAGAATACTTCAATGAAATGCCGTTTATTTTATGTACTACAACTGGATTTGCCTTCACAAATGCTTTATATAGCACGGTAAGCATGCCGAGTCACTTACAAAACTAGTATGGCTGTCCGAATATTGTATATAATGATCATAAGAAATAAATTATCTTTTAAAAAGAGATAATTTCGAGATTAACAATTCCAAACGAACGACAAGGGTTAAACTTGTGCCATAAAGCCCGAATCAATCTGACTTATTTGCCTTTGATAACTATACCAATCTAATCGGAGGTTCATAATTATTCAGCATTCAAACTATTCACTTAAAGGACAGATATTCGGAAAGCTGTTTCTTAAACAACAGATATTCAGAAATTTGCTTCTCTTATAAATTTATTCCGATGGCTAAACTGGCCAAACGAACAGGTTATATAATATACGACAAACGACAGAGCTATGCATAAAGCAACGTCGTTGATGGCTTTTAAACGAACCAATGAACAGAGTTTTAAATATTCAACACAGAACTGTTTCACTCATTGCGTTCACAAGCTAAACGCGTTAAAACGCAACGAATGGCGTAACACGGGGATGGGGGTGGGGGTGTCACTCGGCAAACCTCAGTGATTCTCAACCAGTGTGCCGCAGCACACAGGTGTGCCGCGAGATCTTCTTAAATGTGCCGCAAAATTTTGAACGGCACACTAAGAAAATGTGAAAAACCACGTGATCCCAATTGAGTATTCATTGGTGTCCACTAATAAGTTCATGGCTGTGTTTTCTTTTTTAGTTTGAGTCATTCTATAGTCTCTGTCTACGGATGTATTCCGTCTGACTTACCATGGGTTTTTATTTAGCAAAAATTTCAAATATTTTTCATATATATTTAGCCAGGCGTGCCGCTATTTTTTTTAATGTGTTCCAAGGTGTGGCAGGGGCAAAAAAAGGTTGAGAACCACTGCTCTACATCTAGCCTCGCCTGTAGACGGTAAGTGATATGTACCTACGCCTATACAATTGCAATGCGGCATTGGTTTACTTATTAGGAAAACTTGCCGCTTTTAAAAAAGAAGTTATCTGAATTTCGTCGTTCGAACCGTGTGTAGAATCTCTAGTACAAAGTTGTCCTTGTTTGAAGAAAATCAGATAAACTTGAAAGGAAAACAGCTTCATGGACAACGCCGTTGGTAATCCGGGAACTTGAGAGTAGTTCCAATGGCGGACATCGTCATAAAGCCGAGGCTAGATAAAGGGTACTGAAATCTGCTGAGGTTTGCCGAGTGGGGGGGGGGGGGTTGTTATAAAATAATAAGGATGGGCGGTGACATATTACCTGGGGATATATACTCTGTAGATGTGAAATGTTCATTTTATTATACAACGCTGTTAAATTTCTTCTTTTTTCTAATGATACTGAAATCTGGAAAACAATATTTATCATAGTTTTTTTTTCAACTTTGGGGAAATCGCCGAACCCCGTATCGTATAATTTGATAATTTGAAGAGCTTATTACTAAAACACAGATGTGTGAAGTGGTTTTATCTCCTTAAAGTGTAACAATCCTACATAACAGAAAATTTCTCGGCGTGGCACTGTATTTCTCGCCAACCTACCGTAGTTCCACAAAAAATAAAAAGTAACATCAGATGTTCAAGAACAGTTAGCCTGAACATTGACGGCGTCGTAAGCATAGACTATTAAAGATAATTATGCAAGAGCTAAATATGCCTTTTGCTATTGTGGGTCGTTCTTTAAACCTTAAATTTTATTTAAATTATTAATTAGACATTTATTAACTTGCCAAGACCATGCATAATCAACTCTCGGTGCCATTGGATGGTTGAGATGTTCGACGGATTTAAACACGATTTGCGGTTAATGATTTAATTAAAAATGAATAATCGAGACTTTGTTTACTATCGCAAGAAAGGTAGAAATGACTATCGAGACTTTGCTATTCTCCAAACAGTCTTAAAGTCACTCAGAATGAAGTAATTTGGCTGACATTTTCAAGATATTCTCTTTTCATTACCTAGATTTTAACTATTATAGCGAGGACTGTCAGGTATTTATCTAAATCTTACATAATGCATCTTTAATATATTAATAGAAAAGAATAAATTACATTAGCTAAATTCACTTCAAAGTCCACCATCTCTTTCATCTGTTTCGCGGCATCGTTTTGAGTTGCTCCTAGCACGACAGCTACTTTCACCGCCAGATCCTCATACGCCTTTACCATTGTATCATTTCGCCCTTTAAGATAGTAGTCCCTTCCTGGCATTCCAAAAGACGGTTGGTTTATCTTTCGGAAATGATAGAACAAAATCCCAAATGACAAATCCCAATTCAATGATTAGGGCCCAAATCGTAATAAGCGTGCTCCATGGATCACGTGGTAAATTATTAGTTTTACATATGACAAAAAGTAATGAAATGAAATGGGGTTTAACGTCCTACTGTTCTGCTCCGACTCACAAAGAGTAGGGTAGTATGTCTGTAACCTAGTAGTTTTCCCCCACTTCGAAAGACCATTGCAGTATTGCACACACGTACATTATACTGATATACCACACGTTAATCCCGAATGGCCCGTTTTGTGTCCAGCAGATGTTAAAATGGTCTATATCTCTCTTGCCAGTCTTGGGGAATCTCAGATTCAAACAATAAGGACTTTTTATCCATTAAAAACAGGTATGATGGATAGGTGTAAAAAAACTCAATACAGAGTGTAATACAGTGTTCCGAAGCAAGTACTTACATAGATGATGTATCGTGTAGACTGTTTTGTATCAGCCTTAACCACAGTGGAAAATACTGGTAATACATCCCATTTAAAACTATTGTATAGAGCTATAGTACTCATTGCATCAACAAAATTAAACTCTGATTCTCTCCAGCCAGAAGTCACCACAGGCCATCCTCCAAATTTTTCCAGAAAGGTTAATAGTGGTTGAACTCCTCGACTTTCGATTGCGGCTAAAATAGTCAAATAATGTCTCGGATATAAAATCACTTCAACTGATGATAATGATAATTTCAATGACTATTGATGTTGATGTTGATGTTGTTGCTGCTGTTGCTGCTGCTGCTGCTGCTGCTGATGATGATGATGACAAATATGTCAAGGATAATGTCAATAGCTATTGATGTTGCTGCTGCTGCTGATAATGATGATGATGACAAATATGTCAAGGATAATGTCAATGCCAATGATAATACAGAACATAGTAAAATTAGATTTAATTATGATGACACTTACTAGTGTTCATACAGGAAGCGTAGAGAGTTTTCGTCTTGGTAACAGCTTCAGGTTCCCCTGACATAATGTTCTTCTCTAGTACATCTAATTAAAGTAAAATAAAATTACTAAATTACAAAGGCTACATAGTCAATCCTTATCGGAATATTTCAAATTCTTGTTTCAATATAAAACTGCCACGAACAAAGACGATGTCAGAATAACAAAGAGATGTAACCATCAAGAGGTCTTGGTATATAAGTAGACAGTTGGTATATGTGTAAAAAGAAGGCTAATCTTCCAGAAACCGTAATGATGTAAAATATACGTATATGCGTAAACACGTACGAGCGTACTATGGACCAGGAACCGAGCAAAAACCCATCGCCACCGTCTTGGAATTCTGGTGCCCAATTGTCCAAGGAACAAGCTAGCCATGTTTCATGTCAATGGCACTTGAATTAGCAGAACTTTGGGCTTCTTTCGAAGAGGGCGAGGGCCAACGTATAGCTATTCGGCTGGGTCGAAAAACCATTGGCAGCTGGAATTCGATATAAGAATAGGCCATAGCGCCACTGTCCGGGCAAATTTCCCTCATAACACACTGTATGGCGTATGTCCGTTTTCATTAGTTCAGTCTGAGCAAAACATAACACGTTAAACCCCATTTCATTTAGATATCAAGAGATTGCAACCAGTTCCATTTCATAATACACAACAAACAGTCCAAAAATTCGGTCGATCTAGTAATCTTCTAATACAAAGTTTAGAATGTTCCCTCCTATAACATTACCGGTACCTACAAATCATAATTCATAACATTCTTTTAAGTATGGTTTCAGTTATCAGAAAGTACCAAATATATCTTAGAAATAAACTATATACATCATCTTACTTTTAAGAGCTATATCGACTGTTTTAAAAAGTTCATCAATTATGCCATAACTGGTTTTATCTTCTGGTATAATATGTTTCTTTCTCCAATTACCACAGGCGAAGTCATAAAAGTTATCACAAGGTTCAACAGAATAATCCAAAGAATCACTGATCATAGCAGCTAAAATCAAATAATATTAATCAAATATCAAATACTAGCAGGATACCCGGCTTCGCTCGGGGGTCATAACCCAGAAACCGGAAGTGGTAGACTAACGCCACCTGGCCTATGTTACTCCCCAGTCCGAGCTACCCCTATACCCCAAATTTCAGACTCGGGGCAGACCTAGTGTAGCCGCCAACCCCGAACAGACCGGCTTCGCTCGGGGGTCATAACTCCGAAACCGGAAGTGGTAGACTAACGCCACCTGGCCTATGTTACTCCCCGGTCCGAGCTACCCCTATACCCCAAATTTTAGACTCCGGGCAGACCTAGTGTAGCCGCCAACCCCGAACAGAAAGACTTCGCTCGGGGGGGTCATAACTCCGAAACCGGAAGTGGTAGACTAACGCCACCTAGCCTATGTTACTCCCCGGTCCGAGCTACGTCCCTATACCCCAAATTTCAGACTCGGGGCAGACCTAGTGTAGACGACAACCCAGAACAGACAGACTTCGCTCGGGGGTCATAACTCCGAAACCGGAAGTGGTAGACTAACGCCACCTGGCCTATGTTACTCCCCGGTCCGAGTTACCCCTATACCCCAAATTTCAGACTCGGGCCAGACCTAGTGTAGCCGCCAACCCCGAACAGACCGGCTTCGCTCGGAGGTCATAACTCCGAAACCGGAAGTGGTAGACTAACGCCATCTGGCCGATGTTACTCCCCGGTCCGAGCTACCCCTATACCCCAAATTTCAGACTCGGGGCAGATGTAGCCGCCAACCCCGAACAGACAGACTTCGCTCGGGGATCATAACTCCGAAACCGGAAGTGGTAGACTAACGCCACCTAGCCTATGCTACTCCTCGGTCCGAGCTACCCCTATACCCCAAATTTCAGACTCGGGGCAGACCTAGTGTAGCCCGCAACCCCGAACAGACCGGCTTCGCTCGGGGGTCATAACTCCGAAACCGGAAGTTGTAGACTAACGCCACCTGCCCTATGTTATTCCCCGGTCCGAGCTACCCCTATACATCAAATTCCAGACTCGGGGCAGACCTAGTGTAGCCACCAACCCCGAACAGACAGACAGACAGACAGACAAACGACAGTCACAAATATATATATAGATAGACTAGCAGGATACCCGGCTTCGCCCGGGGGTCATAACTCCGGAAGTGGTAGACTAACGTCACCTGGTCTATGTTACTCCCCGGTCCGAGCTACCCCTATACCCCAAATTTCAGACTCGGGCCAGACCTAGTGTAGCCGCCAACCCCGAACAGACCGGCTTCGCTCGGAGGTCATAACTCCGAAACCGGAAGTGGTAGACTAACGCCATCTGGCCGATGTTACTCCCCGGTCCGAGCTACCCCTATACCCCAAATTTCAGACTCGGGGCAGATGTAGCCGCCAACCCCGAACAGACAGACTTCGCTCGGGGGTCATAACTCCGAAACCGGAAGTGGTAGACTAACGCCACCTGGCCTATGTTACTCCCCGGTCCGAGTTACCCCTATACCCCAAATTTCAGACTCGGGCCAGACCTAGTGTAGCCGCCAACCCCGAACAGACCGGCTTCGCTCGGAGGTCATAACTCCGAAACCGGAAGTGGTAGACTAACGCCATCTGGCCGATGTTACTCCCCGGTCCGAGCTACCCCTATACCCCAAATTTCAGACTCGGGGCAGATGTAGCCGCCAACCCCGAACAGACAGACTTCGCTCGGGGATCATAACTCCGAAACCGGAAGTGGTAGACTAACGCCACCTGGCCTATGCTACTCCTCGGTCCGAGCTACCTCTATACCCCAAATTTCAGACTCGGGGCAGACCTAGTGTAGCCCGCAACCCCGAACAGACCGGCTTCGCTCGGGGGTCATAACTCCGAAACCGGAAGTTGTAGACTAACGCCACCTGCCCTATGTTATTCCCCGGTCCGAGCTACTCCTATACGTCAAATTCCAGACTCGGGGCAGACCAAGTGTAGCCACCAACCCCGAACAGACAGACAGACAGACATACAAACGACAGTCACAAATATATATATATAGATAGACTAGTAGGATACCCGGCTTCGCCCGGGGGTCATAACTCCGGAAGTGGTAGACTAACGCCACCTGGTCTATGTTACTCCCCGGTCCGAGCTACCCCTATACCCCAAATTTCAGACTCGGGGCAGACCTAGTGTAGCCGCCAACCCCGAGCAGACCGGTTTCGCTCCGGGGTCATAACTCCGAAACCGGAAGTGGTAGACTAACGCCACCTGGCCTATGTTACTCCCCGGTCCGAGCTACTCCTATACCCCAAATTCCAGACTCGGGGCACACCTCGTGTAGCCGCCAACCCCGAACAGACAGACTTCCCTCGGGAGTCATAACTCCGAAACCGGAAGTGGTAGACTAACGCCACCTGGCCTATGCTACTCCCCGGTCCAAGCTACCCCTATACCCAAAATTTCAGACTCGGGGCAGATCTAGTGTAGCCGCCAACCCCGAACAGACCGGCTTCGCTCGGGGGTCATAACTCCGAAACCGGAAATGGTAGACTAACGCCACCTGGCCTATGTTACTCCCCGGTCCGAGTTACCCCCATACCCCAAATTTCAGACTCGGGGCAGACCTAGTGTAGCCGCCAACCCCGAACAGACAGACAGACAGAAAGACAGACAGACAAACGACAGTCACAAATATATAGATAGATAGATAAATTGCTAATTGTCTTCTAACGATTGCTTTTTAGACTTACAGTAAGTTGTTCTAAGGTATGTGTAATCAGGCCAATTTGACGTTAAAGGGCACCAATAATTTTCCCATTGACTTTAATGTTAATTCTCGTCTCTTTGACCGACATTAACCTTTCCCCAAATTTTCTTGGGTTTGAATGCTTTGGACCACGGGGGGGGGGGGGGGGCTGAATGGTTAGCGTGCGCGCGCTGTATCATAAAGTCTGTCATTGAGTCGACTGGCGTGGTTTCGAATCCCCGGTTGTACGTGACAAGGAGTAGGGTCGCCTGTCCAACCTCGTGGGTTTTCTCCGGGTCCTCCGGTTTTCTCCCACTGCTAAAGATCCCTACGCGCAAGCGAATTATGTAAATAAAATTAAACCATATGTTAGTCCCGAAATGACCTAGTTTGTGTCGAGTGGACGTTAAACCCCATTTCTCTCTCTCTCGCTTTGGACCACATATGGAGCTACATGTGGCAGTCTCTTAATCAAAAGCTTGTATGAGGTTCAACGCGGAAATCTTGAGATACACAATTTGGAAGTAGCATACAGGTAAACATGCAACTACTATCCGTCCTACATAGCCACGCAAGCCGGGGGGAGCGGGTTTGAGGGAGAGAAAGACTAAAAATAAATTTGGCACTAGATTCGTGTCATATCAACCATTGGAGAGTAGATCGGGCTTACTTTCCCTGAACAAAATTTTAATGGTTTCACAGGCTGATAATTCCAACAACATTTAGATGTAATTCAACTACGTGCTCCATATAAGTACATCAAGATGTGAATTGTAAATATTAAAGTTTGTCAAAAGTAGATGTGCGATTAAAGTATCTATTAGAAAAACACAATTGTCTGCGACTACTATCAATCAAAGATTCCCCAACAAGTACAATCATTACTATTGCGTAACGCTGACAAGGCACATTGCAGCCCCAAGACACATGATGCACTGTCAGACAAGATTAATAATCAAATTAATCATATCAATATTTTACCGAAACAGCATCTTTTAAAGAACGCTGAATTTTTCAATTTTCTCGACAAAATGACAACTTTGAGAAAAAAATCTAAAAATCCTCCTACATATTTCAAACAATCACAATAAATCATAACGACAAAAAGTAGATCGTCAGCAGAAAAATACCAACACTGTTAAAGGGCAGATGAAAAAAAAATACAGTAGATTTGTACTTACCCGTTTTAACACAGTCTTCCGTCAAACAAACATCTGAAGTGTAAAGTCTATCAATATAACTCTATATTATATACATTGCTTGTCATTATACAAAAATTACATTAACTTTACATATGTATTCCATGAAATAACAGAATTTCTGCATAAAGCGGCGTTGGATATCAAATGTATCTTGGAAACAGCGTCGTTGGACAGGCCTGTAACTAAGTGCCCCCCCCCCCCCGAGAACACTTCCCACCCCCTCGTTGCCCTGAGCTAGTTACGGCCCTTGCGTTGGATATCAAATGTATCTTGGAAACGGTGTCGGATACCAAAATGTAACAGCATTTTCTGGTTGTCAAATCGCCATGTTGTAATTAAAAAAGCAATGAAAATATCGAACTTCAAACTACAATTTTTACAGTGCAAATTACCCTAATAAATACCTTTCAAAATATTATCAGAACAAACATTTAATCATGATTAGTTCCATTTATATATTAAAGTTTTACATTATTTTGTATTTACATTATGTATTATATAAAATAAGTGATTGCTTGAATACTACCTGTTACGAAAACAATTTCATATAATTTCCAATCACGACTCGAATTGTGTCAACAAAGCGTAATAAAATGTTCAAATAGCATTATATTAGATTACTGGTTTAAATGAGGTTTTTACGTCAAAGTGAAAAACAAGTACACTGTAAAATATGTTAATTTTGTTGAAGTGATTTGTATAACATTGAAGTTTAATTGTAATAAACGAATCAAAGAAAATCACTCTTTAAAGATGCATTATGTAAGATTTCGATAAAGAGCTAACCGTTCATATTATAATAGTTCAATAATAGATAATGAAAAATGAATATATTAAAATTGATATCAATAATTTTATTCTTAGCGAAGTTATCGGTGTTTGAAGTGGTATAGATTGTTTATTCTCGTAGCAATGGTTTGACAATCGATTGTCCATTTTTAAATTAAATTATTGAATGGCGATCGTGTTTCAATCCATTTAAATCTTAGCTATTCGATGGTCTAGAGAGTTGATGATAAACTTGCCCTGTGAATAAATGTATAGAATCTAGTTTATATAAAATTTTGAAGCCAAAAACAGATCTGCAATAGTCCGATTTAGCTATTAAATAATGTATTTTCAATTCTCGATATCTCATAAATTGGTGCAAATATTAGGCTTATGGCGCAAAACAGTTAATCTAAAACTTAACTTTAAATCATGTATGGTTATGTTAGATGCTTTTTAGGTGCACCTGTTCACGCACAGCCCTAACATTTGAAGGGAAGTGCTTAGAAAGCCCTAAAAGGCTGATTCTAGTAGCTGTCATCTATACATTATTATGGGACCTATTTAAAGAAACATCGAGACACGCATCAAGTAAATAAAAGTGACCAATTTTAAATGTCGCTTTAATTAATTTTGATGTGTAGAGTGTGGGTTATAGCTGTCTAAGTCTTCATTTATAATTTGAGGTACGAGAGTTTGCTGGAAAGTTCTAAGCCTATCTGTGAAAAACTTGTACAAAGTCGATGGCTTTCATTTGTTTTTCTACATCTCTACATAGTCCCCTTCTTCATTTCTGACCGACTGGTCTGATGAAGACGGGTATATGCCATACAATTTTGCCTGGACAACTACTCTATAGCCTACTGGTATTTCAATATTCAACTATCAAGGGTTCTTTTACGTGGACGCCAGTGTGTATACGGGACCTCGGTTTTCGTCCTATCCGATCGACTAGACATTGGCCTTATCAGGTCCTCTCTCAGGTGGTCTAGAGGGTCGATCATTAACTTGGTATGTTAATAAATGTCTAAATAATAATTTATATATTTGAAGCTAAAACAAAGACCTGCAATAGGCAGATTTAGCTCTTACTTAATGCATCTTTAATTGTTTTCGTCCAAAAGACATTTCTATTTTTCACGCAATATATGGCTCTTACCTCGCCTGTCACCAGAGCGCCATGTAATAATGAGAGCTGCCAGCAAACCAATAGATACCAGCACAAACAGTATCGTGAAAACAAACAAACATTTCTCTAGATGGCTTCTTCTTTTTATACAGCCACCCTCTTCAAAACTAATGTCAAGAATAAAGAACAAAGTCTTAAAATCGCCTTAGTCTTGAAAATAATCAAGAATACGTAACTTATCGTATACCAGCATCGACAACATCTTAGCTTGTGTTATCAAGTCTGGCTGAAATTTCGTGATACTAGAGTACCTACAATCTAAATATTTAATTATCGTGTTGCAGCCTTTAAAATTTTAAAATACATTATTATTTTAAAATCAAGTAATTAAGTAATAAAATAAGCTAGACATACATAACCTGTTCCGGTGCAACTAGGATATTTTTACTTCCGGTCATGTTGTTTTCCTCAACAACACGTGCTTTGTTTACATTTTCCATTGTATGACTGGCTGTTTACTCTAAAAGGAACAAAAATAAAGAAATCGAGTCTCAATAACACAAATTTCCGTCATTCTGACAATAAAATACGTTTAATTATCCCCCGCCTTTCGATAAAAGCAGGGGGCTATTAAATAGGTCAATTCGTCCGTCTGTCCATCCGTCTGTCCTCATGTCTGTCCGCCAGGTGTTTATTAGGCGAATGCCTTTGCAGATTTCGATGATGAGCATTTTCAGCGTATGTTAAATAGAGATACGCAATTTGATTGATCGATGCTTTGGGACAGGATATCTTTGGTTCTAATTACGTGAGAGTGATGAGACTTGGTGTATAGTTTTATCAATATCCTGACTAAGTTCGATAATGAGCATTTTCGGCCCAGGTTCTAATTGAGTGACATTGTGAAACTTGGCGTATATCATTACATCAATACCTTGACTAAGTTCGATAATGCGCATTTCCTATAGTCTCATTTCATTAATACCTTAACAAAATTCAATAATAAGCATTTTCTGCGTCGATGTTTTGGGATATGATAACTTTGATTCTAATTAACTGAGAGTGGTGAAACTTAGATTTTAATTTAGTGAGAATGCTCACATTAAGCACTGATAATCAGTTGCATTACCTCAGTAGGCCTGGAATAAGTTTCAATATAAACATTTTCTTCGTCGATGTTTTGGGACATGGTAACTGATTGTGAGAGTGGTGAAACTTGGTGTATAGTTTCATTACATCAAATTCGGAGTATAGATTCAGTACATCAATACCTTGACTAAGTTCGATTATGAGCAATTTGATTGGTCGAGAATTTGAAGCTCGACAACTTTGATTCTAATTGAATGAGAATGGTGGGACGTGACGAATATCATTGCATCAATACCTTGACTAACTTCGAATAACTTGACTAAGTTCGATGATGGGCATTTTGTATGATCGAAACTTTCAAGCTCGACATCTGTGATTCTGATTGACTGGGAATGGTGAAAGTTGGCGTATATCATTACACCAATACCATGACTAAGTTCGATAATGCGCATTTCCTATAGTCTCATTACATTAATACCTTGACTAAATTCAATAATAAGCATTTTCTGCGTCGACGTTTTGGGACTTGATCAATTTGATTCTAATTGACTGAGAGTAGTGAAACTTGGATTTGAATTTAGTGAGAATGCTCACATTAAGCAATGATAATCGAAATTATCGATACTTTATACAAAGATAAACACGCAATTTAAAAATGTGTGTCATCTAATTACTTTTTTCAATTTGGTGGGGAACACCAGCTTCACTGTTGGCTTGTTATATTTACTGTGGGCAGATGTAGATTGGGTGATTTTCCTGAAAGGTAACTTATTTTTGAATTCACACGGTACTAAGCCGATTAGAATGTAAACAAAATCCTGTATTGGTATTGATCAAAATACATGTAGTTTATACGAAAGCGTACACAAATCAGAATGTAATAATAGAGAGGAAAATTAATCCGCGATGGAAATGTGTGAATTTATAAAAGAAAAATATTTTAAATCCAAGTTAATTATTGTAATATGATTCAAGATACATAAAGGGATTATAAGCGTTTCTCTAATTTCTATTGAGAAAACGTCCTTGATAATCCAACACTTTCTGTTGAGAAATATTTTTCAGCTAATAACATCCGTATCTAAAATATTGGCAGAGTAATCTGAAATCATATCTTTGTCCGATCGATTCCTATCGTGAAAGTGGGAGTCCAGAGATTTGCGAATTACCAAATATCTCTGTTGCTTTGAAAGTTCTAACATACGTAAGAATACTCGTTAAGTCTGACCAAACACATTTTAAACTTTGAGCAGTGATAACGGCTATATTTTCCCATTTATATGTATATTAAAATATAGTAGAGGGTATATTAACATAAAATGTGTGTACCACTTACGTTTCATCTGTGAAGTTTAATTTTTGTTTTAATTATTCTTTTCCGTCCAACTAAATAAAATCAAGATTGGTCGTTTACAATATAACACTAAAGAGGAATTATCACTTTCGCCACAAACATAATTATAAATATAATATTATTGAGAATATCGGTAAACTTGAACATGTGAAAACAATAAATTTGTTACGATAACTCCTGGAAACCACTACATAACATTAACAGCTCGTAGATTTCAATTTGAACTTAAAGATAATAATGGATTGACACATTTGTCCTAAATTCTGCCCAAATTCTACACGGCAGATTTAAATTCATTGTTAAAGTAGCTAAGTTCAACATTGAAAACACAATTATTTGTCAATTTAAATCAACATTGGGGGAGGGGGGGGATGGTCGAATGGTTAGCACGTGCGCGCTGTATAATAAGGTCTATCATTGAGAGAACTTGCCTGGTTTCGATTCCCCGGTTGTACGTGACAAGACGTAGGGTCGCCTGTCCAACCTCGTGGGGTCCGGGTTCTTCCATTGCTAAAGACCCTACGCGCAAGCGAATTATTGAAATAAAATTGAACCATATGTTAGACCCGAAATGTTCATGTTTGTATCGAGTGGACGTTAGACCCCATTTCCCTCTCTGTGTCTCTAAATCAACATTGATATTGTGATCTTACCGGGAAAAGATGGGCTTCTGATATCCAATATTGCAGACAAAATAAACATTTTACCATTGGTACACGAATCGTGTTTCCATAATGCGTTTCAGCGCCATTTGTAACAAGGAACTCGTAGAACGAGGCTAGACATATTCCACGAATCATGTTAAACGGTGACAATAAATACTATCGGTGTAGACTGGAATAACCAGACGCTAGAGATTGCCATTCTACTGAGACTTCTGACGTATTTCGCCGAACATAACTGATTTGAAATTAGAGGAAAATGGAGACAATTGAATGTAAATCAGTTTATATACATCCATATTACATTATTATATGCGTTACGACCCATTCGTGTCCATTTTTAGGTCCCAAATATTAGCGATTTAGCGCCTTTAAATAAAGCCTACCTGACTTTGTTATCGATCTGCAACAATGTTGTATTGACAGTGTCGCTTTAAATAATGAAATTAGTTAATATAACGTTATCTTACCTGCGAATATATTTGTCTATATGCTTATTATCACCACTTCTTTGAATAGTCCGAGTTCTAATTGTACCAAATGTAAAAGTTGTGACATATCTATTATAGAGTTTCCCACACAGACGCCTCCGTTTCTCAGAGTTAATGTCAAATTAGACTGCACACCCAATGGCAAATCTTATTTAAATTGACGATCGCAACCAGAGTCCTCCAACAATGCATGTATTTATATCTGATTTGGGTAGAACCGGATTGCAATTATTGCACAAAAAATATTAAACTATTCGTAAATTTGCATTTATAAAGCTGCTAGTCAAGCGACCTGTCGGTCTATAATGCAAATGTAAGAAAATGTGCGGAAAATGGATAATTAAAGCAAAGTTGTTGCCCGAAAAGTATATAAATAAGCCAGATAAGTGATACTGGTTGTCGAACTATGTCTAAACGTATGAAAAATTTAACGTCATACTGTTCTTCTCCAAACTGGGCTGATAAAGACGACTCTCCAAAATGAATAATCCTCCTCTTCCTGGAAGCGGGAAACAAAAGCGATTGTCCTCTGAGTAAGATTATGATGCTATTAGATAATATTAGATTATTTTAGTTATGGTATGAAATGATATGATGTGCGAGGTTCCCCTGTGTTATCTGGTACCATCTCTTTAAAGGGCAGTCACCACTCTCACGAAGGAAATAATGTGTACCTTTGGGTTATGTAACATTCAATATTAGATTCGCCTAATTCTCAACTGACTGCCGGATCTTTCTATACCAACCATTTTGTTTTTATTAAGATACGCCTTATTAGTTCTGCATGTTGTATAACATTTTGTGCATGTATAGTGCAAGTCATTGAACACAGATATCGTATAATAAATACAATATTTTTCTAAACTTGAACCAATTATTCTAAAGAAATCCATTAGATAAAGAAATAGGACACGACATGTTGAATTTCGTTGTGAACCTCGTGATATGAATCTTAAAAGGGGTATAGTGAAATTAATAAAATATTTTCCTTGGGGCATATTTATTCAGATATATTTTATTTAACAAGAATGAGATTGTAAGGCAAATACATGGTTAAAGGCTCACGTAATTAAAATATTCTATACACTGGCCTATTTAGAGAAGGGAACATGTACCAGGGGCGTGGTGTGGGAAGAAGGCCCGGGGGTTCTGGCCGTCCCGAGTGGCACAAAAATGAAGGAGGGGCGGCCTAACACCCCCACCCCAAGTCCGTCTCTGGATCCGCCCCTGCTGTGATAGGGACGGGGTTGGAACAGAATTTAGTGTCAACAAAAACCTCGCATTGGGATCGATACGGATCCGACTTCATCTCTCACGCGCCTCAATGTGATGCTATAGAAGACATAGATACCAAAGCGTCAGCTGCCTGCACTGAAAATTGCCTAGAAATCGTGTTAAAACAGATCCGAATGGAACCGAAAAATCGGATTGCATAGCCCGCCATGATGTTGAGGTTGTTGGCCGAACTTGTACTTTCGTTTTCATCTGACCCGGAAGTTAACAAATTTTCCGCTTTTTTCGCCTAAAATAGGTCGTAAGACGATCTTAACTATTTGAGGAAGTATCCTATTCCAATAGTGTAGTTCAAACATGATGGATTATTGTTGTTACTTTGCCTCATCAGCAAATGACCGGTAAAACTGTCTAAAATCTTCTGATATTGGCTTGTTTAACAGGAGTTGCTGTCTATTGGCAAGACAAACTTCTGAACATGTGAAATTTCCCCAAGACTTCTGAATTGAATCATGTACCCCCCCCCCCCCGCCCCTTTGACATTCTGAAAACCCATCAGATTTGGACCACTATATTTTGCTTTCGAAATTTATTTTTTGGGGGGCAAAATTCTATGCGGAAAAAAAATACGAGTGGCACAAATAATCACGTGGCGCACTATCACCACGCCCCTGACATGTACTTTGGGCCA